CCTTCGTGGCATGCACTCCCGCCTCCTTGTTTCTGGTCTTCCCAGCTCTCTGCCTCCCTTCCCGCCCTTGCCTGCCTTCCTTGCGTCGAGGGGCAGCAGCGCGCCGCTCCTCGCTCCTCCTCTTTCCCCCGACGACTGCTCCCCTGCAGACTCTCAACATGGACGTGTGGGGGCCAGCCCGTGTCAGAGGACAGGATCGCGAGCGCTACTTCCTGCTGGTTGTTGACAACTACACGCGTTACACCTCGGTCTTCCCCTTGCGCAGCATGGGTGAGGTCCCTGATGTGTTGATCCCTTGGATCCGTGCAGTCCGTCTCCAGCTTCGCGAGCGGTTCTGCGAGGACCTTCCTGTCATGCGTCTGCACTCTGACAGAGGTGGTGAGTTCTCCTCCAACCTCTTGCGGGACTTTTGTCGTGGGGAGGGCATCCTCCAGTTGTTCACGCTTCCGGCCTCTCCGCAGCAAAATAAGATTGCTGAGCGCCACATTGGCTTAGTCATGGAGGTGGCTCGTACCTCCATGATCCATGCGGTTGCTCCCCATTTTTAGTGGTCGTTTGTGGTTCGGTACGCTGCGCATCAGCTCAAGCTCTGGCCCCGTGTCTCCTTGCCGGAGACCTCGCCTACACTGCGTTGGACGGAGAAGGTTGGCGATGTGTCACTGTTCCGGGTCTGGGGCTCTCGTGCCTATGTTCGCGATACTTCCGCGGACAAGCTCTCCTCCCGCACTATTCCTTGCGTCTTCCTTGGCTTTCCCCCTGACGCGCCTGGCTGGCAGTTTTACCACCCCACCTCGCGCGTGTCCTCCCCTCTCAGGACGTCACGTTTGATGAGTTGGTTCCCTTTTACCGTCTCTTCCCCTACCGCTGTGCCCCTCTCCCCCCCCCCCGCCGCTCTTCCTTCTCCAGGTCCCCCTCCGGTATACCCCCTCCCCCCTCAAGGTCCTGCTCCCTCAGGTGTGTCTCAGGTAGACCCACTCCCCGGGACTGTGCCTATTGAGGTCGCTGTAGACTCAGGTGCTACTAGAGGTGTTGCGTCTGGGGGTGCTGAGCCTGCGAGTGCGGAGCCTGGGGGTGCTGAGCCTGAGGGTGCGGAGCTTGGGGGTGCTGAGCCTGGGGGTGCGGAGCCTGGGGGTACTGATTCTGAGGATGCGGCGTCTGGGGGTGTTGAGCCTGGGGGTGCGGAGCCTGGGGGTGCTGAGCCTGAGGGTGTGGAGCCTGGGGGTGCTGAGTCTGAGGGTGCGGAGTCTGGGGGTGCTGAGCCTAGGGGTACTACATCTGCCGGAGGTCCTGCGGGTGCCTCGCCACGACTGTCTCACCGGCGGGAGCCTCTCTCACCGCAGCTGCAACGCGAGTGGTTTGCTCAGCTCACACGCGTTAGGAGTGGCGCTGCAGGAGCTGGAGGCACTGGCACTGGTGGCGCTGGAGCTGGAGGCACTGGAGCTGGAGGTGTTGGAGCTTCTAGTCCTGGAGGTGCTAGAGCTGCTGGTCCTGGAGATGCTCGTACTAGGGGTATTGGAGCTGCCGGGGCTGGTGGTGTTGGAGGCGCAAGAGCTGGAGACCTACGAGCTGGAGGCACTGGAGCTGGAGACCCTTGAGCTGGAGGAGCTAGAGCTGGAGGCGCTAGAGCTAGAGACCCTAGAGCTGGAGGCACTAGCGCTGGAGCTAGAGGAGCTGGAGCTGGAGGCACTAGAGCTGGAAGCGCTGGAGCTGGAGGCGCTGGCGCTGGAGGCGCTGGAGCTGGAGGCGCTGGAGCTGGAGACCCTGGAGCTGGAGGTGCTAGCGCAGGGGGTGCTAGAGTTGGCGGTGTTGGTGTTGGAGGCAGTGTGCAGCAGCGCCCATTTTTCGTTCCACCGCAACCGTCGTCTCTGCCGCCACTTGACTCGCTCCTTCGCCAGGTTCTTAGTCTCCCGTCTTCTACTGGCCTTACTCCTAGCTTAATGTGTCCACCGCCTCACCAGTCGCCGCCATAGTTACAGCTAGACCCCCCACTGTCTGCTCCTTCTCCTTACGCTGAGCAGACAGACTCTCTTACAGAGCGTCGTGAGCCTGAGTCTCGTCCTGCCTCACCTGTTCGCGTTGTTCGCACTGGTCGTCGTGTTCCTCGTCCGCGTCCTCCTCCTGTCCCTGGCACTCACATTACGGCACTTCGTCCTTCTGTTCCACTGCGAGTTCCCCTGCCGCCTCCCCATGCGTCCTCTCTTCCTGCCATTCCTGACCCTGACTCTTACTTGCTCGTGCTGCCAGTCCTACTGTCCCTCGTCTTCTAGCCACTGTTGTCACTGACCCTTCGTTTGAGTCCACTGTTGCGTCTGCCCTAGTTGCTGGGCTTGTTGACTTTGTTGCCGCCTGTCGTCTCGACTACGCCACTAGTCTTGTTGCTGGGTCTGAGTCTGACTGTCCTCTGTCCGTCGGGGGTGAGTGTGCTCTTGGCACGGACGTCCTTGAGGATAGGCAGGAGGACTTTGAGTGTCTTACATCTGCTGTACCTCATCTCGTGGCCATGCTGCTTGCACCTGAGGGAGACCCAGATGCACCAGACATCCCAACCCCGCGCTCTTACGCAGAGGCGATTACAGGTCCCTACTCCTCTCAGTGGCAGACAGCCATGGACGCAGAGATGGCATCCTGGAAGTCCACAGGCACCTACGTCGACGTAGTTCCCCCTTCTAGGGCGAACATAGTCGATGGCATGTGGATTTTCAGGGTGAAGCGGCCGCCGGGTTCTCCGCCTGCCTTCAAGGCTCATTACGTTGCACGAGGCTTCAGACAGCGACAAGGAGTTGACTTCTTCCAGACCTTCTCCCCTACCCTGAAGATTACCACTCTTCGGGTTCTGTTGCACGTCTCTGCTCAGCATGACTACGAGATGCACTCTCTTAACTTCAGCACAGCCTTCTTACAAGGCAGCCTGCACGATGAGATCTGGCTGCGCTGCCCACCTGGCTTCACTGAGTCGTTTCCTGCAGGTACCCAGTAGAGCCTCCGGCGTCCAGTCTACGGTCTCCGCCAGGCGCCTCGCGAGTGGCACGACACACTGAGGATGACGCTTGCGGCTCGTGGTTTTGCTCCTTCTACTGCTGACCTGTCGATGTTTCTGCGCACCGACACTTTGCTGCCGCCGTTCTACGTCCTCGTGTACGTCGACGACTTGGTCTTTGCCAGTGCTGACACTGAGGCACTGACCCTTGTGAAGTCGGAACTGCAGAAGAGACACACCTGCACTGGCCTGGGTGAGCTGCGCAGCTATCTTGGCTTGCAGATCACCCGGGAAAGAGCACGGCGCACCATCACCCTGACTCAGTCACACATGGTGCACCAGGTCCTTCAGCGCTTCGGCTTCCGGTACTCCTCGCCACAATCCACTCCTCTGCCTACCGGTCACTCGCTCTCAGCTCCACCTTCAGACGAGTCCGTAGAGCCGAGTGGCCCATATCCAGAGCTTGTGGGGTGCCTCATGTACCTGATGACCTGCACTCGACCTGACCTTGCCTACCCTCTTAGCATCCTGGCACGCTACGTTGCGCCCGGGAGACACCGACCAGAGCAGTGGGAGGCCACTAAGAGGGTGTTGCGCTACTTGTGCAGTACTTCGGGCATGGGGCTCGTGCTTGGAGGACGGGGTCCAGTTTTCCTCACTGGACACGCAGACGCTTCTTGGGTTGACGACTTGGCTACGCAGCGGTCATCACAGGGTTACACCTTCAGCCTTGGTTTCGGCTCTGTCTCTTGGCTGTCTACCCGCTCGTCTTCTGTTCTCAGTTCCAGTTGTGAGGCTAAGATCTACGCAGGGGCCATGGCTACACAAGAGCTACGCTGGCTCACCTACCTGCTGACCGACTTTGGAGAGCGGCCTCGTTCTTCTCCAGTGCTGTACGTAGACAACAAGGCCATGATTGCCTTGTGTCAGGAGCACAAACTGGACCACAGAACGAAGCACATCGCTCTGCGTTACTTCCTTGCTCGAGAGTTGCAGCAGCGTGGCCAGCTTCGTCTTGCTTACGTGGCCTCTCAGGCCAACACTGCTGATATATTCACCAAGGCACTTCAGTCTGGTGATCATCAGCGTTTCTGTACTGTTTTAGGCCTTGTGCCTACTTTGCCTCACTTGCTCACTGCGTGACTTTGCTTGTACTGTGATCTATATATATACTTGCATGCTTACACTTTCTAGGGTATGATCACTGTACTGTTTGTTATCTTTTATGTAACTATGCATGTGAACAGGCCTTGTGGCCATTTGCTTGTGCAAGGAATGTGTGCTGACTTCGTGATCCACCCTGAGCTTGCTTTGCTTTTCTTGACTGGTCTTGTGACCGCTTGTTCTCCCCCACTTTGCCTAAGGGGGTGTGTCAAAACTGTTTTAGTCCTTACTTTGTGTAGGCTATAGTGGGGTAGCCCATAAGGGGTACAACCCAACTAGGGTTAGTACTTGTACCCAACTTCTGTTCAATGCATTCATTCTCGTTCTAGATTCTGACAGTTGGGGGATGAGGAAGATGAGACAATCCTCAAAATCCCAAACCTGGACAGTGGATGTGTTGATGGTAGAATCCTGGGAAATGGATCCTTTGGGGGGAAGAGGTGAGTGGATGGATGGGGATGGGGTGGGCAGGTGCTGGAATGTTTGAATATGCTGGAGGTTTAGCGGTACCGGTACCAATGCACTCCTGATCTTTGTGTTGGCAGCAGAAATGTGTTCTCCGTTTTATGCGGTTACTGTACTTTGTAGTGGATTGCCCGTCTTCGTACATTCTATGGTAAATTTTGCATGATGCCTTCACTTACAATACATTCAGCATCCTGGCCAGCCACCATCATTGTCACAGTTCCCACTGCCCTTTTAGTAACCACTACCATTCGCTGCTATTGCATTGCATCTCATCCATCACATTACAAATGGCACGCGAATCAGTGAGATGGTTGGTCGGAGACAGAGGAGCTCTGAACATGTGCTATTTAAAATGTTGCTCAAACTAAGCTACCGTTTAGAAACCCAAAAGCTACACCTCACCAGCCACTAGTCGAGTGTTATTGGGGCCACGTTGGTCGCTTGACGAACTTGTTCATGCTCATCTTATGGAGAGTCGTGAACATTCCATTCGTTTGTGCAGGTGCTTGGACCGGAAGAGGTGTGTTTGGATCAGTGGGAGCAAGCACTTCAATGGGTAGCCAAAGGTTAGCGCCACTGCCACTGTCGCTGTTGCTGCTGGTACTGCTGAGGCTGCTGGAACTGCTGCTGCTGCTGCTGCTCAGGGAACTTTCCTCACTGCTCTGGGTGCTGTCAGCACCGTCCCCACTTTCATCCCCCACAATCTCCTGCTGCTGCCCCAACCGCTCCCCCTCCACTATCCCCCAGTACTCTGCCGTCTTCTCGTCATCCCGTGCCATCATCTCGCCATATCTCGCATGGTCATAGGTCCACTTGGACCGCCCCCCAAACGCCTCCTCAAGGCGGTCCAGGTCGAAGATTCCCTCGAGCCTTTTCACCATGTCGGGCTTGGATGGGTTGACAAAGAGGATCTTGTTGAATGTCACCGGGTCTATGAATGGGCGGATCACCTGTTGAGGTGGGACGGAATGGGTCATATGAGAGGAGAACCGGTTTTGAGGTGCCTAAAGAATGTTAATTCTTGGCTGGCATTGGTGGTTGACAAAGAGGATCTTGTTGAATGTCACTGGGTCTATGAAGGGCCGGATCACCTGCCAGATTGGATTGAATGAGAAGAGAACAGTAAGGCGAGAATCGGATTGAATACTGGTGAGCATGACATAACCTGCTCCCACATGCACCATCTTACCTTCCCCAAGGAGCCCCACACACCACCTCACCTTCCAGAAGGCCTCAAAGACAGCGGGCGGGTTGTAGATGACAGCAGCGCCGAGCCTCTCCGGGTAGTGGCTCTGCAGAATGCTCAGCACCTCGCGAGACGTCTTGAGCGGCGGGGCCTTGCGCATGCTCCACCCGCGGAAGTCAATCAGCCACACCATCTGCTTCTGCTCCCCCTGCTCCTCTCCCTGCTCCACACCATCTTGCTGCTGCAGCTGCTGCTGCTCGCGGGCAGTGGCCGGCAGGTTCATGACGGCGTTCTCAAGACAGTGCACGAGATGCCGCACCTGCCCCGCGTGGTTATTGGTGTTCTGCAAGTAAGGGGAGTGCACAGATGAAGGTTGTTAGCCTCTGGAAACTCTGGTAGTCTGATACGGAGGAGGAGGTGAGGTGTACACAGTGGCCGAGAGACTGACTCTATGAACTCGAATGGGCCAAGAAGAACCCTATTCCGCTCACCCAGCGGCTGGCAGAGAACGCCATCCTGCACCTTCTCTGCCCATCCTGCACCTTCTCTGCCCATCCTGCACCTTCTGTGCCCATCCTGCATAGATTGCCCTTCCTTCTCTCAGGTCACAACCCCTCTCTACCCCAGCACCTCGCAAGGCCCTCCTCTCGCAAGCCCCTCCTCGCGCAAGCACCTCACCTGCTGGCCGGCAGAGAGCACCACGACTGGGCGGCCGTGTTTGTCATGGAATGCAGTTCGGTACACCTTGCCCGTCGCGCCCTCCTCCGCCACGTCCGCCTGCAATCGCATCATGGCACGACCCATGGATCACACTTGTGGTCAACACGTAGCTAAGTAAACGCACTTGTGTTTTGACACACAACACAATTGCGTCTATTAGTTGGGGATAATGGAAGATAATGGGGAGAGAGAGGAGATAAGGAGATTGCACGTTGGTGGTTCCGACACCCACCCCGCTGCGAAGGGTGGCATCGATTGGACGTTTCGGTGGTGGTAACGAGTCCGCGCAGTGTGAAGTAGTGTTACATCGTTAACAAAGGACGTGCTTACGCATGTGCGGGCGTGCGTGTGAATGTACGTACGTGCTAACGAATGTAGGTATGCCCGAGCGACTTTACATACCCATCGAATCTCCTCCGAACGGCACTGGTCGCGCCACTTGAGCGTGTCTCGCAGCATGCGCTCGGCGCGCTGCACGTGCCAGTTGCGCGCGCGCAGGTATCGGCGCATACACGCGTCGGAGCAGAATATATGCGAGTCCAACGCTGCACTTTCCGTTCCTCCTCTCATGCCCTGTTTCTCTCATATTCACCTCTCGTTTCCGCGATCCGATGTTATCGCCGCGTTCACGTAGCATCGCTCGGTTTGCGGGGCGAAGCCTTGCTCGATAGTAACCGCGCGCTGTAAACGAGTATTGCAGTCTGCCTATAGCGCGTACTCAATGAAGGCAAGAGCGAGCAGGTGCTGGATGTAATCAACTGCGCCTCCTGGTTGAGTCAGCTGACCTCTCCTTCTCAACCATCTGTCGAGCCCCAATACCCCCTATGCTATACGAGGTGCTAGGCACTCAATGCCTTCTCTCATCACCTTGGCATCTTGCTCGACAGGAGTCAGCTGCACCGGCTTCTCCTTCTCGAATATCTGCTGGCTCTGCGCCACGCCCTGCGCCACAACCGCCTTCAGGACCGCCTTCGAATACCTCATGCCCCTGCTACTCTCATTTCATCCTCTCTTTTCCGCGACGCGACCTGACGCCGCGTTCTTCGGTGAGAAATCTTGCTTGATAGAAACCGCTAGATGTAAATTAGTTACGCAATCTGCCTATAGCAGAGAGCACTCAATGGAGGCATGGGCGGAGGTGCTCTACGCAAATACCTAGGCTTCCTGCTCAACATGCGCTCGACCGTCGTGAGCGGAACTGACCACTCCTGTGCTAGACGTATCAGCTGCATTGAGTTCGTGCTTACAACGAGTCCTCTTCTCAACTTCCGATTTATAACGACCCCTGTTTCTCATCACCTTGGCTTCTTGCTCGACGGGCGTCAGCAGAGCCGGCTTTTCCTTCTCGAACATCTGCTGGCTCTGCGCCACGCCCTGCGCCACAGCCGCCTTCAGCGCCGCAACCTTGGTCTGCCCGAACGCCTCCCACTTCCCCGCGAAGGCCGCCATTCGGTTCTCCCTCGCCGCCACCCCGCCTGATTCCATTGAGCTCGGTTGTTTTACGATGTTCTGGTCTGAAGACGGAAGTGAATACGTGTGCAGCACCACTACGAATAGTCGATTAGTGGAATTAAGCGCTAGAAGTGGAAGTTTTATGACTGTTGTCAATGAGTGGATGTAGATTACATAAAGGTAGCAGCGTTGCCGCTACGGTGATCAGAATGGAACAGCGAGCACGATTTTTGCATGCGATGGGACTGCTGGTCACGCGTTGTGACTGACGTGCCAGAAGCGCCGCAAATTGAAGTATCAGGTTTTGGGAGGGCTCAAATTTCGGAACCGCGCGAACAAACGAGTCACGGAATTTGTTGGTGTGAGATGGTTGGAGTGAGGGAGGGAAGGGAAGGGAGGGAAGGGAGGGAACGGAACGGAGAGGAGTTGATGCTGGATTGGGGGTTGGATGGACTGTTGATGGTGATGTGACGTGAGGCGCCGGAAACTAGGCCCAATGAGGCAGGGCGCTTTGGCTTCCGCGAGGTGCGGTCGAATATTTTGCTGATGCAATTCTGTGCGGTTCGTATATCTTCTGCATGGCTTCCCTAGCTAGTGTAGAGCTTACAACTTGAATGAAAGATAATTCCTCCTTGCGATTGAGATAAATCGGGGCTAGTTGCAAACGCAATTCGCGAAGACGTTCATTAACTCATTTCCAGATTTAGACAATATTATAGGCACTGACCAGCCATTCTCTCAGCGAAGCTGTGTTTTTTTTTTTTTTTTTTTTTTGGCGATGTCAGGGCACTCTCAGAAAATTTGCATATAATGTTGGATGACGTTACCGAACTCTAGCCCCAGGTTCGGGGTGACCGCAAGTACAGTAGGTTTTGTCATGAGGCCATTTGAGTACCGTTCATAGGCTTGGCGGGAGCAGCTCGATTAGCGGTGCGGGAAATTGCCCTCCCCAACAATTTCAGCGATGGAAGCGCGAGTGACGTCAGCGAGAAAGGCCTTGGTCACCAAATGGGCCAGGCCAATTGTTGGGGCCCCATGTCCTCGCCATACACCTTGCCTAGCCCAACTGTAAACCAGCAAGTATTGGGCCGCCTTAGCGAGTCATGTACACGCAACACGGAGAGTGTTATCGCTCTGGTGCTCATGCGTCGCTATATAGTATTTATTTGTTTCTTTATTTTATTTTGACTGGGAAGAGAAATAAATTTTCATATTTATAATAATGATAATACTTCTGAGAATATGGCTTAGGTATGCTACTCTGTAATAATATGTTATGCATTGTAGGTAACATGCTATACAATGGTAATTCTTGGTGGTGGAGATACCCCCAAGCTCACCACTTCGGACCAGACCTGATGCGTGAGAAGCCTTGTTCAACGATTTAGATTGAGGTATGTTCAACCGCGATTCATGGTGTGCGTGGTGCGAATTTCAGTTACCATACCTCAATCACCCAATCCACACTCCACAGTTCAGCCCCCGTATCAATTATACGGGTTTCTCGGATTGCGACAAGGTTTGAAAGACAGTTCGGATCGAACGAAACCTTGTTAACTTGCACCCTACCTCCTCCAGACCAGAACCATCACTTCAGATTCATATGTCCGTTCAGCTGCAAGCATCATCGTACACAACGTCATGAACACAAAAAGGTCGTCGTACAGATACGATCAAGCGCATGCTAGACATCGTCAGTTTCAAGCCGTAGGTTCCGCGAAAGGCGGTTGTCGTTCTGCCGCAAGCACCCAGGAGCCATGCCGCTGACCCCTATTTTGAGACAAAACGGTCCGCTTCGAGGTTTGGCCAATCACAGAAGCTATGTTGGAACAACAGGACCTTTGAACAACAACCTGGCCAACAACCTTGTGGAAATCGAAAAGGTGGAAACCGTGGAATTTACCAGATTGTAGCCTTCTAACAACCTGCCTAAACTCTTCTCCCATTCTTACAGGTCAATGACATGTGGAAAAAGGTTGTGGCTGAAAGAGAGTAAGAAAATTTGATTTTTTTTTTTTTACGTACACTAGTTGTTTTTATTTTCAAATTCAGTCGGCATGAAGCGAGCTTAAATTGCTGACTCAGTTTTTCTAGTGCGCAGATTCGCACCACGCAGGAGGCACTGAAGGAAATGATGCAACGACATTCTTTGCTTAACAATGACATCATACAGAGAAATGCTTCTTTGCAAAAGGTACCAAAACGCTTGTTACGACCACCCGTTCAGATATCGTGAGCAGTACGCCTGATCCGTTTGATTGTTTTTATCTTCAGGAAATGATGCACCAGCAAGCTCAGGTAAGATTGGTTCAGTCCCGTTGATATTTCAAACTTAAAAAAACTGATCCGTATTTTCTTTGTAGATTGAGCTGCTTCGCAATGAGAGTATTCAGCAAAGGGTGCTAATCAAAGTCTTGAAGAGTGAAAAGGAGGTGAGGCTAGTGAGAGCTTTGTGGTTGCTTGCTTTCTGTAGGACCGCTCACTGACATTCAGCTGCAGGTAGCAGAGAGGCTGCTTGAAAAGGCTAAGGAAGAGAATTCAAGATTGCAAGAAAGACTGAACAATCTTGAGGTATACCACATTTCTGCTACTTATAGGACGTTACCCAGATAATATTGTAATGGACATGCAGGAGCTACAATTTCTTGAAACAAAGAAGGCGTCACCGAAGGTGTGACCTTGAAGATGCAAGTTTGTTCGTTGGTTGTTAACAGTCAAGCCCGGTTATTCATCTCGTTTGCCTGACATTTTCAGAAGCGCAACGACAATCGTCAGCGAGATCCTGTAATGGCAGAACATGCAGGACTGACCAGAGCAAGAACGAGGAAGATCAATGTACCTTTATCCAGGTAGGTCATCATGGTGATTCCAGTTTCAGTATTTTTCAGGTTTTAATATTCTTGACAGGATGCCAGGGACCGCCAAAGAACGCGCAGAGCAGGAACACCCTACTGCATCTTGTGTGCGGACACGCACCTACAATCCCGAGCTACCTAAGATGCAGCCAGAGGGTCAGGTGGAACGCCAAGACTCAGAATCTGATGCAGAGAGTTGCTGCTCAAACAACTTTCACTCCAGGCTCACGAGGGTCCAAACACACAACCCCACGAGCAGGCGCCCACATAGCCATACAGATAACTCTGTTGGCAGATCCAGCAACCGTTCAGCTTCATTTGCTCGTGAAACAGTAGACGAGGTCAAGGAACCTTCAGAGCCACCAAAGCGCGCCCTTCGTGCCCGAACTCTAATGAGTTACAAGGAGCCACCATTGCATACCAAGCTTCGCAGACCTGAGTGAAGCAGGCAAGCTCTCCTCCGGCTGTTAAGCAGCTTAACTCTTGCTCCCAATAGTATACCATCTTTTATTGTATTCATCCATCATGATACTAGCATATCAATCCTGAAGACTCACCACTACGTATCCAGCTTGGACAAGCATCGATCTTGTTATGTCATAGTCGTGTCACACTGGTTCCAACAAGAATATGCATGTTCGACCTTCTGTTCATGTGAAAGGCTGAAACCTTGCTCAATGGCGTCTGTTACTCATGCGACCATCCCTTCGCGCCTTGTCGCCATCCCACGCCTCGTCCCGCACTCCACCTCCTTGACCAGCACCACTACGACCATAGCTCCCTCCCACATCCTGCTCCCCAAGCCTGCCAGCAAGTCTGGAGCTCCTAGCAGGCCCTGCCCCTCGTGAAGGCGGTGGCAACTCAACCTCACCACTCCTCCTGCTCCCACCTCCACCACCACCACCACCACCACCGTCAGCAATCCACCGTCTGTCCGCACGGTCATCAAGCGTTGACGTTACATGAAGCATCGGCCCACCACGATGCCCACCACCGGCCGCCATAACCACAGCAGGAGACCGAGACGACGGATGAACCCCACCTGAATGGAATGGCGGAGCAAGCGGCATGGGCATGGCTGATGGCCCACCTGCTGCAATGCCAGCCACAGGCGGGCCGGCACCGCCTGGCGAATGCATGGCATCCCCATGCGGCTGCATGAGGCTCTGATCCCGCTTGATTTTCCTGCGCTTTGCAGGGAGAGCAGCTGAAGAACTGGTAGGAGCGAGCTGCGCAGGAAGGGACAGAGGCTGCGGTGGAAGAGGGGAAATGGGCTGGAGGTCCCTGGGAGGCGGCGCAGAGGAGAACTTGCTCTCCCGAGGCGAGCGGTCCCGCTCCCGATAAGGCTCGCGGTCTCGCGGGTGATCGCGGTCCCTGTCCCGATCCCTGTCCCGTTCCTGGTCGCGCTCGTCATAATCGTGATCGCGATCCCAGTCGCGGTCCCGCTCTCGTGGCTGGGGGAGGATGAGGTGGGGAGGAACAGCGTGAGAGAAACAACACGAGAAAGGATAAGGAGTTGACATGGGAAAATGCTACTCAGTCCCGAACAGGAATAAGTGGGCGAAGTTTCGAAAGATAAATATGTATGTTACAATACATGTATACATGTGCATTTCAATAAAATAACTGGTTCAACATGAGAGGCGTACCTCATGAAGGATTCTTCCAGCAGGAGCAGGTGGAGTTACGCCAACGACAAGCGAGTGACGAAGCCCCTGCCCTGCTCCATGCCTCAGCGCATGCCCCTCCTCCCTCCCCTCCTCGCCCATATCCCGCACCACCACACGAATCCCCCCTCCCCTCTCAATGCTCCGCTCGGGGAAGATTCCACGCTCCTTCTCACCCTTCTCAACACGCTCCCTCTCCCCACGTTCCTTCTCATACACACGCTCCTGCTCCACTCCCCGCTCCTCCTCCTTTCCACCCAACCTCTCTCCTCTCTCTCCCCTCTCCCTCCCACCCCTCCCTCGCTCCCCCAGTCTCTCCTTCATAGTTGAACGCTCATGGTCCCAGTCCCTGTCCCTTTCCTTCAAGTTCTCTGCTTCTCTCTCACGCCCCCCACCCCTCTCCTCCTTCACCTCCCTCTCAGGGGTGCTATCAACCTGCCCTCGCTCTCTCTCCCTCCCCTTCTCCCTCTCCCTCTCCTTATCCCTCTCCCTGTCTCCTTTACGATCAGACACTCCTTTCTCACGCACACCACCCCTTTCCCCCCACTCATGCACATCCCCACGCCCATCACCCACAATACCTGTATCCTCCACCTCTCTCCCCTTCCCCCGCTCCACACTACCTCTCTCACTCCACTCTCCCTTCTCCCCTCCCCGACCCCCACTCCCCCGCTCCCCTCCTCTCCCTTCCCCTCTCCCCTCCCGCTCATGCGCCCTCGGCGTCTCCTCTCCCCTCTCCCGCTCCCTCTCCCTCTCCCTCCCCTTCTCGTCCCTGCCTCTCTCCCTCTCCATCTCCCCATCGTTCCTCCTCGCTCGCTTAACTCCCCGCTCTCCACCACCTCCAGCCACCGCCCCTCCTCCCCCTTCTTCTGATGAACTCACACTCCTCTTACCTCCCCTACCCTTCCCTCCCTCCTCCACCCCTTCCATTTCCTTTGGACTCTTCACACCAGATGCGCCTCCCCCTCCTGCTTCCCCTCCTGCTCCCCCTCCCGTCACTCTAGCAGGACTTGCTGCCATACTGGCCCCTCGCTCTCCTCCCCCTGCACCGCCCCCCTCTCCTCCTCCCACAACCCCTCCGGAGATTCGGCCAGCAGTGGCAGCAGCAGCTGCAGCCACAGCTGCTGCCGCAGCAGCCTTGCTTCGCTCTCTTCCCTTATCCTTCCCTGCGCCCCGCTCCCTCTCCCTCTCTCGCTCCTTCTCCCTCTCCCTTTCCTTCTCCCTCTCCCTTTCCCTCTCCTTCTCCTTCTCCCTCACCATCATATCTTCTTCAAGTCGAGCCCTCAGCCTTTCCCGCTCCTCTCGCATCTTCTCCTCCTGCACTCGCTCCCTCTGCTCATCCTTCTCCTTTTCCTTTTCCTTCTCCCGTTCCCTCTCCTTCTCCCTTTCCCTCTCCTTCTCCTCGCCCCTCTCCTCCTCATGGTTCCTCTCGCGTCCTTTGTCCCTCTCCCGTCCTTCCTTCACCTCCCCCCTCTCCACCTCACGATCCTTCTCCCTCTCCCCACGGCCCCTGTCTCGTCCCTTGTCTTCCCTCTCCCTTTCCCTCTCCTTCCCCCTCTCCCTCTCCCTCTCTCTCCCTTCTCTCTCTTTCCCCTTCCCAGCCTCCGCCTCCCTTTCTCTTGATTTATCTTTATCCCTCTCCTCCCTCTCCCTCTCCCTACTCTTCATCTCCTCTTTCTCAATCTTCACACTTTTCTCATCCCACCCACCACGCATATCCTGCTCCCCATCCTCCCACTCCCCTCTCTTCCCCCTCTCACCCACATCTCTCACCCCCTCTCTCTCCGCTCCATCACTCCCCCTCTTATGCCCTCCCCTGCCCTCCCACCTGCCCTCCCCTCTGCCCTCCCCCCTCACCTCCCCAGCCTCATGCTCCTCTTTCTCCTCATACGCTCTCCCACTAGACCTACCCACACCCAAGCTATCCCTGTGATTTGACCCCTCAACCCCCAACCCCGACTTCCCACCCTTCCCTTTGCCTGCATAAAACCCTCCCTCCTCGCCTCCTCTCTCCCTCCCTGCCCTTTCTTCGTGCCTACCACCACCACCAGACCCCTTCCTTTCCCTCTCCCTCTCACTCCCCTCCCTCCCTTCCTCATCTCGCCCCCCTCCCTTCACCTCCATCTCTTCATCTCTCACCCTCCCCCCATCCTCCCCACCCCCTGCCCCTCTTAGTGCAGCAGGCACAAAGGGAGGAGCATCAGGGGAGAGCTTGCTGCCTGCCCTCACCCCCCCTCTTCCAGCCTCCCCTCCTCCTCCCCATCCCCCTCCCTCTCCCTCTCCTCCTTCCACCTTCCTGTGCTTCGCAAGTGGTGCTTGCTCCCCCTCCTCCCACCTATCCTCTCTTCTCCCTTCCATCTGCCCGCCTGTCCTCATTACAGGCTCCTCCTTTATAGGGACTTCCGCAGCAGCAGCACGGGAAGATGAACCATCACCAGCACCAGCAGCAGCACCAGCAGGAGCGCCCTCCTCTCCTTTAACCATCGTCACTCTCTCCCTTTCCTTTTCCATAGCCCTGCCCCTTACCTTCTCCCCCTCGCTCTCCTCCCTCACTCCCCCCATTTCACCATGGATCAGGGGAGACTTAGAGGCAGGGCGTTCAGGGGAAGGGGGAGGCACGGAGGAACGGCGCGAGGGTGGGGGCGTGGGGTGGCGACTAGACGGAGCAGAAGGAGCAGCAGCAGCAGGAGCAGCAGCAGCAGGGATAGCAGCAGCACCCTTGCCAATCCCACCACCACCAGCAGCAGCCGAAGCAGCATCAGCTACAGAGGGTTTGGCGTTGGCAGCAGGGACAGTGGCAGGAGCAGCAGCCGTGGTAGCAGCAATAGTGGTGGTGGTGGGGGCAGAAGGAGCAGCAGCAAGAGGGGCAGGGGAGGCAGCACGGGGAGCGGCAGAGGGAGCTGGTGCTCCTCCGAACTCCTCATCTGTCACCCACGATTGCTGCGAGAGGGAGGCACAAGCGGAAGAGAGAGGGGAGCAAAAATGGAAAACAACTCTCAAAAGCTGGAGCTCCTCAAGATCTTCATCTGTCACCCACGATTGCTGCGAGAGGGACAGGGATGCACACACAGAAAGTGGCACTTCGAGATCAGAGCAGGAGAGAGGCAGCAAGAGGGGCAACAGAGGCAGGGCAGGATGTGTCAGAGGGAGTTGGTGCTCCTCCGAACCCCTCATCTGTCACCCACGACTGCTGTGAGAAAGACACCGTGAGAATATAGGAAGACACAAAGGTTAATAAATAACAGCTTTTTTCTTTTTGTTTCTATTCTAAGAGTTACAAGTCCATATTTTCAGGACTATAATCCTATGCTTGTTTGGACAAGTCGTGTCCCTTGTGGACCCAACGCCTCAGGGCCTGATAATTCTATCCCCCGTTGCAGCCGTACCCTCTTGGCGTTGAGTGCAGCTGACACGCTGGTCGCCATGAGCTTCAGATGAGCAACAATGGCATGTGTGAAATCTATCCCCCTCATAGAGACCTCCTCATTCTATCCCCCTTTGCAGCCGTACCTTCTTGGCGTTGAGTGCAGCTGACACACTGGTCGCCATGAGTTTCAGATCCTGCCGCTCCTCCACCTTGAGGCGATTCACCTGATGGCGATGGTGGCATGGGATGGCACGATGGCATGATTTAAGAATGTTATGATCAGCTGATGGCATGACGAGATGATGGCATGACGAGATGATGGCATGACGAGAAGATGGCATGACGAGATGATGGCATGGTGGCATGGCCGTGTCATGGCATGATGAGATCATGAGATGCTGCGATTTTACGGATACGAAGCGGCGACAACTGTGCAATGCATAGGAGCTTGATGGCATGGTGGCCATAGCGGCAGCGGCGGAGGTGGCGGTGCTGGCGGAGGCAGCAGCAGCAGGAGCAGAAGCATCATCAAAAGCAACCAGAGCGGCACCACACATACTTTGCGCTCTAGGAACCACCGCCACTCACCTTGCGCTCATCAGCCACCCACCTTGTACTCATCAGCCGCCCACCTTGCGCTCATCAGCCGCCCACCTTGCGCTCATCAGCCGCCCACCTTGCGCTCATCAGCCGCCCACCTTGCGCTCATCAGCCGCCCACCTTGCGCTCATCAGCCGCCCACCTTGCGCTCATCAGCCGCCCACCTTGCGCTCATCAGCCGCCCACCTTGCGCTCATCAGCCGCCGCCATTGCGCTCATCAGCCGCCCACCTTGCGCTCATCAGCCGCCCACATTGCGCTCATGAGCCCCCCACCTTGCGCTCATCAGCCGCCCACCTTGCGCTCATCAGCCGCCCACCTTGCGCTCACCAGCCGCCCACCTTGAGCTCATCAGCCTCCCACCTTGCGCTCATCAGCCGCCCACCTTGCGCTCATCAGCCGCCCACCTCGCGCTCATCAGCCGCCCACCTCGCGCTCATCAGCCGCCCACCTCGCGCTCATCAGCCGCCCACCTCGCGCTCATCAGCCGCCCACCTTGCGCTCATCAGCCGCCCACCTTGCGCTCATCAGCCGCCCACCTTGCGCTCATCAGCCGCCCACCTTGCGCTCATCAGCCACCCACCTTGCGGTCATCAGCCACCCACCTTGCGGTCATCAGCCGCCCACCTTGCGCTCATCAGCCGCCCACCTTGCGCTCATCAGCCGCCCACCTTGCGCTCATCAGCCGCCCACCTTGCGCTCATCAGCCGCCCACCTTGCGCTCATCAGCCGCCCACCTTGCGCTCATCAGCCTCCCACCTTGCGCTCATCAGCCGCCCACCTTGCGCTCATCGGCCGCCGCCATTGCGCTCATCAGCCGCCCACCTTGCGCTCATCAGCCGCCCACATTGCGCTCATGAGCCGCCCACCTTGCGCTCATCAGCCGCCCACCTTGCGCTCATCAGCCGCCCACCTCGCGCTCATCAGCCGCCCACCTTGCGCTCATCAGCCTCCCACCTTGCGCTCATCAGCCGCCCACCTTGCGCTCATCAGCCGCCCACCTTGCGCTCATCAGCCGCCCACCTTGCGCTCATCAGCCGCCGCCATTGCGCTCATCAGCCGCCCACCTTGCGCTCATCAGCCGCCCACATTGCGCTCATGAGCCGCCCACCTTGCGCTCATCAGCCGCCCACCTTGCGCTCATCAGCCGCCCACCTTGCGCTCATCAGCCGCCCACCTTGAGCTCATCAGCCTCCCACCTTGCGCTCATCAGACGCCCACCTTGCGCTCATCAGCCGCCCACCTCGCGCTCATCAGCCGCCCACCTCGCGCTCATCAGCCGCCCACCTCGCGCTCATCAGCCGCCCACCTCGCGCTCATCAGCCGCCCACCTCGCGCTCATCAGCCGCCCACCTCGCGCTCATCAGCCGCCCACCTTGCGCTCATCAGCCGCCCACCTTGCGCTCATCAGCCGCCCACCTTGCGGTCATCAGCCACCCACCTTGCGGTCATCAGCCACCCACCTTGCGGTCATCAGCCGCCCACCTTGCGCTCATCAGCCGCCCACCTTGCGCTCATCAGCCGCCCACCTTGCGCTCATCAGCCGCCCACCTTGCGCTCATCAGCCGCCCACCTTGCGCTCATCAGCCGCCCACCTTGCGCTCATCAGCCGCCCACCTTGCGCTCATCAGCCGCCCACCTTGCGCTCATCAGCCGCCCACCTTGCGCTCATCAGCCGCCCACCTTGCGCTCATCAGCCGCCCACCTTGCGCTCATCAGCCGCCCACCTTGCGCTCATCAGCCGCCCACCTTGCGCTCATCAGCCGCCCACCTTGCGCTCATCAGCCGCCCACCTTGCGCTCATCAGCCGCCCACCTTGCGCTCATCAGCCGCCGCCATTGCGCTCATCAGCCGCCCACCTTGCGCTCATCAGCCGCCCACATTGCGCTCATGAGCCGCCCACCTTGCGCTCATCAGCCGCCCACCTTGCGCTCATCAGCCGCCCACCTTGCGCTCATCAGCCGCCCACCTTGCGCTCATCAGCCTCCCACCTTGCGCTCATCAGCCGCCCACCTTGCGCTCATCAGCCGCCCACCTCGCGCTCATCAGCCGCCCACCTCGCGCTCATCAGCCGCCCACCTCGCGCTCATCAGCCGCCCACCTTGCGCTCATCAGCCGCCCACCTTGCGCTCATCAGCCGCCCACCTTGCGCTCATCAGCCGCCCACCTTGCGCTCATCAGCCGCCCACCTTGCGCTCATCAGCCGCCCACCTTGCGCTCATCAGCCGCCCACCTTGCGCTCATCAGCCGCCCACCTTGCGCTCATCAGCCGCCCACCTTGCGCTCATCAGCCGCCCACCTTGCGCTCATCAGCCGCCCACCTTGCGCTCATCAGCCGCCCACCTTGCGCTCATCAGCCGCCCACCTTGCGCTCATCAGCCGCCCACCTTGCGCTCATCAGCCGCCCACCTCGCGCTCATCAGCCGCCCACCTTGCGCTCATCAGCTGCCCACCTTGCGCTCATCAGCCGCCCACCTTGCGCTCATCAGCCGCCCACCTTGCGCTCATCAGCCGCCCACCTTGCGCTCATCAGCCTCCCACCTTGCGCTCATCAGCCGCCCACCTCGCGCTCATCAGCCGCCCACCTCGCGCTCATCAGCCGCCCACCTTGCGCTCATCAGCCGCCCACCTTGCGCTCATCAGCCGCCCACCTTGCGCTCATCAGCCGCCCACCTTGCGCTCATCAGCCGCCCACCTTGCGCTCATCAGCCGCCCACCTTGCGCTCATCAGCCGCCCACCTTGCGCTCATCAGCCGCCCACCTTGCGCTCATCAGCCTCCCACCTTGCGCTCATCAGCCGCCCACCTCGCGCTCATCAGCCGCCCACCTCGCGCTCATCAGCCGCCCACCTTGCGCTGATCAGCCGCCCACCTCGCGCTCATCAGCCGCCCACCTTGCGCTCATCAGCCGCCCACCTTGCGCTCATCAGCCGCCCACCTTGCGCTCATCAGCCGCCCACCTTGCGCTCATCAGCCGCCCACCTCGCGCTCATCAGCCGCCCACCTCGCGCTCATCAGCCGCCCACCTTGCGCTCATCAGCCGCCCACCTTGCGCTCATCAGCCGCCCACCTTGCGCTCATCAGCCGCCCACCTTGCGCTCATCAGCCGCCCACCTTGCGCTCATCAGCCGCCCACCTTGCGCTCATCAGCCGCCCACCTCGCGCTCATCAGCCGCCCACCTTGCGCTCATCAGCTGCCCACCTTGCGCTCATCAGCCGCCCACCTTGCGCTCATCAGCCGCCCACCTTGCGCTCATCAGCCGCCCACCTTGCGCTCATCAGCCGCCCACCTTGCGCTCATCAGCCGCCCACCTTGCGCTCATCAGCCGCCCACCTTGCGCTCATCAGCCGCCCACCTTGCGCTCATCAGCCGCCCACCTTGCGCTCATCAGCCGCCCACCTTGCGCTCATCAGCCGCCCACCTTGCGCTCATCAGCCGCCCACCTTGCGCTCATCAGCCGCCCACCTTGCGCTCATCAGCCGCCCACCTTGCGCTCATCAGCCGCCCACCTTGCGCTCATCAGCCGCCCACCTTGCGCTCATCAGCCGCCCACCTCGCGCTCATCAGCCGCCCACCTCGCGCTCATCAGCCGCCCACCTCGCGCTCATCAGCCGCCCACCTTGCGCTCATCAGCCGCCCACCTTGCGCTCATCAGCCGCCCACCTTGCGCTCATCAGCCGCCCACCTTGCGCTCATCAGCCGCCCACCTTGCGCTCATCAGCCGCCCACCTTGTGCTCATCAGCCGCCCACCTTGCGCTCATCAGCCGCCCACCTTGCGCTCATCAGCCGCCCACCTTGCGCTCATTAGCCGCCCACCTTGCGCTCATCAGCCGCCCACCTTGCGCTCATCAGCCGCCCACCTTGCGCTCATCAGCCGCCCACCTTGCGCTCATCAGCCGCCCACCTTGCGCTCATCAGCCGCCCACCTTGCGCTCATCAGCCGCCCACCTTGCGCTCATCAGCCGCCCACATTGCGCTCATGAGCCGACCACCTTGCGCTCATCAGCCGCCCACCTTGCGCTCATCAGCCGCCCACCTTGCGCTCATCAGCCGCCCACCTTGAGCTCATCAGCCTCCCACCTTGCGCTCATCAGCCGCCCACCTTGCGCTCATCAGCCGCCCACCTCGCGCTCATCAGCCGCCCACCTCGCGCTCATCAGCCGCCCACCTCGCGCTCATCAGCCGCCCACCTTGCGCTCATCAGCCGCCCACATTGCGCTCATCAGCCGCCCACCTTGCGCTCATCAGCCGCCCACCTTGCGCTCATTAGCCGCCCACCTTGCGCTCATCAGCCGCCCACCTTGCGCTCATCAGCCGCCCACCTTGCGCTCATCAGCCGCCCACCTTGCGCTCATCAGCCGCCCACCTTGAGCTCATCAGCCTCCCACCTTGCGCTCATCAGCCGCCCACCTTGCGCTCATCAGCCGCCCACCTCGCGCTCATCAGCCGCCCACCTCGCGCTCATCAGCCGCCCACCTCGCGCTCATCAGCCGCCCACCTTGCGCTCATCAGCCGCCCACCTTGCGCTCATCAGCCGCCCACCTTGCGCTCATCAGCCGCCCACCTTGCGCTCATCAGCCGCCCACCTTGCGCTCATCAGCCGCCCACCTTGTGCTCATCAGCCGCCCACCTTGCGCTCATCAGCTGCCCACCTTGCGCTCATCAGCCGCCCACCTTGCGCTCATCAGCCGCCCACCTTGCGCTCATCAGCCGCCCACCTTGCGCTCATCAGCCTCCCACCTTGCGCTCATCAGCCGCCCACCTCGCGCTCATCAGCCGCCCACCTCGCGCTCATCAGCCGCCCACCTTGCGCTCATCAGCCGCCCACCTCGCGCTCATCAGCTGCCCACCTCGCGCTCATCAGCCGCCCACCTCGCGCTCATCAGCCGCCCACCTTGCGCTCATCAGCCGCCCACCTTGCGCTCATCAGCCGCCCACCTTGCGCTCATCAGCCGCCCACCTTGCGCTCATCAGCCGCCCACCTTGCGCTCATTAGCCGCCCACCTTGCGCTCATCAGCCGCCCACCTTGCGCTCATCAGCCGCCCACCTTGCGCTCATCAGCCGCCCACCTTGCGCTCATCAGCCGCCCACCTTGAGCTCATCAGCCTCCCACCTTGCGCTCATCAGCCGCCCACCTTGCGCTCATCAGCCGCCCACCTCGCGCTCATCAGCCGCCCACCTCGCGCTCATCAGCCGCCCACCTCGCGCTCATCAGCCGCCCACCTTGCGCTCATCAGCCGCCCACCTTGCGCTCATCAGCCGCCCACCTTGCGCTCATCAGCCGCCCACCTTGCGCTCATCAGCCGCCCACCTTGCGGTCATCAGCCGCCCACCTTGCGCTCATCAGCCGCCCACCTTGCGCTCATCAGCCGCCCACCTTGCGCTCATCAGCCGCCCACCTTGCGCTCATCAGCCGCCCACCTTGCGCTCATCAGCCGCCCACCTTGCGCTCATCAGCCGCCCACCTTGCGCTCATCAGCCGCCCACCTTGCGCTCATCAGCCGCCCACCTTGCGCTCATCAGCCGCCCACCTTGCGCTCATCAGCCTCCCACCTTGCGCTCATCAGCCGCCCACCTTGCGCTCATCAGCCGCCCACCTTGCGCTCATCAGCCGCCCACCTTGCGCTCATCAGCCACCCACCTTGCGCTCATCAGCCGCCCACCTTGCGCTCATCAGCCGCCCACCTTGCGCTCATCAGCCGCCCACCTTGCGCTCATCAGCCGCCCACCTTGCGCTCATCAGCCACCCACCTTGCGGTCATCAGCCACCCACCTTGCGCTCATCAGCCACCCACCTTGCGCTCGAGCACGAGCCCGCCGCGCTTGGTGACGGGGAAGACGGCGGAGACGCGCGAGAGGAGAGTGAGGGCGTTGCGGATGTGCATGTACTCAGTGGACTCGAGCAGGGTTGATAGCACCTTCACCAGCTTCGCATTCCACTTCCAGTTGATCTGGTGGCCAGAGAGGGAGATAGCAGGCGGAGATGGAAGATGGGAGTGGGGAGAGCAGAGGGGAGCAGAGTGAGGGCGTTGCGGATGTGCATGTACTCTGTGGACTCGAGCAGGGTTGATAGCACCTTCACTAACTTGGCATTCCACTTCCAGTTGATCTGGTGGCAGTGGAAGGGGGGTGTGGGAGACGGAAGAGGGGAGCAGCATGTGAGATGCAGTGGGGGGATGTGCATGTACTCTGTGGACTCGAGCAGGGTTGATAGCACCTTCACCAGCTTCGCGTTCCACTTCCAGTTGATCTGGTGGCACAGGAAGGGGAGGAGAGAATTGGAAGAGGGGAGCATGGTGAGGGTGCGTGCAGTGGGGCGAGTGTGCATGTGCTCGACTCGACATTCCACTTGGTATGTGCTTGTAGTGTGGGGTCAGCAACACAGTCAACACGAACACAATCACCCATGAATCACGGACCGTGTGGAACTGGTCGAGTGTCATGTTGTTGTTGGGCTTCTTCATCACACTCTTGTCAATAAGGTCAACAAAGTCAACAGTCAAGTATATGCAGTCAACACAGTCAACAGGAGCATGAACCACTCACAGTGCGGAACTGGTCTAGCGTCATTTGGTTGTTGGGCTTCTTCATCACGCTCTTGTCAATAAGGTCAACAGGGTCAACACAGACATGAGGGCATGGTACCCACCGTGCGGAACTGGTCAAGTGTCATGTTGTTGTTGGGCTTCTTCATCACACTCTTGGACGACCCGGGGTGGTCCAGACACTCGGCGTTGTACACCGCTGCATCGCTCTGCCGGGCACAAACAGCAAAGGTAGGGAAGGGGGGAGGGAGGAGGGGGTAGTGGAGGGTTGTGGAAAGGTAAGATCGAGACACTTGGCGTTGTACACCGCTGCATCGCTCTGCCATGCACACACACCAAGAGGGGGGAGGAGGGGAAGCAGGAAAGAGGGAGCAGCGTGGTGTGAGAGAGGAAAGAGGTTCCGATCTGACACTTCGCGTTGGCGGGAAACAGGCGTTCCGATCTGACACTTGGCGTTGTACACCGCAGCACCGCTCTGCCAGTCACCGACAGCACAAGATGGGGGGCAGCGGAAGGAGGAAGAGTGGGAAGCGATTGAGCAATAGTGTGGCGTGAGAGAGGAAAGAGGTTCCCATCCGACACTCTGTGTTGTACACCGCAGCACCTCTCTGCCACTCACCGACACCAAGAAAGAGGGGAGGTGTGGGGGGGGAGGGTTGGTATCCAAGGGTGTGTGAAGGATGGCCGATAGGTAGATGACTTGCAGAATCTCCAGAAGAGACCCAGGCGGCCCGCCTTAGCCTCAGAGGAGCTGGCGAGCAGCGGGTGGAAGCACGTACCACCACTGACTGACACTCACCTTCCACTCATACCCCCCCCCCCCTCCCTCTCTTCCCTCTGCCTCGCACCCACCTTCCAGCGGTAGATGGCCTGCAGAATCTCCAGCACAAAGTGCCCCCAGGCTGCCCAGGTGGCCCAGGCACCCCAAATGCCTCTCTCCTCATGCCTCCCTCTGCCCCTCACCCTCCACCGGTAGATGGCCTGCAGAATCTCCAGCACAAACCGGCCCAGGCGGCCCAGTTACCCCAGTCGCCCCAGCTTTCCCAGTTGCCCCAGTCATCCCGCCTTTCTCTGCCCCTCACCTTCCAGCGGTAGATGGCCTGCAGGATCTCCAGCACAAAGCGCCCCAGGCGGCCCGCCTCGGCTTCGGAGGAGCTGGCGAGCAGCGGGTGGAAGCTCTTACAGACAAAGGCGTCCACCATCTGAAACGTGCAGAACTGCGGGGTGGCCGCTGCGTGCATGCGCAGGATGAACCTGGACAGGTACAACGGAGGAAGCAGGGAAGCACGGAACGACGATGACCCAGCTGTCAGGCACTGCCCCCATCCAAGACTGCTGGTCCCCCCCCATCTCCCCAACAATAGCATGCCATGTATCACACTCAAACTCACTTGGTGCAACACGCCACATCTTCAGCAGCACGTGCGGGATGATGGAGCAGTGGTGGTGTAGGAAACAGTGGTGGAGCAGGAAGCAGTGGTGGTGTAGGAAAGAGTGGTGGTGTAGGAAACAGTGGTGGTGTAGGAAACAGTGGTGGTGTAGGAAACAGTGGTGGAGCAGGAAGCAGTGGTGGTGTAGGAAGCAGTGGTGGTGTAGGAAACAGTGGTGGTGTAGGAAGCAGTGGTGGTGTAGGAAACAGTGGTGGTGTAGGAAACAGTGGTGGAGCAGGAAGCAGTGGTGGTGTAGGAAGCAGTGGTGGTGTAGGAAACAGTGGTGGTGTAGGAAACAGTGGTGGTGCAGGAAGCAGTGGTGGTGTAGGAAACAGTGGTGGTGTAGGAAACAGTGGTGGAGCAGGAAGCAGTGGTGGTGTAGGAAGCAGTGGTGGTGTAGGAAGCAGTGGTGGTGTAGGAAGCAGTGGTGGTGTAGGAAGCAGTGGTGGTGTAGGAAACAGTGGTGGAGCAGGAAGCAGTGGTGGTGTAGGAAACAGTGGTGGTGTAGGAAACAGTGGTGGTGTAGGAAACAGTGGTGGTGCAGGAAGCAGTGGTGGTGTAGGAAACAGTGGTGGTGTAGGAAACAGTGGTGGTGTAGGAAACAGTGGTGGTGTAGGAAACAGTGGTGGTGTAGGAAACAGTGGTGGAGCAGGAAGCAGTGGTGGTGTAGGAAGCAGTGGTGGTGTAGGAAACAGTGGTGGTGTAGGAAACAGTGGTGGAGCAGGAAGCAGTGGTGGTGTAGGAAACAGTGGTGGTGTAGGAAACAGTGGTGGTGTAGGAAACAGTGGTGGTGCAGGAAGCAGTGGTGGTGTAGGAAACAGTGGTGGTGTAGGAAACAGTGGTGGTGTAGGAAACAGTGGTGGAGCAGGAAGCAGTGGTGGTGTAGGAAAGAGTGGTGGTGTAGGAAACAGTGGTGGAGCAGGAAGCAGTGGTGGTGTAGGAAAGAGTGGTGGTGTAGGAAACAGTGGTGGTGTAGGAAACAGTGGTGGTGTAGGAAACAGTGGTGGTGTAGGAAACAGTGGTGGAGCAGGAAGCAGTGGTGGTGTAGGAAAGAGTGGTGGTGTAGGAAACAGTGGTGGTGCAGGAAGCAGTGGTGGTGTAGGAAACAGTGGTGGTGCAGGAAGCAGTGGTGGTGTAGGAAACAGTGGTGGTGTAGGAAACAGTGGTGGTGCAGGAAGCAGTGGTGGTGTAGGAAGCAGTGGTGGTGTAGGAAACAGTGGTGGTGCAGGAAGCAGTGGTGGTGCAGGAAGCAGTGGTGGTGTAGGAAACAGTGGTGGAGCAGGAAGCAGTGGTGGTGTAGGAAACAGTGGTGGTGCAGGAAGCAGTGGTGGTGCAGGAAGCAGTGGTGGTGTAGGAAACAGTGGTGGAGCAGGAAGCAGTGGTGGTGTAGGAAACAGTGGTGGTGTAGGAAACAGTGGTGGTGTAGGAAACAGTGGTGGTGCAGGAAGCAGTGGTGGTGTAGGAAACAGTGGTGGTGTAGGAAACAGTGGTGGTGTAGGAAACAGTGGTGGTGCAGGAAGCAGTGGTGGTGTAGGAAGCAGTGGTGGTGTAGGAAACAGTGGTGGTGTAGGAAACAGTGGTGGAGCAGGAAGCAGTGGTGGTGTAGGAAACAGTGGTGGTGTAGGAAACAGTGGTGGTGTAGGAAACAGTGGTGGTGCAGGAAGCAGTGGTGGTGTAGGAAACAGTGGTGGTGTAGGAAACAGTGGTGGTGTAGGAAACAGTGGTGGTGCAGGAAGCAGTGGTGGTGTAGGAAGCAGTGGTGGTGTAGGAAACAGTGGTGGTGTAGGAAGCAGTGGTGGTGCAGGAAGCAGTGGTGGTGCAGGAAGCAGTGGTGGTGTAGGAAGCAGTGGTGGTGTAGGAAACAGTGGTGGTGTAGGAAACAGTGGTGGTGTAGGAAACAGTGGTGGTGTAGGAAGCAGTGGTGGTGTAGGAAACAGTGGTGGTGTAGGAAACAGTGGTGGAGCAGGAAGCAGTGGTGGTGTAGGAAACAGTGGTGGTGCAGGAAGCAGTGGTGGTGTAGGAAGCAGTGGTGGTGTAGGAAGCAGTGGTGGTGTAGGAAACAGTGGTGGTGTAGGAAACAGTGGTGGTGTAGGAAACAGTGGTGGTGTAGGAAGCAGTGGTGGTGTAGGAAACAGTGGTGGTGTAGGAAACAGTGGTGGAGCAGGAAGCAGTGGTGGTGTAGGAAGCAGTGGTGGTGTAGGAAGCAGTGGTGGTGTAGGAAACAGTGGTGGAGCAGGAAGCAGTGGTGGTGTAGGAAGCAGTGGTGGTGTAGGAAGCAGTGGTGGTGTAGGAAAGAGTGGTGGTGTAGGAAGCAGTGGTGGTGTAGGAAACAGTGGTGGTGTAGGAAACAGTGGTGGTGCAGGAAGCAGTGGTGGTGTAGGAAAGAGTGGTGGTGTAGGAAACAGTGGTGGTGTAGGAAACAGTGGTGGTGTAGGAAACAGTGGTGGTGTAGGAAAGAGTGGTGGTGTAGGAAACAGTGGTGGTGTAGGAAACAGTGGTGGAGCAGGAAGCAGTGGTGGTGTAGGACACAGTGGTGGTGTAGGAAACAATGGTGGTGTAGGAAACAGTGGTGGTGTAGGAAAGAGTGGTGGTGTAGGAAACAGTGGTGGTGTAGGAAGCAATGGTGGTGTAGGAAACAGTGGTGGTGCAGGAAACAGTGGTGGTGTAGGAAACAGTGGTGGTGCAGGAAGCAGTGGTGGTGTAGGAAGCAGTGGTGGTGTAGGAAACAGTGGTGGTGCAGGAAGCAGTGGTGGTGTAGGAAACAGTGGTGGTGTAGGAAGCAGTGGTGGTGTAGGAAACAGTGGTGGTGTAGGAAACAGTGGTGGTGTAGGAAGCAGTGGTGGTGTAGGAAAGAGTGGTGGTGTAGGAAGCAGTGGTGGTGTAGGAAACAGTGGTGGTGCAGGAAGCAGTGGTGGTGTAGGAAAGAGTGGTGGTGTAGGAAACAGTGGTGGTGTAGGAAACAGTGGTGGTGTAGGACACAGTGGTGGTGCAGGAAGCAGTGGTGGTGTAGGAAGCAGTGGTGGTGTAGGAAACAGTGGTGGTGTAGGAAACAGTGGTGGTGTAGGAAACAGTGGTGGTGTAGGAAAGAGTGGTGGTGTAGGAAACAGTGGTGGTGCAGGAAGCAGTGGTGGTGTAGGAAACAGTGGTGGTGTAGGAAACAGTGGTGGTGCAGGAAGCAGTGGTGGTGTAGGAAACAGTGGTGGTGTAGGAAGCAGTGGTGGTGTAGGAAACAGTGGTGGTGTAGGAAACAGTGGTGGTGTAGGAAGCAGTGGTGGTGTAGGAAAGAGTGGTGGTGTAGGAAGCAGTGGTGGTGTAGGAAACAGTGGTGGTGCAGGAAGCAGTGGTGGTGTAGGAAAGAGTGGTGGTGTAGGAAACAGTGGTGGTGTAGGAAACAGTGGTGGTGTAGGACACAGTGGTGGTGTAGGAAACAATGGTGGTGTAGGAAACAGTGGTGGTGTAGGAAAGAGTGGTGGTGTAGGAAACAGTGGTGGAGTAGGAAACAGTGGTGGTGTAGGAAACAGTGGTGGTGTAGGAAGCAGTGGTGGTGTAGGAAACAGTGGTGGTGTAGGAAAGAGTGGTGGTGTAGGAAGCAGTGGTGGTGTAGGAAACAGTGGTGGTGTAGGAAGCAGTGGTGGTGTAGGAAACAGTGGTGGTGCAGGAAGCAGTGGTGGTGTAGGAAGCAGTGGTGGTGTAGGAAACAGTGGTGGTGTAGGAAACAGTGGTGGTGTAGGAAACAGTGGTGGTGTAGGAAAGAGTGGTGGTGTAGGAAACAGTGGTGGTGTAGGAAACAGTGGTGGTGTAGGACACAGTGGTGGTGTAGGAAACAATGGTGGTGTAGGAAACAGTGGTGGTGTAGGAAAGAGTGGTGGTGTAGGAAACAGTGGTGGAGCAGGAAGCAGTGGTGGTGTAGGAAACAGTGGTGGTGTAGGAAAGAGTGGTGGTGTAGGAAGCAGTGGTGGTGTAGGAAGCAGTGGTGGTGTAGGAAACAGTGGTGGTGTAGGAAGCAGTGGTGGTGTAGGAAACAGTGGTGGTGCAGGAAGCAGTGGTGGTGTAGGAAGCAGTGGTGGTGTAGGAAACAGTGGTGGTGTAGGAAACAGTGGTGGTGTAGGAAGCAGTGGTGGTGCAGGAAACAGTGGTGGTGCAGGAAGCAGTGGTGGTGCAGGAAGCAGTGGTGGTGTAGGAAGCAGTGGTGGTGTAGGAAACAGTGGTGGTGTAGGAAACAGTGGTGGTGTAGGAAGCAGTGGTGGTGTAGGAAACAGTGGTGGAGCAGGAAGCAGTGGTGGTGTAGGAAGCAGTGGTGGTGTAGGAAGCAGTGGTGGTGTAGGAAACAGTGGTGGTGTAGGAAACAGTGGTGGTGTAGGAAACAGTGGTGGTGTAGGAAGCAGTGGTGGTGTAGGAAACAGTGGTGGTGTAGGAAACAGTGGTGGAGCAGGAAGCAGTGGTGGTGTAGGAAGCAGTGGTGGTGTAGGAAGCAGTGGTGGTGTAGGAAACAGTGGTGGAGCAGGAAGCAGTGGTGGTGTAGGAAGCAGTGGTGGTGTAGGAAGCAGTGGTGGTGTAGGAAACAGTGGTGGTGTAGGAAACAGTGGTGGTGTAGGAAACAGTGGTGGTGTAGGAAAGAGTGGTGGTGTAGGAAACAGTGGTGGTGTAGGAAACAGTGGTGGTGTAGGAAACAGTGGTGGAGCAGGAAGCAGTGGTGGTGTAGGAAGCAGTGGTGGTGTAGGAAGCAGTGGTGGTGTAGGAAACAGTGGTGGAGCAGGAAGCAGTGGTGGTGTAGGAAGCAGTGGTGGTGTAGGAAACAGTGGTGGTGTAGGAAACAGTGGTGGTGTAGGAAACAGTGGTGGTGTAGGAAAGAGTGGTGGTGTAGGAAACAGTGGTGGTGTAGGAAACAGTGGTGGTGTAGGAAACAGTGGTGGAGCAGGAAGCAGTGGTGGTGTAGGAAGCAGTGGTGGTGTAGGAAGCAGTGGTGGTGTAGGAAACAGTGGTGGAGCAGGAAGCAGTGGTGGTGTAGGAAGCAGTGGTGGTGTAGGAAACAGTGGTGGAGCAGGAAGCAGTGGTGGTGTAGGAAGCAGTGGTGGTGTAGGAAGCAGTGGTGGTGTAGGAAACAGTGGTGGTGTAGGAAACAGTGGTGGTGTAGGAAGCAGTGGTGGTGTAGGAAGCAGTGGTGGTGTAGGAAACAGTGGTGGTGCAGGAAGCAGTGGTGGTGTAGGAAACAGTGGTGGTGTAGGAAACAGTGGTGGTGTAGGAAGCAGTGGTGGTGTAGGAAAGAGTGGTGGTGTAGGAAGCAGTGGTGGTGTAGGAAAGAGTGGTGGTGTAGGAAACAGTGGTGGTGTAGGAAGCAGTGGTGGTGTAGGAAAGAGTGGTGGTGTAGGAAACAGTGGTGGTGTAGGAAACAGTGGTGGTGTAGGAAACAGTGGTGGAGCAGGAAGCAGTGGTGGTGTAGGACACAGTGGTGGTGTAGGAAAGAGTGGTGGTGTAGGAAACAGTGGTGGTGTAGGAAAGAGTGGTGGTGTAGGAAACAGTGGTGGTGTAGGAAGCAGTGGTGGTGTAGGAAAGAGTGGTGGTGTAGGAAACAGTGGTGGTGTAGGAAGCAGTGGTGGTGTAGGAAAGAGTGGTGGTGTAGGAAACAGTGGTGGTGTAGGAAACAGTGGTGGTGTAGGAAACAGTGGTGGAGCAGGAAGCAGTGGTGGTGTAGGACACAGTGGTGGTGTAGGAAAGAGTGGTGGTGTAGGAAACAGTGGTGGTGTAGGAAACAGTGGTGGTGCAGGAAGCAGTGGTGGTGCAGGAAACAGTGGTGGTGTAGGAAACAGTGGTGGTGCAGGAAGCAGTGGTGGTGTAGGAAGCAGTGGTGGTGTAGGAAAGAGTGGTGGTGTAGGAAACAGTGGTGGAGCAGGAAGCAGTGGTGGTGTAGGAAACAGTGGTGGAGCAGGAAGCAGTGGTGGTGTAGGAAACAGTGGTGGTGTAGGAAACAGTGGTGGTGCAGGAAGCAGTGGTGGTGTAGGAAACAGTGGTGGTGTAGGAAACAGTGGTGGTGTAGGAAACAGTGGTGGTGCAGGAAGCAGTGGTGGTGTAGGAAACAGTGGTGGTGTAGGAAACAGTGGTGGTGTAGGAAACAGTGGTGGAGCAGGAAGCAGTGGTGGTGTAGGAAACAGTGGTGGTGTAGGAAACAGTGGTGGTGCAGGAAGCAGTGGTGGTGCAGGAAACAGTGGTGGTGTAGGAAACAGTGGTGGTGTAGGAAACAGTGGTGGTGCAGGAAGCAGTGGTGGTGTAGGAAGCAGTGGTGGTGTAGGAAACAGTGGTGGTGTAGGAAACAGTGGTGGTGTAGGAAACAGTGGTGGTGTAGGAAAGAGTGGTGGTGTAGGAAACAGTGGTGGAGCAGGAAGCAGTGGTGGTGTAGGAAACAGTGGTGGAGCAGGAAGCAGTGGTGGTGTAGGAAACAGTGGTGGTGTAGGAAACAGTGGTGGTGCAGGAAGCAGTGGTGGTGCAGGAAACAGTGGTGGTGTAGGAAACAGTGGTGGTGTAGGAAACAGTGGTGGTGCAGGAAGCAGTGGTGGTGTAGGAAACAGTGGTGGTGTAGGAAACAGTGGTGGTGTAGGAAAGAGTGGTGGTGTAGGAAACAGTGGTGGAGCAGGAAGCAGTGGTGGTGTAGGAAACAGTGGTGGTGTAGGAAACAATGGTGGTGTAGGAAACAGTGGTGGTGTAGGAAAGAGTGGTGGTGTAGGAAACAGTGGTGGAGCAGGAAGCAGTGGTGGTGTAGGAAACAGTGGTGGTGTAGGAAACAGTGGTGGTGTAGGAAAGAGTGGTGGTGTAGGAAACAGTGGTGGTGTAGGAAGCAGTGGTGGTGCAGGAAACAGTGGTGGTGTAGGAAACAGTGGTGGTGTAGGAAACAGTGGTGGTGTAGGAAACAGTGGTGGTGTAGGAAGCAGTGGTGGTGTAGGAAACAGTGGTGGTGTAGGAAACAGTGGTGGTGTAGGAAGCAGTGGTGGTGTAGGAAAGAGTGGTGGTGTAGGAAACAGTGGTGGTGTAGGAAACAGTGGTGGTGTAGGAAACAGTGGTGGTGTAGGAAAGAGTGGTGGTGTAGGAAACAGTGGTGGTGTAGGACACAGTGGTGGAGCAGGAAGCAGTGGTGGTGTAGGAAACAGTGGTGGTGTAGGAAAGAGTGGTGGTGCAGGAAGCAGTGGTGGTGTAGGAAACAGTGGTGGTGTAGGAAGCAGTGGTGGTGTAGGAAACAGTGGTGGTGCAGGAAGCAGTGGTGGTGTAGGAAAGAGTGGTGGTGTAGGAAGCAGTGGTGGTGCAGGAAGCAGTGGTGGTGTAGGAAGCAGTGGTGGTGTAGGAAACAGTGGTGGTGTAGGAAGCAGTGGTGGTGTAGGAAACAGTGGTGGTGTAGGAAACAGTGGTGGTGCAGGAAGCAGTGGTGGTGTAGGAAACAGTGGTGGTGTAGGAAACAGTGGTGGTGTAGGAAGCAGTGGTGGTGTAGGAAAGAGTGGTGGTGTAGGAAGCAGTGGTGGTGTAGGAAACAGTGGTGGTGTAGGAAACAGTGGTGGAGCAGGAAGCAGTGGTGGTGTAGGAAACAGTGGTGGTGTAGGAAACAGTGGTGGTGTAGGAAACAGTGGTGGTGTAGGAAACAATGGTGGTGTAGGAAACAGTGGTGGTGTAGGAAAGAGTGGTGGTGTAGGAAACAGTGGTGGAGCAGGAAGCAGTGGTGGTGTAGGAAACAGTGGTGGTGTAGGAAAGAGTGGTGGTGTAGGAAAGAGTGGTGGAGCAGGAAGCAGTGGTGGTGCAGGAAGCAGTGGTGGTGTAGGAAGCAGTGGTGGTGTAGGAAGCAGTGGTGGTGTAGGAAACAGTGGTGGTGTAGGAAACAGTGGTGGTGTAGGAAACAGTGGTGGTGTAGGACACAGTGGTGGTGTAGGAAACAATGGTGGTGTAGGAAACAGTGGTGGTGTAGGAAAGAGTGGTGGTGTAGGAAACAGTGGTGGAGCAGGAAGCAGTGGTGGTGTAGGAAACAGTGGTGGTGTAGGAAAGAGTGGTGGTGTAGGAAAGAGTGGTGGAGCAGGAAGCAGTGGTGGTGCAGGAAGCAGTGGTGGTGTAGGAAGCAGTGGTGGTGTAGGAAGCAGTGGTGGTGTAGGAAACAGTGGTGGTGTAGGAAACAGTGGTGGTGTAGGAAACAGTGGTGGTGTAGGAAACAGTGGTGGTGTAGGAAACAGTGGTGGTGTAGGAAGCAGTGGTGGTGTAGGAAGCAGTGGTGGTGTAGGAAGCAGTGGTGGTGTAGGAAGCAGTGGTGGTGTAGGAAGCAGTGGTGGTGTAGGAAGCAGTGGTGGAGCAGGAAGCAGTGGTGGTGCAGGAAGCAGTGGTGGAGCAGGAAGCAGTGGTGGTGCAGGAAGCAGTGGTGGAGCAGGAAGCAGTGGTGGTGCAGGAAGCAGTGGTGGAGCAGGAAGCAGTGGTGGTGCAGGAAGCAGTGGTGGTGCAGGAAGCAGTGGTGGAGCAGGAAGCAGTGGTGGAGCAGGAAGCAGTGGTGGTGCAGGAAGCAGTGGTGGAGCAGGAAGCAGTGGTGGTGCAGGAAGCAGTGGTGGAGCAGGAAGCAGTGGTGGAGCAGGAAGCAGTGGTGGTGCAGGAAGCAGTGGTGGAGCAGGAAGCAGTGGTGGTGCAGGAAGCAGTGGTGGTGCAGGAAGCAGTGGTGGTGCAGGAAGCAGTGGTGGAGCAGGAAGCAGTGGTGGTGCAGGAAGCAGTGGTGGTGCAGGAAGCAGTGGTGGAGCAGGAAGCAGTGGTGGAGCAGGAAGCAGTGGTGGTGCAGGAAGCAGTGGTGGTGCAGGAAGCAGTGGTGGAGCAGGAAGCAGTGGTGGAGCAGGAAGCAGTGGTGGTGCAGGAAGCAGTGGTGGAGCAGGAAGCAGTGGTGGTGCAGGAAGCAGTGGTGGTGCAGGAAGCAGTGGTGGTGCAGGAAGCAGTGGTGGAGCAGGAAGCAGTGGTGGTGCAGGAAGCAGTGGTGGAGCAGGAAGCAGTGGTGGAGCAGGAAGCAGTGGTGGTGCAGGAAGCAGTGGTGGAGCAGGAAGCAGTGGTGGTGCAGGAAGCAGTGGTGGTGCAGGAAGCAGTGGTGGAGCAGGAAGCAGTGGTGGTGCAGGAAGCAGTGGTGGAGCAGGAAGCAGTGGTGGTGCAGGAAGCAGTGGTGGTGCAGGAAGCAGTGGTGGAGCAGGAAGCAGTGGTGGTGCAGGAAGCAGTGGTGGAGCAGGAAGCAGTGGTGGTGCAGGAAGCAGTGGTGGAGCAGGAAGCAGTGGTGGTGCAGGAAGCAGTGGTGGTGCAGGAAGCAGTGGTGGAGCAGGAAGCAGTGGTGGAGCAGGAAGCAGTGGTGGTGCAGGAAGCAGTGGTGGAGCAGGAAGCAGTGGTGGTGCAGGAAGCAGTGGTGGAGCAGGAAGCAGTGGTGGAGCAGGAAGCAGTGGTGGTGCAGGAAGCAGTGGTGGAGCAGGAAGCAGTGGTGGTGCAGGAAGCAGTGGTGGAGCAGGAAGCAGTGGTGGTGCAGGAAGCAGTGGTGGTGCAGGAAGCAGTGGTGGTGCAGGAAGCAGTGGTGGAGCAGGAAGCAGTGGTGGAGCAGGAAGCAGTGGTGGTGCAGGAAGCAGTGGTGGAGCAGGAAGCAGTGGTGGTGCAGGAAGCAGTGGTGGTGTAGGAAGCAGTGGTGGTGCAGGAAGCAGTGGTGGTGCAGGAAGCAGTGGTGGTGCAGGAAGCAGTGGTGGTGCAGGAAGCAGTGGTGGTGCAGGAAGCAGTGGTGGTGCAGGAAGCAGTGGTGGTGCAGGAAGCAGTGGTGGTGCAGGAAGCAGTGGTGGTGCAGGAAGCAGTGGTGGTGCAGGAAGCAGTGGTGGTGCAGGAAGCAGTGGTGGTGCAGGAAGCAGTGGTGGTGCAGGAAGCAGTGGTGGAGCAGGAAGCAGTGGTGGTGCAGGAAGCAGTGGTGGAGCAGGAAGCAGTGGTGGAGCAGGAAGCAGTGGTGGTGCAGGAAGCAGTGGTGGTGCAGGAAGCAGTGGTGGTGCAGGAAGCAGTGGTGGTGCAGGAAGCAGTGGTGGTGCAGGAAGCAGTGGTGGTGCAGGAAGCAGTGGTGGAGCAGGAAGCAGTGGTGGAGCAGGAAGCAGTGGTGGTGCAGGAAGCAGTGGTGGTGCAGGAAGCAGTGGTGGTGCAGGAAGCAGTGGTGGTGCAGGAAGAAGTGGTGGTGCAGGAAGCAGTGGTGGTGCAGGAAGCAGTGGTGGTGCAGGAAGCAGTGGTGGAGCAGGAAGCAGTGGTGGAGCAGGAAGCAGTGGTGGTGCAGGAAGCAGTGGTGGTGCAGGAAGCAGTGGTGGAGCAGGAAGCAGTGGTGGAGCAGGAAGCAGTGGTGGTGCAGGAAGCAGTGGTGGTGCAGGAAGCAGTGGTGGTGCAGGAAGAAGTGGTGGTGCAGGAAGCAGTGGTGGTGCAGGAAGCAGTGGTGGTGCAGGAAGCAGTGGTGGTGCAGGAAGCAGTGGTGGTGCAGGAAGCAGTGGTGGAGCAGGAAGCAGTGGTGGTGCAGGAAGCAGTGGTGGTGCAGGAAGCAGTGGTGGAGCAGGAAGCAGTGGTGGAGCAGGAAGCAGTGGTGGTGCAGGAAGCAGTGGTGGTGCAGGAAGCAGTGGTGGTGCAGGAAGCAGTGGTGGAGCAGGAAGCAGTGGTGGTGCAGGAAGCAGTGGTGGTGCAGGAAGCAGTGGTGGAGCAGGAAGCAGTGGTGGAGCAGGAAGCAGTGGTGGTGCAGGAAGCAGTGGTGGTGCAGGAAGCAGTGGTGGTGCAGGAAGCAGTGGTGGTGCAGGAAGCAGTGGTGGTGCAGGAAGCAGTGGTGGTGCAGGAAGCAGTGGTGGTGCAGGAAGCAGTGGTGGAGCAGGAAGCAGTGGTGGTAGCAGGAAGCAGTGGTGGAGCAGGAAGCAGTGGTGGAGCAGGAAGCAGTGGTGGAGCAGGAAGCAGTGGTGGAGCAGGAAGCAGTGGTGGAGCAGGAAGCAGTGGTGGAGCAGGAAGCAGTGGTGGAGCAGGAAGCAGTGGTGGAGCAGGAAGCAGTGGTGGAGCAGGAAGCAGTGGTGGAGCAGGAAGCAGTGGTGGAGCAGGAAGCAGTGGTGGAGCAGGAAGCAGTGGTGGAGCAGGAAGCAGTGGTGGAGCAGGAAGCAGTGGTGGAGCAGGAAGCAGTGGTGGAGCAGGAAGCAGTGGTGGAGCAGGAAGCAGTGGTGGAGCAGGAAGCAGTGGTGGAGCAGGAAGCAGTGGTGGAGCAGGAAGCAGTGGTGGAGCAGGAAGCAGTGGTGGAGCAGGAAGCAGTGGTGGAGCAGGAAGCAGTGGTGGAGCAGGAAGCAGTGGTGGAGCAGGAAGCAGTGGTGGAGCAGGAAGCAGTGGTGGAGCAGGAAGCAGTGGTGGAGCAGGAAGCAGTGGTGGAGCAGGAAGCAGTGGTGGAGCAGGAAGCAGTGGTGGAGCAGGAAGCAGTGGTGGAGCAGGAAGCAGTGGTGGAGCAGGAAGCAGTGGTGGAGCAGGAAGCAGTGGTGGAGCAGGAAGCAGTGGTGGAGCAGGAAGCAGTGGTGGAGCAGGAAGCAGTGGTGGAGCAGGAAGCAGTGGTGGAGCAGGAAGCAGTGGTGGAGCAGGAAGCAGTGGTGGAGCAGGAAGCAGTGGTGGAGCAGGAAGCAGTGGTGGAGCAGGAAGCAGTGGTGGAGCAGGAAGCAGTGGTGGAGCAGGAAGCAGTGGTGGAGCAGGAAGCAGTGGTGGAGCAGGAAGCAGTGGTGGAGCAGGAAGCAGTGGTGGAGCAGGAAGCAGTGGTGGAGCAGGAAGCAGTGGTGGAGCAGGAAGCAGTGGTGGAGCAGGAAGCAGTGGTGGAGCAGGAAGCAGTGGTGGAGCAGGAAGCAGTGGTGGAGCAGGAAGCAGTGGTGGAGCAGGAAGCAGTGGTGGAGCAGGAAGCAGTGGTGGAGCAGGAAGCAGTGGTGGAGCAGGAAGCAGTGGTGGAGCAGGAAGCAGTGGTGGAGCAGGAAGCAGTGGTGGAGCAGGAAGCAGTGGTGGAGCAGGAAGCAGTGGTGGAGCAGGAAGCAGTGGTGGAGCAGGAAGCAGTGGTGGAGCAGGAAGCAGTGGTGGAGCAGGAAGCAGTGGTGGAGCAGGAAGCAGTGGTGGAGCAGGAAGCAGTGGTGGAGCAGGAAGCAGTGGTGGAGCAGGAAGCAGTGGTGGAGCAGGAAGCAGTGGTGGAGCAGGAAGCAGTGGTGGAGCAGGAAGCAGTGTGCAGGAAGCAGTGGTGGAGCAGGAAGCAGTGGTGGAGCAGGAAGCAGTGGTGGAGCAGGAAGCAGTGGTGGAGCAGGAAGCAGTGGTGGAGCAGGAAGCAGTGGTGGAGCAGGAAGCAGTGGTGGAGCAGGAAGCAGTGGTGGAGCAGGAAGCAGTGGTGGAGCAGGAAGCAGTGGTGGAGCAGGAAGCAGTGGTGGAGCAGGAAGCAGTGGTGGAGCAGGAAGCAGTGGTGGAGCAGGAAGCAGTGGTGGAGCAGGAAGCAGTGGTGGAGCAGGAAGCAGTGGTGGTGCAGGAAGCAGTGGTGGAGCAGGAAGCAGTGGTGGAGCAGGAAGCAGTGGTGGAGCAGGAAGCAGTGGTGGAGCAGGAAGCAGTGGTGGAGCAGGAAGCAGTGGTGGAGCAGGAAGCAGTGGTGGAGCAGGAAGCAGTGGTGGAGCAGGAAGCAGTGGTGGAGCAGGAAGCAGTGGTGGAGCAGGAAGCAGTGGTGGAGCAGGAAGCAGTGGTGGAGCAGGAAGCAGTGGTGGAGCAGGAAGCAGTGGTGGAGCAGGAAGCAGTGGTGGAGCAGGAAGCAGTGGTGGTGCAGGAAGCAGTGGTGGAGCAGGAAGCAGTGGTGGAGCAGGAAGCAGTGGTGGAGCAGGAAGCAGTGGTGGAGCAGGAAGCAGTGGTGGAGCAGGAAGCAGTGGTGGAGCAGGAAGCAGTGGTGGAGCAGGAAGCAGTGGTGGAGCAGGAAGCAGTGGTGGAGCAGGAAGCAGTGGTGGAGCAGGAAGCAGTGGTGGAGCAGGAAGCAGTGGTGGTGCAGGAAGCAGTGGTGGAGCAGGAAGCAGTGGTGGAGCAGGAAGCAGTGGTGGAGCAGGAAGCAGTGGTGGAGCAGGAAGCAGTGGTGGTGCAGGAAGCAGTGGTGGAGCAGGAAGCAGTGGTGGAGCAGGAAGCAGTGGTGGAGCAGGAAGCAGTGGTGGAGCAGGAAGCAGTGGTGGAGCAGGAAGCAGTGGTGGGAAGCAGACAAGATACATTCCCTCACTTGGCGCAATTCACAGGATATTCACTGAGGACCCCTCAGCGCTCATGAGCACGCGCGGAATGACAGTGGTGCAGGAAGCATGGCACGATAACACCCCCATTGTTTGCTTCCCCCAGTAGCATGCTTGCTGTGTCATGCCCACCACCACACTCACTTGGCACGATGATACCCCAGCTGTCATAGCCCCATGGTACCCCTTGCACCCCCACCCTCTCCACTCACTTGGCGCAATACACAGCATCCTCTGGGCTCATGAGCATGCGCGGAATGACGCAGTGGTGGAGGAAGCATGGCACAATGCGCCAACTGTCCGGCACGGCTGCAGGGCTCAGCCAGCGCGCCCGGTCCCGAACCAGCCGCCGCTGCACAGCCTCGACCCGAGCCTGCTGCCGAGCCAGCTCGGCTGAGAGCCGGTCCAATACCTCCTGCACTCGCTCCTTCTCCTTCTTGCGCTTCTGCGGTGGGTGGGGGAGGTGATGATGGGAGGGACGGCACGGCACGAAGGGCGAGTTGGCAGGGAAGATCGCCAGTGAAAGACCCAGGGGCTTTTCTGTGTTATGTTGGATCTGTTACAAGGCAAGCACAAGGAAGACGGCCTTGCAATAAAAATAAGAGAAAAATGTATTCCCAACGAAACAACCCTGAACAGCCTGAAAAAGCACCTGGATTGCTGATCCCTGAGGAGTCCTCAATGTCTTCGAGGGACCGGAGCAGCGCTCTCTGCTTGGCCATCTCGGCCTCGTAGCGCTGCCGTGGCACATGCAGGTCGCAGAGGGGGAGAGAGAGAGAGAGAGAGAGAGAGAGAGAGAGAGAGAGAGAGAGAGAGAGAGAGAGAGAGAGAGCGAGCGAGAAAGAAGGAGAGGGGGAGAACCCGCAAACGCCCTCACCTGAATAGCAGAGCCTGATGAATCCCCAATGTCTTCAAGGGAGCGCAGCAGCGCTCTCTGCTTGGCCATCTCTGCTTCGTAGCGCTGCCGCGGCACATGCAGGTCACAGAGAGACAGCCCCCAGAAGAGCAGGTAGAAGGGCGGCGACAAGCCCCGCCACGCTGCTGCGGGCGGCATGTTTCGGACCCACTCCACCACGTCCCGCCAGTGCACGGGGCTGTCAGTGGCATCGGCGCCAGCAGCAGCAGCCGCAGCAGCACTAGTGGAAACAGCAGCAGCAGTACCAGTTGCAGCAGTTGCAGTTGTAGCTGCCGCATCTCCCAGGCACAGCACCAAGTCCTCCTCTGATTCCCCATCCCCCTCCCCCTCCACCCCATCCTCCACCACCCCATCCATTGCCACCCCATCCCCTGCCCCCTTCCTCGCCCCCTGCTGCTGCTGCCTCTTCTCCTTCTCCCCTCCCCTCCCACCACCCCCACCACTCCCACCCGCACCAATCCCAGCAGCAAGAGCAGGCCAGGAGACGGGGGAATCAGCGCCGGGCTTGAAGAGGCGAAGCACCGGGCGGTAGAACAGAAAGGCGGCTTCGGGCGGCATGTGGAAGCGCTGGGAGAGCGTGTGCAGGGCCGGCATGAAGGCGGCGTACGCGGCGGGCGGCGAGAGGGCAGCAGAGAGGAACTGTGCGTACTGTAGCATGATGAGGTGGCAGCGGTCGAAGTGCTCACTGAGTAGCTTGATGTGTGACCCCTCTGCTTCAAACACAATGCTGGGAGAGGGTGAGAAGGGTGGAGAATGGCGAAAGGAAAGGAGGAAGGGACTTAACCAACAGCGTGACTAATGTGCAATTGCTCTGCCTCAAACGAAATGCTTGAGCTGGGAGCGAAAGGGAGATAGAACGAAGAGGGTTGGGCCTGTTGGATTCGAAATGTGCACCACACCACAGGGGACACAAGAGACAAAGGACCGTTTGAAGGAAGCGGCAACTGCTAAAACGTTCGTTGAGGAGTTTCAAACATGACGCTGGACGGGGGAGAGGCATAGAGAGGGCACAGTGCGTCGGGGGGTTGGGGGAAGAGAGGGTGATTTCAAAATGCGTGAGCAGAGAGTATGGGCGAGTGTGAGGGGCAGGAGCAGCACGACAAGCAAGGATGACGTGGCAGCAAATGCATTGGTGCGCCAAAATTTGTCAAGGAATCACCAAGAACACTCACTTGGATCGTTGCCGTGCAATGAGCACCAGCAGCGGCACGGCGAGATTCGGCTCGCCCTTGCCCGGCAGCAGGGCATCCTTGAGCCGCCCCATAGACCGTGCCATGGCCTGCCATGGTAACGGAGAGGGTGGGGGGAAAGAGGGGGGAGGGGGGAGGGGGGTGGTGAATGGGGTGTTGACAATTTTGAGGCAGAGCATCCTTGAGCTTCCCCATGGATCGCGCCATGGCCTGCCCAGATAGGGTGGGGTGGGGGTGGAAGAGGTGGGGTTGGTGTCGGCATGAGCACCATGGTGAACACATGTTCGGCATGAGCACCATGGTGAACACATGTTCGGCACGCCCTTGCCTGGCAGCAGCGCGTCCTTCAGCCGCCCCATGGACCGCGCCATGGCCTGCCATGGTAACGGAGAGGGTGGGGGGAAAGAGGGGGGAGGGGGGAGGGGGGTGGTGAATGGGGTGTTGACAATTTTGAGGCAGAGCGTCCTTGAGCTTCCCCATGGATCGCGCCATGGCCTGCCCAGATAGGGTGGGGTGGGGGTGGAAGAGGTGGGGTTGGTGTCGGCATGAGCACCATGGTGAACACATGTTCGGCATGAGCACCATGGTGAACACATGTTCGGCATGAGCACCATGGTGAACACTGTTAGAATATAGCATAATGTATGTTTATATTTGTGCATGTGTTACACCCTAAAGTGGGTGTACACTTTGGGTCAAGGCGACCCAACCAATTTTGGTTGGGCGCCCCCAAACCCAACTCGACCGCAATTGACGGGGGGGGGCCAATAATGGTCCCCTCCAACGATTGTTGGTTACCCCAGCAATTGTTGGTCGACCCAATCTGATTGGTCCACCAATAAATGCTGAGGGTACCCCACTTCGTTCCCAAAACTTCTCATCTCCTATATGTACCGACACTCTTTCTAATCAAGACAACACTTGAGATTCTTTCATGGTATTCAGAGCCAATTGGCAAACGCCCCTCTCGACCTCTTTCTCTCAAGTTTTTTTTTCCTCCCCGCTCGTCAGGACCCTTCCGTCCTGCCCATGCAACTTGTTGCGTGGGTTTGACTTGGTTGAAGTTCAATCTTCCGTAAAGTACAACCAGTCACCACCTCCCTCCAGCTCCTACTCTATCTCTCGTAAGGCGAATTTCTCGCCTCAGCTCCTGCCGCCGCATTTACGTTCTCAGCTGCCGGCGTCTCAATCGCCGCGACCTATCCGCCGTCGCCACTACTCTCGCACCGCTTTTCTTCCTTGCGGGGCATTTCGCCGCCGCCGTCGCTGCTTCACTCGCCGCGGGGCATTTCGCCGCCGCCGCCACTGCTCCCACTCGCCGCGGGGCATTTCGCCGCCGCCGCCACTGCTCCCACTCGCCGCGGGGCATTTCGCCGCCGCCGCCACTGCTCCCACTCGCCGCGGGGCATTTCGCCTCCGCCGCCTCTACTCACTCGCTGCGGGCAATTTGCCGCCGCCACTGCCTCTCCTCGCTGCAAGACACTTCGCCGCGGCTGCTCCTACTCTCCCTCGCCGCCAGGCACTTAGCTACTGCCTCATCTCTCCCTCGACCCTTCCCCCCCCCCCCATTGCTTCCGCCCACCGTTTCCTCTCCCGCTGCCTCTCTCATACTATCTCTGCTCTCCGCCTCTCCTGCCACGCTACTGCTCCCAATCCTCTCCCACGTGCTGCTACTAACCCCCCTCCTCCTCTCCCTCAGCTTCTAACCTGCCTCGCTTTCGCTCGCTACTAACATTTTTTCTCCCCTCACATCGCACTAACTTACTGCTATGGCTGCTCCTTCTCTTCCTCAGAATTTCAACACTCTCTCCATTGATCGGCTCGAGCTCGCTCCCGATCAGAGCGCTATCAACTGGTACTCCTACACAGGGAGCATGCGCCGCCTCCTCGGCGTCATCCACATCCCCAACACCTCCTCCACCCTCCTCGACCTTGTCCTCCGCCATGCTGCCGCTCTCCCGCCAACGCCCCCTATGTCCCCTGGATCGGCCCCCACTCTCCCGCCTGACCCTGGACCTGAACCTGACGAACCAGATCTGCCCGCTGCCTCCACGGATCCTGTTCGCCAAGCCGCTGATGAAGCAGCCTACGATCTCGAGCGGCGTCGGTTCCTCACGCTCCGAGCGGACCATCGTGCGGCTCGCGAGCAATACGACATGCGCCAAGCTGCCATAATAAATCACCGCACCATGGCTGACCGCTACACTCTCGCGCTCGCTGAATATACCGCTAAAGCTGCTGCTTGGAAGGAATCTGACCTTTCTGCCTCTAATATTATCCTTGGTGGTCTCCCCCCCGCTCTAATGCGAGACTTTCAGGAACAAGAGCTTCACGCACCTGCCCTTTGGGCCTCCCTTCACGCCATGTTTGAGCGCCATGACGTCAACTCCGTGGGGCTGCTCCTTGACGAATACTGGGAGACAACGCTCGCAACCTGCACTGGTGCCGTCGCCTACACCGGCCGCATGACCTCTCTCGCCAAGCGACTTAAGGCTCGCCAGTCCGAACTCCCCCAGTTCATCCAGATAGATCGCCTTCTCCGCGGTCTCAACCCGTCCTACGACATGCACGTCATTGCCTTCCGCGAAAATCAGCCGTTTGCGGATGTTGCTGCTATTGTTCAATGGATCATTGACACCGAAACCCGCCTCCTTCGTACCAACCCGCCTTCTCTCAACACGGCTCAAGCACCCGCGCCAGAACTCAACGCCACCCAGACACGCGGTGGTGGGCGTGGTGGTGGTCGCGGTGGCGGACGTGGAGGTGGGCGTGGTGGCGGCCGTGGTGGTGGACGTGGTGGCACCTTTGGTGGACGCACTCCTTCTTGCACGGGCGGCCCTGGAGGAAGTGGACGTGGTGGTAGCGGACCTGGTCAACTCCCCCCCTGCCCCTACGTTCGCCGTCACGGCCCTCGCGCTGGGGAACCCTGCGGTCAAACCAACCACCCCATAACCACCTGCTTCGGCGTCTTGGACGATGCCTGGTTTGATCGTGGTAACCATGGTACCCCCCCCCGCTGGTCCGCTCTTGCAAGTCGTCCCACTGTCCATGATGTTCAACATCTCCCTCTCTATCAACCCTCCCACCTTAACCTCACCACTCCCTCTCCTCAACTGCAACTCCAGCAGTTTTTGCAGCATCTTCAGTCACAGCAGTTGCAGCAGCCCCCGCAGCTGCCCCCACAGCCGCAGCCGCACCAGCAGCCACAGCAGCCGCCCTGGGGAGGTGGGGGAGGCGCAGCCGCCACAGCAGCGGCAGCAGCAGCAGCAGCAGCAGCAGCAACTGCCGCCTGGCAGCAGCAACCTCTTGGCTTCGGTTCTGCCGCCACCGCCGCCCATACCTCCCCAGCTGAGTCATACTCTAGCTTTCTTGGTCAGCTAGCTTCTCCCTTGCCTAGCACCACCTCCATGTATCCCTCTGTTCTTAATAACAGTGACTTCCAGTATTCTGCGTCTCCTTCCCCGCTCACCTTGGACTTTGTCCTCGATAGCGGGGCCACCGTCAGTGCCCTGAAGGACGCTGGCATTCTCAAAACACTATCTCTCCCCTCCACTGTTCATGGCGCTGATTCTAGCTTCTCGATCCCATGCACACACTCCTCTACTCTTCCGTGTCCCCTCTTTCCCTCCGGCACTATCACTGGCCTCCACATTCCCACTCTTCGTCACAACCTTATTTCTCTTCATGATCTCCAAAAAGCCGGCATTACCGCCATTTTTCCTGCCCACTTTTCCTATTGCGATCTCATTCATACCTCCACTGGCCGCCTTGTCTATCGCCTCCCAATCTGCCCCCGCACTCACCTTTACACACTACGTCTCCCTTTTCCGGCATCATGTCATCTCACCACCCGTCGCTCCACCTACCCTTCTCCCACCATTGCTCCTCCCCCTTCATCATCTCCCACTCCCTCTACCTCTCCCGACCTCTCCCTCTCTCACCCCGCCATTCTCCTCCATCACCGTCTTGGTCACCCCAACTTCACCACCCTCCGTGCCGCAATATCCTCTCGCCTCCTTCATGGGCTCCCCCCTGCCCTTCCTCCCCTACCCACCTCACCAGCTCCTCCTTGTCCCACTTGCATTCATGGCAAACTCAAACAAAAACCCCATCACAGCCATCCCTCATTTGCTACTGCTCCCCTAGATCTCGTCCACATGGACCTCTGGGGTCCCTCCCCCTCCCCTTCCCGCCAGGGCCACCGCTTTATGCTCGTCCTCGTAGACGACCATAGCCGCTACTCCTCTGTGTTTCTACTCCACACGAAAGCTGAAGCAGCCGCTGTCATCATCGCCTGGGCCGAACAAGCGCGCGTGCACTTCGGCCGACCCATCCGTCGCCTTCACTCTGACGGTGGCGGGGAGTTTCTCAACCATACCATTGCCTCCTACTGCAAAGCACATGGCACTCAACAGACGTCCACTCTCCCTCATTCTCCGCAACAAAACGGTGTAGCTGAAAGTCGCATCCGTGAGATCACCAAAACTGCCCGCTGTCTCCTCACCCATGCATCTACCCCTCCCTCCCTTTGGGGCTATGCTCTCACTCATGCCGCCCTTCTCACCAACCTCTACCCTCACCCCCACCATCCCAACCTCACTCCCACTGAGCTTTGGTGCAACACCAAACCTGATGCCTCCGTCCTTCGCGTCTGGGGCTGCAAATCCTTTGTTCTCATTCCTCCCGCAGACCGTTCCCGCAAAGCAGGAAAACTTGCCTCCAAAGCATTGGAGTGCGTCTACCTCGGCCACAATCGTGGCTCTCCTGGGTACCTCTTCCTTCATCCTCCCTCCGGACGCCTCATTCGCAGCCGCGATGTCGTCTTCGATGAAACCATCCCCTACTACTCCTCTCCTCCTCCCTCCGACCCTCTCCCCCCACCCTCCCGCCCACTCACCTGGGCGGATGCCCTTCTTCCTCCTCTCCTCCCATCTGCTCCACTCCTCCCAACTACTCCACTCTCACCTCCACCTTCCTCGGCTGATATCTATGATCCTGCTGCCTCACCTGCCCTTTCCACCGCTCCCCCTCCTCCCTCTCCCCCTCCTCCCTCCCCTCCCACCCACCTCCCTCCAGCTTCTCCTCCTCCATCCTCGCCCGCCGCACCTCCTGCATCCTCCCCACGTCCTCGCACTTCTCTCACCTCACGCTCTCCCTTCCTCCTCCCACGCATGCACACTCGCTCCCTTGACCCCATTCTTGGTCAACCACCTCTCATTCATGAAGACTCCCATGAGGAGTTTTGTGCCATTCACACTCACGTTCCTTCCCTTAACCCTGTGTACCTTGCCCTTTTGGGCGCGGTTGTACTTGGCACTCCCTCCTCACCTCTCATCTTCACGCCTACCACATTCCAGGAGGCAATCACGTGCCCTGACGCTGACAAATGGCTGGAGGCCATTCGCAAGGAGTGCGACGCCTTCATTCGCAATGATTCCTTCGTCGATGTCAAGCCGCCTCCAGATGCCAACATTGTCGCTGGCAAGTGGGTCTTCCGGGTGAAGCAGCTTCCGGGGGAGGAGCCCGTCTACAAAGCCCGTTACTGCGCCAAGGGCTTCACACAGACCTATGCCAAGGACTTTTGGGAAACCTTCTCACCTACCGCAAAATTCGGGACCCTTCGCACGCTTCTCGACTTTGGCTCCCGCAACGGCATGGAGATCTCATCAATGGATGTCTCTAACGCTTTTCTTCAGGGGAACCTCCACGAACAAATCTTCCTCGACCGCCCAGATGGCTTCCATGAAGCCTTCCCACCAGACACTGTCTGGGAACTACGCCGTCCAGTCTACGGCCTGAAGCAGGCTCCTCGGGAATGGCATGCTAAGCTGGCATCTACACTCTGTGCTCTCGGATTTCAACCATCTCACTCTGACGCCAGTCTCTTCATTCGGACCCGTCCCAGCCGCTTCTTCGTCCTAGTCTATGTTGACGACATGGTGCTCCTCGCCGACACCTCCGCCGACATGACCGACGTTAAGGAAGAACTACAAGCTCGTCTCCAGTGCAAGGACCTTGGCGAATTACGCCACTACTTGGGCATGGAGATCACACGCGATCGAGCTGCCCGCACCATCACCTTATCTCAATCTCACTATCTTCAGCAGGTGTTGGAGCGGTTCGACATGGCTCTCGCCAACCCAGTGGCCACTCCCCTTCCATTCGGCCATGGGCTTGCTCCACCCACCTCCCCCTCCGCCTCCACTCAGCCCTATGCGGAACTGGTTGGCTCCATCATGTATGCCATGATGGGGACCCGTCCCGACCTCGCCTACCCCATCAGCGTCCTGGCGCGTTTCGTCGGTACCGGTCGTCACACCTCCGTGCATTGGAGAGCCGCCAAACGAGTCCTACGCTACCTCCGTGGCACTCAGGACCATGTTCTCACCCTTGGTGGTGCCTCTCCCCCGCTCCTCACCGGCTTCAGTGACTCGTCTTGGGCAGACTCTCAGCCGGATCGCCGCTCTTCCCAAGGATATGGCTTCACGCTCGGTAGCGGCTTGGTCAGCTGGCGCTCCACACGCTCCTCCGCCATCGCCCTCTCATCTTGTGAAGCCGAACTCTATGCTGGTACCATGGCTGCGCAGGAAGGACGCTGGCTTTCCTTCTTGCTAGCCGAGCTTGGGGCCCCCCAGCCATGCCCCACGCTCTGGTGCAACAACGCCAGCACGATCCACCTCACCAAGAATCCGGTCTTCCACGGGCGCTCCAAACACATCGAACTACGCTACTTCTACATTCGCGATCTTGTCCAGCAAGGCCATCTTGCCGTCCGAAAAATTGCCGCCGAAGCCAACCTCGCTGACATCTTCACCAAAGCTCTTCCGAAGCTAGCCCACCGGGCCTTCCTTCGCCTTCTTGGCCTCTCCCCGGCTTCATGATTCCGGGGTTGTGCACACTTATAAACCTCTTATGCTACGGGGTTGTGTTAGAATATAGCATAATGTATGTTTATATTTGTGCATGTGTTACACCCTAAAGTGGGTGTACACTTTGGGTCAAGGCGACCCAACCAATTTTGGTTGGGCGCCCCCAAACCCAACTCGACCGCAATTGACGGGGGGGGGCCAATAATGGTCCCCTCCAACGATTGTTGGTTACCCCAGCAATTGTTGGTCGACCCAATCTGATTGGTCCACCAATAAATGCTGAGGGTACCCCACTTCGTTCCCAAAACTTCTCATCTCCTATATGTACCGACACTCTTTCTAATCAAGACAACACTTGAGATTCTTTCAAACACATGTTCGGCATGAGCACCATGGTGAACACATGTTCGGCATGAGCACCATGGTGAACACATGTTCGGCACGCCCTTGCCTGGCAGCAGCGCGTCCTTCAGCCGCCCCATGGACCGCGCCATGGCCTGCCATGGTAACGGGAGGGTGGGGGGAAGGGGGGGGGGGGGGGGGGGGGGGGAGGAGGGGGGTGGTGAATGGGGTGTTGACAATTTCGAAGCAGTGCGTCCTTCAGCCGCCCCTTGACCGCGCCATGGCCTGCCCAGGTACCCAAGGGGGTGGGGGTGGGGGTGATGGAAGGTGGTGGGGTGAGTGAGGCCTTTGAGGCATCTCAAAGCAGCGCGTCTTTCAACCGCCCCATGGACCGCGCCATGGCCTGCCCAGGTACCCAAGGGGGTGGGGGTGGGGGTGGGGTGAGGGTGATAGAAGGTGGTGGGGTGAGGCCTTTGAACCATCTCAAAGCAGCGCGTCATTCAGCCGCCCCATTGACCGTGCCATGGCCTGCCAGCAGTACCAGTGCGGATAGGGTGGGGTGGGGGTGGAAGGGTTGGGTTTGGAGAATGTGAGTGTGGTCGATGGGGTTGGTGGATGGGGAGGAGGGCAAGTTTAAATAGGACATTTGCGTTGCGGGGTCGTAAAGCAGAGCTCTTTCAGCTTCTACCTTTCTTCGCGGAGAGGCTGTTCTTGGCCTGGCCAAAGGAAGCTAGCAGTGAGCTGCCTGAGAGTCTACCCCCCAACCAGCGCCTTGAGCTGCTCCTCTCCTCAGTGGCAGGCGGTGGTAGGCGACACAGGGCTTCAAGCGGAGAGCCTTGCTGGTGCTCTCACTGCACTCACACGAGGTGAAGGTGGGGCCGGGGACTCACGCGATGGTGCCGGATCTTGAGACGTTGAAAGGAAGGGCAGGAAGAAGAGCAAGAAGGGCAAGGAAGGAGAGAAATAAAAAGACATAGACGGAGTGGCTGGCGGAGTGTAAGAAGTATTATAAGGAGGTTGTGTTTCCGAAGAGGGGCATGGACAGTGTGACAGTGAGGTGGGAGGATGTGGATATGCTGAAACCATGAAAGTTTCTCAACGACACGCTCATTGACTTCTTCCTCAAGTGAGTAGGTCGCTCCTATGGAGAACAGCTAATGTTTTCACATTCGTCACCCTCCTCTGCGCCACCTCCCAACTTTCCCACAGAGGAGGAAATCAGTTGCAGAGGAGGGTGACGAATGTGAAAACATTAGCTGTTCTCCATAGGACCAACCTACTCACTTGAGGAAGAAGTAAATGAGCGTATTGTTGAAAAAAAATCCTCGTTTCAGCATCTCCACATCCTCCCACCTCACTGTCACACTGTCCATGACCCTCTTCAGGAATACAACCTCCTTATAATACTTCTTACACTCCGCCAGCCACTCCCTCTGTGTCTTTTTATTTTTTCTCTCCGTCATCGTCCTCCTGTCGGCCCTGACAACCACATTAACCTCTACCGCGTCATCATCGCCCTACTCCTCAGCCCTGCCCAAGCCCGCAGCGCAGTGGCCTCGGTCAGCTAGAGTTGGTGGACCGTGGACGTCGCTCGCGGCGCAATGGGCCTGGGCGTGGGGGGTCCTGGTCGTGGTCTGGTCTACACTGGCTACAGTGACTCCTCCTGGGCCGATTCTCGGCTGGAACGTCGCTCCTCTTAGGGCTATGCTTTCTCTCTTGGTAGCGGTCTTATCAGCTGGCGTTCCACCCGCTCCTCCGTCATCGCTCTCCCCCCCTGCAAGGCGAAGCTGCATGTCGCCACCATAACCACGCAAGAGGCTCGAGGGCACACTTTTCTTCTTGAGGAGCTTGGTGCTCCTCAGCGCTGTCCCGCCATTTGGAGTGACAATGCCAGCACCATTCATCTCACCAATGACAATGTGTTTCATGGACGTTCTAAGCATATTGAGCTCCGCCATTACTTCATTCGTGACCTCGTTGAGGACGAACGCATCAAACATGGCAAGATTGACTTGGCGGCCAATCTCGCGGAAATCTTCACCAAGGCCTCCTTGGACTCACCCCTCCCGCCACCTAATTCTAGTTTTTTTCTAGCCTTATGCATGTTGGGGGGTTGTGTTGTAGTATTTTCTATAAATCATGCATATGATAGAATAGGTGTAGGGTTGTTGAGTGTACCTTCAATCAAAATTTGTGGTTGAAGCTTGTTTGGGTTTCTAACATTTTTTGGACCTCCAATAATGTTGGTTCAAACCCACCCAACAATTATTGAAGCCCCAATAATGTTGGTCCAACAAAGCCAACAATTCTTGGGGCCTCCAATAATTGTTGGCCAAGTTCATCCATTACCACTTCCTCCACCTATGTATACCTTGGCTCACTTGGTTTGAGCCCGACATCGATACATTTCTTCCTTTTCACCAGTTTCTCAATCGTCTCAATGCCAGCCATAACCTCCATCAGCTCCTGCAGCAACACCAGCTCCCCGCCGAGCAACCAGGTGATTCTGCGATGCCCCAATCCCCTGCCAGCCCCCTTAGGCTCTTCCCCATCCCCACCCACCCCTGCCACGGCAAGCCACACAAACAGTGCACCTTGTTGTTCTTGGCCTGCCCGAAGCTAGCAGTGAGCTGCCTGAGAGTCTCCCCCCCAGCCAGCGCCTCAAGCTGCTCCTCTGTGAGGTTCTCATTCGACTCAATGCCAGCCATCTGCTCCATCAGCTCCTGCAGCAACACCAGCTCCACCGCCTCGCCTTGGTGCAGCCGGTTCACTAAGTAGCTTAAGAGCCCCCGCAGCTCCACCAGAGGGTACTTCTTGCACCTGATAAGAAAAAGAAAGGGGGAGGGGGCGACGCGAACCGATGCATTCAATCTCAGCGTGAAGCCCCACTGCGTCCCCTCATAAAGCCAGCCAGGCTATGTATGAACCACATAGCTTGAGGAAACGGAACAAGGAAGGGACGTACACAGCCACACAAGGCAACAACACATGCACACGGAGCAGAGAGCAGAGAGCAGAGAGCAGAGAGCAGAGAGTAGAGAGCAGAGAGCAGAGAGCAGAGAGCAGAGAGCAGAGAGTAGAGAGTAGAGAGCAGAGAGCAGAGAGTAGAGAGCTCCAAAAAATAGGCTGCAAAACCATGCTTCCGGTGGCTTTTTGCTTAGCAGCAAGGGAAGGATGGAGAAACATACACAGAGCCCCAAAAGGAGACGAGACCGGGCACACATGACAAACAAAAAACGGAAGACCGAACGGCATTGCCACATGCACAGAGCTCCATAGCCCAGCCCACGGAACCCCAAGAGGCAACACAAGCCCGGGTGGGAACGTGCACAGAGCAGTACAGCCCGTATGCCAGAAGCAAGGGAGGGGAGGGAAGGAGGGAGGGCAGGGGCGGAGGGCGCGTACACGGAGGCCCAGAAGCGAGGGAGTACACGGAAAGGGGAAGGAAGGAGGGAGAACCTACACGAAGCCGTAGAAGCAAGCAAGGGAGGAACGAGGCACCTACACGGAGCCCCAGAAGGAGGCGAGGCACTGCAGCCAGTCGGCGATGTTGAGCCCATCCTCCTTGATTGTGCTGCCAGCCTACACCCTAGCCCAGCAGGTAGCGACCAAGTAGTGTGCACGAAGCCCCCGCCGACGCAAGGGAGCACACGGAAGGGGGAAGGAAGGAGGGAGAACCTACACGGAGCCCCAGAAGGAGGCGAGGCATTGCAGCCAGTCGGCGATGTTGAGTCCGTCCTCCTTGATGGTGCTGCGTGGTAGGGCCAGGCGCTCTATCACCACGTACTCGAGAATGTCAAACTCCAACTGAGGGGGGGCGGAAAGGTGGGGGAGGTGGAGGAGAGATGGAACAAGGGTATGTGTGGTGACTTTTGAGTCGACTCAAAAGTCAGCTCGGGTGTGTGTGGTGTGAGAGCAGCTTCCAGCAGTGCCAGTCGCTCTATCACCATGTACTCTAGAATGTCAAACTCCAACTGAGGGGGGGGGAGGGGGGAAGAGGACAGGGCAGGGCATGCAGGAGGAAGCAGGGTGAGAGTCACAATCAGCGTGACCAGTGGCAGGGCCAGGCGCTCTATCACCATGTACTCCAGAATGTCAAACTCCAGCTGGCGAGGGCGAGGGAGGGCGAGTTAGGAAGAGGTGGGGGGAGGTGGGAGGTGTGAGAGAGCATCAAGCGGCTGTTCCAGCAGGCCCAGGCGCTCTATCACCACGTACTCGAGAATGACAAACTCCAACTAAGGAGGGGGGGAGGGAATGGGTAAACGGTGGGAGGGTGGTGTAGGGGGAGGAGAGCGGACGGCAAGAGGGCAAAGAGGGGCATGTGAGAGCTTGTGCAGCCATATTACCGGCTAGCAGCAGGCGCAGGCGCAGGCGCCTCCAGCAGGTCAGTCAAGATGGAGCTGGCACGACCCAACAGGCAGGCAGACGAGGCAGACAAAAGCGGGGGTGGGCCAGGGCGGGGCGGGCCAGGGCGGGGCAGAGCGCGGTGCGGTGCGGTGCAGTTCGGTGCGGCGTGGTGTGGTGCAGAGCACTGACCTGGTTGAAATACTTGAAGGCATCGACGACAGGCGGTATCATCTCCTTGTACGCCTCCACCTGGCAGCAGCGGGACAGGGAAGAGAGGGTAGAGGAAAAGCGGGAAGGGGAGGCGCGAGTAAGAAGAAAGAGTATCTAAAGGCATCAAGTCGACGACAGGCAGGATTGGGGATGAGAAAGGGGCGAACATGAACGTGTTCGTGTTCGCCCCTACACGAACACAGCCGTTTGCCGAACCGAACACTGTTCGGTTCGACGAACACTTTTAGCAAAAACAGGTGTTCGCCGTTCGCCTGTGAAGGCGTGTTCGGGCGAACCTCGAACACGTTCGTGTTCGTCGCGGGGCAAATTGCAGCAGCGGCCCGAACACGAACGTGTTCGGGCGAACCTCGAATACTGTTCGGCGAACACTTTAAGGAAAAAAAAAACCTGTTCGGTTCGCCTCGAACAGGTGTTCGTTTTTTTTGCTCAACCCTAGGCAGGATCATCTCCTTCTACGCCTCCACCTGCCAGCCGTGGGACAGGGACGAGAGCGGAGGGAGGAAGGGGTGCGGTGGAGATGATGAGGCGATGGCAGAATAACTGAAAATAGGAAGACCGCCCCGCCGGTAGGACAACGTGGTAATACTGAGAGCAGCTGTAGCGCGGCACGAGCACCACAATGCACCACAATGCACCACAATGCACCACAATGCACCACAATGCACCACAGTGCACCACAGTGCACCACAATGCACCACAATGCACCACAATGCACCACAATGCACCACAATGCACCACAATGCACCACAATGCACCACAGTGCACCACAGTGCACAACGATGGTGCACAGCACGGTGAGCAGGTTGGAGTGCGCCAGCTGTTAACCATTACCTGAAGTGAACCTGCAACTGTCAACTGGTGATGGATGGAGCTTCTGCCTCACCCACCTGCACCACGATGGTCCTCCGCACCGTGAGCGGGTTGGAAAGTACAGCTGTTAACCATTACCTCAACCTGTAGCTGCCAATCAAGTTGACTTTTGAGTCGACTCAAAAGTACCAGCTGTTAACCATTACCTCAACCTGTAGCTGCCAATCAAGTTGACTTTTGAGTCGACTCAAAAGTACCAGCTGTTAACCATTACCTCAACCTGTAGCTGCCAATCAAGTTGACTTTTGAGTCGACTCAAAAGTACCAGCTGTTAACCATTACCTCAACCTGTAGCTGCCAATCAAGTTGACTTTTGAGTCGACTCAAAAGTACCAGCTGTTAACCATTACCTCAACCTGTAGCTGCCAATCAAGTTGACTTTTGAGTCGACTCAAAAGTACCAGCTGTTAACCATTACCTCAACCTGTAGCTGCCAATCAAGTTGACTTTTGAGTCGACTCAAAAGTACCAGCTGTTAACCATTACCTCAACCTGTAGCTGCCAATCAAGTTGACTTTTGAGTCGACTCAAAAGTACCAGCTGTTAACCATTACCTCAACCTGTAGCTGCCAATCAAGTTGACTTTTGAGTCGACTCAAAAGTACCAGCTGTTAACCATTACCTCAACCTGTAGCTGCCAATCAAGTTGACTTTTGAGTCGACTCAAAAGTACCAGCTGTTAACCATTACCTCAACCTGTAGCTGCCAATCAAGTTGACTTTTGAGTCGACTCAAAAGTACCAGCTGTTAACCATTACCTCAACCTGTAGCTGCCAATCAAGTTGACTTTTGAGTCGACTCAAAAGTACCAGCTGTTAACCATTACCTCAACCTGTAGCTGCCAATCAAGTTGACTTTTGAGTCGACTCAAAAGTACCAGCTGTTAACCATTACCTCAACCTGTAGCTGCCAATCAAGTTGACTTTTGAGTCGACTCAAAAGTACCAGCTGTTAACCATTACCTCAACCTGTAGCTGCCAATCAAGTTGACTTTTGAGTCGACTCAAAAGTACCAGCTGTTAACCATTACCTCAACCTGTAGCTGCCAATCAAGTTGACTTTTGAGTCGACTCAAAAGTACCAGCTGTTAACCATTACCTCAACCTGTAGCTGCCAATCAAGTTGACTTTTGAGTCGACTCAAAAGTACCAGCTGTTAACCATTACCTCAACCTGTAGCTGCCAATCAAGTTGACTTTTGAGTCGACTCAAAAGTACCAGCTGTTAACCATTACCTCAACCTGTAGCTGCCAATCAAGTTGACTTTTGAGTCGACTCAAAAGTACCAGCTGTTAACCATTACCTCAACCTGTAGCTGCCAATCAAGTTGACTTTTGAGTCGACTCAAAAGTACCAGCTGTTAACCATTACCTCAACCTGTAGCTGCCAATCAAGTTGACTTTTGAGTCGACTCAAAAGTACCAGCTGTTAACCATTACCTCAACCTGTAGCTGCCAATCACCTATGCACACCCAGCAGCACCCACCCTGCACCACGATGATTCTGAGCACAGAGAGCGGGTTGGAGTGCGCCAGCTGAACTGTATCTGCAACTGCCAATCACCACTTCACACCCAGCATCACCCACCTGCACCACGATGGTTCTGAGCACAGTGAGCGGGTTGGAGTGTGCCAGCTTCGCCACCATGCGCCCCGTCGGCTTCAAATTCTCCTTCGCCAGCCGCTTCAGTGTTCTCCGCGTGTCCAGCTGGCGGTGTGGGCAGTGGGGGGTAAGGAGGGATGAAGGCATTGGAAAAGGCACGTGATGCTCAGACTGTGGCCTTCAGATTCTCTTTCGCCAGCCGCCTCAGCGTGCACCGCATGTCCAGCTGAATGGGGGGAGGGCGGGAGAGGGGGTGAGGCGGGGGAGCTGGGCATGGGGGGGGGAACAGGTACATGTAAAAAAGATATGTGGCGATTGGGAGAGGGAGGTGGGGAGAGGGCAGTGGGGAGGAGGGGAGAAAGCGGAGAAGGCGAGGGAGGAAAAAAACGTGCATCTGTGTGCGAACCGCGTCTTCTTCACCCACCCACGCACCCTAGGAGAACAGAGCCTCTATCCCTCCAAGCACCTTCACCAGCAAAGCCAGTGGCCAATTTCAGCGCTGCTGGGTTACCCACTCAATTCTATCACCCCAGTACAGTACCCACTCACTCACTACCCTGAACTGAACTCCTATCACTCACCCTGGCAATCTGCCTTGCAGCGAGCACCAGGGGGTTGGTCTCGGTCTCCTTCTCCCACTCGCCGTACAGCCGGTAGCGCTCCTGGAAGGGCAGGCATGCGAGCACCTCCCACAGCTGCATGCACACCGGCGGACTCGCCACCACCGCCTGCAGCGCTGGCAGCAGCGACGCCTCTAGTGCTTCCACCACCCGCCCCTCCACCTCCCTCGCTGCCGCTGCTGCTGTCTCTGCTTCTGCTGATGCTGCAGTAGCAGCCGGAGCGTCAGGGGCAGCGAGCAAAGAGTCGGGTTCAGGAGAAACTGGGCCGTTGGCTGTTGCTGCTGGTGTGAGAGCGACAAGAGAAGGGCCATTACAGAGAGCTGCAGGAGCGGAGGAGGCTGCAGAAGCAGCGGCTGTGGCGGCAGCGGTTGCAGCAGCGGCGCGGGCTTGGAGGAGGTCTGCCTTGAGCACCTTGCACAGCTGGGGTGTGTCGTTGTGAGACAAGGGAGTGTGGTGCGGTGCAAATGGCGTGGGTGATGTGATACGGGTTGGTGTGGTGCGGTGAGGAGATGTGTGGCACGGCATGCAAACCAGCAAGAATCAGGAGCAGAGTGGAAAGCGAGAGAGAAAATTTTATAAAAAGGTTTGGTGAGAGGTGAGTTCAGAAGTTGGCATGCAGATGACAGGTGGACGTGGTGGTGGAAACATGCAGCCCAGGTGGTATATATATAATGTGATATAGAAATGTTACTACATTATGTGCTGTATGTTGTACATAATAATTACTGGTAACAGCAATCCAAAGACAACTGCACACGTTTTGTTGCTTTGCACAACTGCACTGGCGCACAAGGGCGGTTGCACCAGATATGCATGAAGCACCCACTTCACTTCACCGACTGCACCACACCACACCACACCGCACCACACCACACCACACCACACCACACCGCACCACCACCCTGCCAGACAGTCATTCACCCAGCCTCACCTTCTGCAGAAGAATGGTGTCTTGGTAGAGAAAGGCCCCCAGGAACCGAAGCATCTCAAACACCCTCCCGGGCACCTGCGTCCCCCCTGTCCTGCTCTCCACCACCTCCTTTCCCACTCCTCTGTCTTTCTCCCCTTCTCCCTCGTCATCCTCCTCGTCCCCCCTCGCCCTCTCCCCTTTCCTCCTGCCCCCTGCCACTCCATCCACCGGGCCGGCTTCAGTCATATCCACATCTCCATCCGAGGCTCGGGAGGCACCGAGGCTAGAAGGCAGGTTTGGTGATGAGGTAACATCGGCCGGATGCTGGTTTTTAAGGCTGAGAAGGTAGGCTGGGCGAACTGCATGGTAGGCTGGAGCGATGGAGCGGGATATGAGGCTGGTTCGATGGTGGGGTGTGGGGGAGTAGGGGAAGGAGAGAGAGCAGAATGACATGGGATTTAATGATTCAGAATTTATTAGCACACATCATTGGCTATCACGTGATCGACTGACACGAGTTAAGGCATCTTCGGGATATGAGGCTGGTTGGAGGGGTGGTGGTGTGGGGGGGCGGAGGGTGGGGGGGAGAGTAGGGGAAGGAGAGAGAGATCGGAATGACATGAGTTTTATTTATTCACATTTGATTGGCACACGTTTGATGAAACCGCGCAACTCTGAGAAGGGTTACGGCATGTTCAATTCAACTTGACAACACAGAAGTGACACGAGCAACGAGAGTTGGCATTCACAAAAATGGCATGTCCCTATCACTCTGGTGCTGTGCAACAGAAGGGTATACACGCAGTCGTGGTGGCATACATGTGATTGACAACGGGATAAGCCAATTGCATGCATGCGCAAACAGGGCACAGGGGCGGTGCAGACATACAAGCAGAGGGCGGTGCAGATGGGGGGGTGGGCGACAGGGTGCAGCGGCCTCAGGTGCTCCAGCAGCTGCCGTGCATGGGGCCTGGTGGGTGGGAGGGTGGGTGGGTGGGTGTGGAGAACTCAACTCAAAGTCGGATTCCTGATTCCTAAGAAAATTTGAGGCACTCAAATCTCCTCAGGCTCAGGTGCTCCAGCAGCAGCCGCGCATGGGGCCTGGTGGGATGGGAGTGGGTGGGTGGGAGAAAGGGTGGGGAAAACTCAACTAAAGGTCTACTTGTAAAAGCGTGGTGAGGCACTCAACCCCTTACGGCTCAGGTGCTCCAGCCAGCAGCTGTTGCGCATGGGGCCTGTTGGGTGCATGGGAGGAAGGGCGGGGCGGGTTCAGGTGTTGAGGAGTGGAAGCGTGGAGTGTGAATCGCCTCAACAGCATCAAGGACGTCGAAGCACATCAATCATCCAAACAGCCAGCCAGCTTACGCAAAGACGGAATCACACACACACACCCGCGCACGCACGCACGCACGCACGCACACAACAAAAAAGACTTTTGAGGCGCCTCAAAAGTCACAACAAAAAAGACTGTTAAAAGAACGAAAAAAAAGTCTGACCCTCACCAGTCGTCCACGAGCAGCAGCGCCTTGAGCAGGCGCATCTTATCGTTGCCCTCCGCCTCGCCCCACTCCTTGGCAGCAGCACTCTCCTGCCCGTCCACCGCCCCGTACAGGTCGATCGTCACGTCTGCTGGCTGCGGGTCGTCTGTCAGGTCCCGCCCCGTCGCTGCCAGGTTGATCTTGCCTATGCGGTTCACCTGAGGATTGGGGAGGCGGGATGGAGGGAAACGGGGAGAATGGGAGGAGAAAGTGGCAAAAAATTGGGGGGGGGGGGGGGAGGGGGCGAGGGGGAGGGAGGGAGGGTGAAAGGGAAAGGGGTTGTTTGGGAACGAGCTTAGTGCTCTCCTGGGCGTCCACCGCCCCGTACAGGTCAGTCGATCCATACGTCTGCTGGCTGGGGGTCGTCTGTGAGGTCTCGCCCCGTCCCTGCCAGGTTGATCTTGCCTATGCGGTTCACCTGGGGCAGGAGGAGGCAGTATGGAGGGTGCAAAGAAGTGAAGGCGCGAGGATTTAGTCAGGAGGAAAGGCGGGGGATGGTGAGGGGGGTGGAGAGAGGAGGAGGTGGCAAAAGGTTGAAGTGGCCATTCAGGAATAGGGATAGGGGTAGGGGTGGTAGAGTACGGGGAGACCCCTACCAAGCGAGTGTACGGGGGGCATTGGGGGAAGGCGCGAGTGAGCAGAGCAGTGTGCAGAGGGCGAGCAGAGAAGCAGTGCATGACTGGCCTGCAATGTGATTGAAGAAGTGTTTTGAGACGTCTCAAGCAGAGAACCGGCTGGCTGGCACTCACTTCTTCAAGCAGAGAAGCAGTGTATGACTGGCCTGCAATCCTCATATTCAACTCAGTGAGTGAACCGGCTGGCTGGCATTCAACTCACATCCGCTATTCTCTGAGCGTTTATCTCCTTGCTGTGTGCCTCTGCCTCCTCGTCTGGGGGGTCCAAGAACGGGTACCTGCCACACACGCACGAAACCACGCAGGGACAAACACAGGGTAAGCTTGCATTCTCTTAAAAAGACTCTGCCTCCTCGTCTGGAGGGTCCAAGAACGGGTACCTGCCAGCCACACACGAGACCCAACAGAGAAAAAGACAGCTTGACGCACATCAGATGTGACACATGTGAATCACAGCACAGCGACCTGCGAGTCGCTCTTGATGCAGTTAGCTGCCAGCACAAACAGGCTGTCTGGAATGCTGTGAGCGGTTCTTGAGACCACTTGAGAACAAACACTAGCAGCACGACAAGCCACAAGCACACCACTCACAAGGCAGCAAGCTGTACAACGTTGCTTTTGAGGCAGTTAGCTGCCAGCACAAACAGGCTGTCTGGTATGCTGTGAGCGATACTTGAGAATTCTCAAACGAAAACCAACCAGGGCAACGACGCGACTCACAAGGCAGTGAGCTGCACGACGTTGCTCTTGAGGCAGTTAGCCGCTAGCACAAACAGGCTGTCTGGTATGCGCCCCTCCGCCCCACTCCCACCCTCCCCCTTCTCCCCCCCCTCGCCATCACCATCACCTCTTCCCGCCCCTCCTCCCCCTGCCCCCGCTTTCCCTGCACTTCCTTTCTCCCCCCCTTGGCTGTTCCCTCCGCCCTCCTTCGCTCCTTTGCTTCCAGCAGCAGAGGCAGCAGCAGCGGTGGCGATGAGGCGGTGGTAGTGGCTGAACTTGAACCCGAGGATCTGAGGCGCGTGCGACTGACGGGCGCAGGGGCGCAGGGGCGCAGGGGCGCAGGGGCGCAGGGGAGGGAGGGGGAGGTGGAAGCGGACTGAAAAGGTTAAGTAGAGGAGCCACATTAGCGCAGACAACACCGCAGCACAGCACACCATAGCACCGCACAGCACAGCACTGCAAGAAACCGCACAGAACCGCACAGCACATACCCCCACGGCACAGCACCGCACAGCACAGCCAGCACAGCAGCAGCACGCACCTCAGGGAAGAGCTTGACGAGGTGGAGGAAGGCAGAGTTGGTGGGCTGCATCTCGTAGCAGTCCAGCACCTGGTGTGATGTGAGCGAGAGAGAGGCAGAGAGGGAGAGCAGACAGAGAGGAGCAGGGAGGGAGAGCAGTGAACAGGGATGACATTGAATCGATTGGAAACGCAACTCGTAGCAGTCCAGCACCTGGTGTGATGTGAGAGAGGCGTGGGGCGAGAAGGGTAGGGAGGAAGAGTAAAGAGAGAGGAGCAAAAGAGGAAGCGAGCGATGACATTGGGTCGATTGAAAACGCATCTCACAGCAGTCCAGCACCTGGTGTGATGAGAGAGAGGCGTGGGGCGAGAGGTGCAGAGCGGGAGAGCAGACAGTGAAAAGGAGCAGGGTTTAGGGGCAGCATGCAGAGAGGGAGAGAGCACGGCAACATAGAGCACAGAAAGAGAAAGCGTATAAGAGGGGCAACGACGGCGAAATCGTACGTATGTACCATGCACGGTGGCATGGCATGGCAGTGGTGCTATGCTATACTCACTATGTCAAACACGCGGTTTGGGTCCAGGTCGAAGAGGCCGATGAGTGACTGCCAGGGAAGGGGGACAGACATGGGAGGGGGAGGGGGGGGGGGGGGGGGAAGGGGGAGAGGGGCGTACGGGGCAGTCTCAAACACACGGTTTGGATCCAGGTCAGAGAGGCCGATGAGTGACTGGCAGGGAAGGAGGTACAGACATGGGAGGAGGGGGGGGGGGGGGGGGTGGGGTGGGGAGGAAGGGGGAGAGGGGCGTAAAGGACAATGTGAAAATGTGAAACACGCGGTTTGGGTCCAGGTCAAAGAGGCCGATGAGAGACTGTTAGGGAAGGGGGAGGCAGACAGGAGAAGGGGTGGGAGGAGCGGAGAGAGGAGAGGAGCGTAGAGGACAATGCGAGACACACGGGTTAAGGTCGAAACTGAATCGGCTGATGAGTAACAGCCAGGAAGAGAGAAAAAGAGAGCACAACAGGCAACAGCGGGTGAGTGAGAGCGAAAGCTTCGTCTGCGACTGTCTGCACCCAACAGCAACTAGCGCGAATCACTTTCAGCCATCCGCCACTGGAGTACTAGCAGCCACTCACTCACCTTCACAGCGTCCACCACAGCGCTCGCTGACCGTGAGTTGAGTCCCAGCGGGCCCTTCTGACTCAGTATGGTGATCTGCCAGCATGGAACAAGGAGCGGGAAATTACCTATCATTGAGGCAGATTATCAAGAATGATGTTTCACATGCCACATATAGAATCACAGAACGAAAGCCTCAGATAGAAACACCACTCACTGACAAAGTAATGTGGCAATCAATCAGGTCCTCCACCCTCTCATCTGTTTTTTTTTTATCCTCAAAAAACAGATCCAATCGGGTCCTCAACCCACCCTCTCATTTCTCCTTCCCTTTTCCCATCCTCCTCATTGTGCGGTGGGGTTGGGTGGGGTTGGGGGAGCATTCATTCATCCCATGGTCTCCTCATCGATCTCCCTTACCAGTTTTGCATATCCCTCGGAATCCTCTCGGAGCAGATTGAACTTGGTCTGTGTGTACACCAGCCGCGTGTTCACACGCACCTGCCAGGTGAATGGGGCAGAGCACAGAGAGGAGCAGAGACGGAAGAAAGACAGCTTCTAAATGGCTCAAAAATGGGTGTGCGTGTACACCAAGTGAGTGAGGTGAGGGTCCACTCGCACCTGAAAGATACCAGGAAGGCAGGCAGAGACGCACAGGAGGTCAACGCAAAATCTACCTTGTTTGGTTGAATGATTAAAGGACAGAGCAGGGCAGAGACAGCAAGCAAGCATATAACCAGGGAATGGGTGTGAAGGCGGGAACAGACGCAGGCAAGGGGGTGGGGGGAAGCGGGTGGGGTGTGGATAGGCGGTGACAGCTTACACATTTCTTCTTGAGCTCCGCCGGCTCCATCTTGATGAGCTCCGCCTCCCACAGCAACTCCTCCTGGTGGCGCGGAGGAGGTGGGTGGAGAGGCGCGACATGGCACGGGGAGAGACGGTTGGAGGGGGAGGTAGCAAGGGGAGGGAAGGCGAGGGAAAAGTAGCAGGGAATGGGAAGCTGGGCGGCGAACCAGCAAGGTGGATGATGGAGAAAGAATTCCCTACTCTACTGAGACGAGCACGAACATGAGGAAAGCATGGGCTTTAAGAACGGTGGTTGATGGACCCTGGTGAGAGAACTCTCATTCACCAGTGAAAAGATATGAAGGGTCTGCTGCTGCTACAAGGTTGAACAGTGCACTTGCCTCGCAGCGATCTTGCAGCATGCGAGGTGTCACAACCCGATTGGACGCCAGCCACTTGGTCTGAGAGAAACACGGAGAGCAAGCGAATTGCAGAGGGGGAAGGGAAAATGACAACGGGATTAGGACGAGACGGGAAGGAGCAAGGAGTAGGCATGGAAAATGGCCCACAGAAACTATTGATGACGAGCACGTATTTATTGTGCCATTTCACAGTGCGTGCTGCCAGCCACCTCTCTCAATGAAACTTTCCTCCTACCTACTCCCACCTGCTTCTGCTTTATGAAGCTCCCCTTAACGTCAGCTTTCGTTTCAAATCAACCACAGCGCACCTCTTGCTGCAATTTCACTTCATCTTGATTCATCCGACCCGACCTTGCTCCTACAGTCGTTTCACCTCTCTTTCATATTCATCTCACTCTTTCACTCCGCCTCAGTCTTTCATCTCATCTCGCTCTTTCACTTCACCTTACTGTTTCATTTCATCTCCCTGTTTCACGCACTCACCAGCTCCACCAGTCGTCGACGCAGGTCCGTCTGACCAGACACCTGTGAGAGAGAGAGCCAAGAAAGAAGCAGGGTGCATTCACAAAGGGATTGGTTGGCAGCGCTCTGGCACCAAGCCAGAGAAAATAAACAACAGAACATTTCATCCAAATTTGAGCAGCTACTAGCAACAAGCTTCAGGCAAAAGGGAAAATGCTGCATGTTGAACATGCCACACCACATGCAGGGGCTGCATGATAAATTCTACATGCGGAGGGTTGCATGAAAAACTTACCACAGACAACTTTGTTTGTGAAAGCAAGGGGAACTGCAGTCAAGCAATCTAAGCGAACTGACGCCTGAGTCGAGAGGTGAGCCACTGCAGAGCCAACCAACATTCCTCAATAGCCAGCTCCCTCTGCTGCTAAAGCCTCTGCTGCTCGTTCCAGGTACCACAAAGACCTAACAACGACGCACATTATCGTGCCTCGAGTTCCCATATCTGTTGTTGGGGCCTCTGTTGTTCGTTTTGGGAACATACCCCAACTCCAAGGGCGCAGATCTTCATACCTCAAATGCCAGCTGGGCCACTGTGTCCGCCAGGAGGGAGGGCACATCTGGGGCAGGATTGACTTTTGAAATTTCTCTATAGACAAATCAATACAACTCCACGTACCTCGAACGCCAGCTGGGCCACTGTGTCCGCGAGGAGGGAGGGCACATCTGGAGCAGGCGGGGACTGCTCATCCGCCGCACGCTGGTCCGCTGAAGGTACTGCGCCCGCGTCGGGGGAGGCAGAGGGTGGAAGGGGAAGGCCTGCGGACTGCAGGGCAGCTGGGATCCGCACAGGCGGCAGGTCGCCGTGCACCTGGAGAGAAGGGAGACGGGAAAACAGGAGGTTAAAGCGGGAGCAATTTGTGCTGCGGATGCAGCAAATCCACAGCTGACGAATTAGGGTTTCACTCTCGACAATCTAACGGCCCGTATTCTGCGGTCCTGGTTGGGATATGTATGCATGCGGTGACTACTACGGTCGCAACGACGGTGATTGGTCGAGCATGAAACCCTAATCCTGTGGAGTGGGTAAGCATAAAAAGAAAGCGCCCAAAAGAACCTCTATTTCTAGAAACGCAGGAATTCTACGCCAAGCACAGGCATCGTCGCATATGGCGCTGGTAGTCTCAGCCTTGTTGATCTCTCTCAGCGGCACGACGACGAGCAGCCATGGACGAATCAAATTGAGCCGGAGATATCGCTAAGGCGGTGCGACAACAGGCTAGGCAGAGGAAGGGTATGCAATGCAAGCGGCGGTCGTCGGGAAACACCATCATCAGGTGGTCAACACGGCTCCGAGTCAACGGATCGAAATGTCGGCTGAGCCTTTCTAACTGTCGAGGACTTGGCTGGATGATTACTGTCAGTTTGACGAGCTCTGATCCTTGAGAACGCTCGTGTCTTAATCGGCGATTTACCGTACACGAACACGAGCATTCCGCAAAGGTCGGTTGGTGAGCTCAAACCCCGTACCGGCTTTTAGCGCTGCGTCAGAGTACTTCACTCTGATATGCATGAGTACGTGATCCGTAGCCATCAGCTATACTACTTGACTTCATTAGGGTAGAAAATTAAGTCACTCAGCACCGTCTATCACTCACCACCGTCCAGCACAGCTCGTAAATGAATCGCAGAGGCGAATCGACGACTGTCGTCGCTGCGATCGGATCCGACGACGTGCGCCATCGCTGAACCTGCTGCTCCGTCGCATACTTAAATCGGACGGTGCTGACAAGGCCTGATGATGTGGAAGAAGGAGCCATGGCGAGGCTTCCCTGCTCAACACTCGACTGGCGTAATCACATATCCTAGAAAAACATTACGTTTCAATAATGATGCGGCTGTCTCAATGAAGCGCACCACCATGCACGGGGAGTTAGCGAGACAACGATTAAAGGAGCTAGCGAAACAGAAACTGAAGGCGAGCACGGATCGTGCACTAGCTATTGATTGGGTATAGCCATGACAATGGATAGAAGCTGCTTGTCACATGAGACTGCGACCTGCGTGAAATCAAGTATCAAACTAACAACTCGCAGCCCTGCATTTACTTGTCTAAGATCCGCAACTGAATTACTTCGAGTCCTAAAATGGCTCCGACTAAAGAGGACGCAATTGGCGCTGCGTCAGAGTGAAGTGAGAGACCCAGTACCGAGGGAAAGCACCTGCAGGCCAGGCCTGATGGCATCGTGGATTGTCTATGTTGTAAGTTGTAGATCTGTGTAAATCTTACTCATACTGTAACCCTAAACTCCTTGAACATTGGCTGCACAATGTACTGTTCTGTTGACGAATCGAAACATCTACAATCGAGCACAGGCACCACCTCCACACCAATCTTGCCATCCTTTTCACTTTCACCGATACAGTCACACGCTGCTGCCGCATCTACGCATTTTCCGGAATACTCGACCTCTATATTATTTTTACGACTGTCGGTCGGCTGGGGCATCAAATCCACCCTTCTTTGGAGTCCTATGCAATGGTTCAATCATTCAAGGTGCAATGCCATTTCGCGACAAACTAGGCTTCTGCTGCTGCTGCTTCTCTGTCGACAGACTTGGCTTCTGCGATATTCGCCATGCACATAATTCCCAATCGATGCTGGGTACTGACGTCATTTGGTAATCGCGTCACGCTGGCCAGCAGTGCGCGCGAGTAGGGGTCGGGACAAGCAGCGGCTTGAAGGAGAGCAAGCAACGTCGAAGCAGGCACGGCATTTTAGTCCTGGCACGTTAGTCTAGAGATTCTTATCTCTCGCTGTGGTTTTCTAGGTAGGCGTGGGGCGACGTCATAATTGCCACGATCGCGAATGGCAATTACGTAGCCTCCCAATAATCGCTGCTCGTCCTTTTTCGCGACGTTTTGAAGAATCAACAGCAAACCTCACCGCGTGCAAAGCGTTTCGTACTATAACACGATCGGCGAAGGAAAGGAGGTTTTTTTTTTTTTTTTTTTTTTTTAGAATTCTCAAGAATCTCGTAGGAGCAAATCCCCCTTCCCGCCTGCAACACGGTTTGCGGACAAGGGTGAGGGGATCATCCGGCCGTCATTCCATCATCATTCTGTCAAGAATTCGCGCGTAATTATCAACGGAGCGTGACGCCCGCTCTCGCTACAGCCAGATCCGGTCTCTCTTCCACTCGTCGGCGGGTTCGCCTCCCCGCCCTCCCCACTTACCACCCCGAACCCCCATCACTCACTTCGGACTCCCCTCTCCGCGCCTCCACTTCCCCCAACCCCCCCCCCGGAACCCCACTCCGTACTCCCCGCGGCGCGGGTATACGAGCGATGAAGCCGAGTGGTAACCCGCCCAGCCTGAACATCGGATCCTCTTTCGCCACCTCGTCAACCGCTCGCCCGGCCGCCACCTTCCGTTCTCGGCCGTTCTTTGCAACCCCTTCCAAATCCCCCTCCTTCTCGCTCCCCTCATTCCCCTCCTGGTCCCCCTCCTACTCACGGTTACTCTGGCCCTTCACCTCCTCCCCTCGCGCCTCCTTCCATCCCGCGTCCCACTCCTCCTTCCCCTCGCGACCCTCTCACTCCTCCCCTTCGTCCCTCCCCTTCCGCCTCCCCTTCCCCCTCCCCTTCTCCTTCTCCCCGCGTTCCATCTCCCTTCCGAAGCTTCTCCTCGCCCTTATCCTCTTCTCCCTCTTCCTTCTCCTCGCTCCTCTCCCCAAATGGCCCAAACGCTTCCACTCCCCTTTCTCCGTCATCCCCCCTCCCCCGGACGGTCTCTCCTTCCTCCCCTCGCGCTGCCCGCCCGCCTGCTCGCGCCACGGCTCCTGCAATGAGGAGGCGGGTAGATGCGACTGTTTACCCGGGTACACGGGGGTGGACTGCACGGAGTTGGGGTTACCCTCGTGCCAGTACGCGTGGGGAGTGGAGATGCCGTGCTTCCTGCCCTCTTCCTGTGACTGTGCTCTCGAGTGCGAGCGCTTCTTTCTGCCCCACGACGAGTACTGCTTTCCCAATAACGGTATGTGTGAGAATTTTCAATAACCAGCTTGAGAAAACTACAATCTAAGTACACTTAGTCATCGCTACTGCCCCAAGCTTCCCCCTCTTCCTGTGCTCTCCTGCTCCCCTCGCCACAGAATCCCTTTCCATCCCGTCTCCTGTCCTCCCCTAGTTCCTCGTTCCTCGTTCCTCCCCTCTCTCCGCAGGCACGTTCTGAAAGGAGCGCACGATAGGAGCCATCATACCGCGCATGCCACTGCCCCAGGAGACTCTCTCGGCTCTCTCCTCTCCACCCTGCAGCCCCAACAGCCCTCTCCTCTTTCCCCCTTCCATCCATCTCTCTCTTTCCATCTCCAGGGACCCTTTGGAAGGAGCGAACTATCGGAGCCATCATAACACGCATGCCGCTGCGCCTGCAGACTCTCCCAGCTCTCTCCACCCTGCATTCCCCGACACCCTTCCCCTCGTGCCCCGCCCTCCATCCCTCTCCCTCGCTCTGTCCCCATCTCCAGGGACCCTTTGGAAGGAGCGAACTATCGGAGCCATCATAACGCGCATGCCGCTGCGCCTGCAGACGGACGGCAATGGCACTGAAACCGGGCCCCGAGAACCCTTCAGTATAAGCACACCCACCAACACCCATACCGGCAGCAGCAGCAGCAACGGCGCTTCCAGCAACCAGGGATCATCAAAAGCATCACAGGCAGCAGCTGCTGCAGTAGCTGCAGCGGCGGTTACAGCGTCGCCGCTGCTGTTCCCCTCCACGCCCCTCCCGCCGCACCCCTTCCCGTGGCTCGTGCCCCTTAACAACTGCCCCAACTACTGCTCCGGTCGCGGCCTCTGTGACGCCACGTACTGGGAGTGCAGGTACGAGAGGATGAGGGTGGATGGAGGGAGTTGGGACACTGGCAGTGCGTGTGTGAGGACGAGAGCATTCAGTTTCATGCCTGATCTCACTTACCCTTGTGTGCCACACCCCTCAACACCCTTCAACACCCCTCCACACCTATGATGGATTATACGCTTTGGACCTTAAGCGTTTAGCGTTTGTACGCTAGCGTGTACACGCTAAACGCGAAACGCTAGCGAAAACGCTATACGCGAAGTTTTTTCTGGGCAGCCCGCCGACCCAAACATTTTCGAATAGCTCAAACGATGCGGAATTGCACGACGAGCAATTCTGCGAAGTCAGATTGCACGTCCGCGGTCTGTGCTGGCAGGAAAGTGGCTTTATGTCCTGGTGTCGCGTTTGCCTAGTCTACTAAACTAGGTAAGAAATCGAGCGCGGTAGGTAAGTCTGTCGAGATGTCGGGGGGTTGGATTGAGAGTAGTTGTGAGTTGCGTCTAGCTGTTTTGCGAAAACAATTCGCCAACATTTTGACTCGATCGCAGGTGATTCGCCAGCAAGGCACGACAAATTTCACCCACTCGCCAATTTCGCGAACGGTGGAAATTGTGGTGGTTGGGTACAAATGTGTTCTCAGATCTGTACCCAACCATTTCCCGCAATTTCTTTGTTAGGGTTACGGGACAAGATTCCCGCATGGTCGACGAGTATGAAAATGCTCACCGAGTTTTGTTTTGCCCTGCCCGGGAAACTTTTTTTCCTGCCCAGAAAAGCGTATCCTCGATCAGACCCCTCCAGCGTATAGCGTGCAAACACTAGCGTATATACGACACGCGTATATACGCTATAAGCGTATAATCCATCATAGCTCCACACCCCTTCCCCAGGTGCCCCTGGTACCACGACACGACGGCAGTGCATGTGAGGATGAGAGCTTCTCAGTGGCGTGCCTCAACTCACTTGCTTACACATGTGGTCACATCCCCCCACACCCCTTCACACTCCTCCACAACCCTCCATACCCCCCGAAACCCCTCCACACCCCTTCCCCAGGTGCCCCTGGTACCACGATGGCAGTGCATGTGAGGACGAGAGCTTCTCAGTGGCGTGTCTCAACGACTGCTCGCAGCGGGGCGACTGTGAGGGCGGCGTGTGTCAGTGCCAGGCAGGCTTCTTTGGTGCCGACTGCTCGCTCTACTACAATGAGGAGCTGCGCCTGAGGTGCGAGGGAGGGGAGGGGTGAACAGAGAGTTGGTTGCGTCTTATGTGTGTGCTAGTCGGTACTGTCTGTGTGCCAGTGCCAGGCGGGTTTCTTTGGTGCTGACTGCTCGCTCTACTATAATGAGGAGCTGCGCCTGAGGTGGGTGGGGTGAGAGGGGCCGAGCCTGAGATCGAAGGGGGTTGCAGTTTCTGTGTGCTGTGCTGTCTGAACGAGGGGTACACCAGATCGTCTCAGTTGTTTGCTACGGAGCTTTTCCCTATGGCCCGACCACCCGCACCCACGCATCTCACCCGTCCTCTTCCTTCCCAACTCCCCACCCACCAATCAGGAGGCTCCCCGGGTCACCCTTTCCCTGGGCCGACCTACCAGAGAGTGACACGTTCGCAGTAACACCAGCAGCATCAGCATCCGCAGAAATCGAGCCGCCAGTCTCTCTCAGCCCACAGCCACAGCCAGCTCAAGAGCAGCAGCAGCAGCAGCAGCAGCAAAGTGATGCAGGAACAACAGGGGCAGCAGCAACAGCAGCGGTAGGAGTAGGAGCAACAGCAATAGCAGGAGGGAAATCAGCAGCAGCAGCAGGAGCAGCGGGGCAGCCCCTGAGGGTGTATGTGTACGAGCTGCCTCCGCAGTTCAACTCATGGCAGATGCAGCACTCGCCCTACATCGACCACCCCGAGGCCCTCTGGTTCTGGGAGCGCCTGCTGGCCAGCCGCCACCGCACCATCGACCCAAGGGAAGCTGATTACTTCTATGTGCCTCTCCTCATCCGGTACGTTCTGCTGGGTGCACTAGCTCTCCAGGTGCTAAGTGCGGTGGCTCCAGGTGCTAGGTGGTGTGCACTGGTACATAGATGCCCTCTGGTTCTGGGAGCGCCTGCTGGCCAGTCGCCACCGCACCATCGACCCGCGGGAAGCTGACTACTTCTATGTGCCTCTTCTCATCCGGTAGGTGTCGTGTGCTGGGTGCACTAGCTCTAGGTGCTACGTGCGATGGCTGGCTCTAGGTGCCCTCTGGTTCTGGGAGCGCCTGCTAGCCAGCTGTCACCCCACCATCGACCCGCGTGAAGCTGACTTCTTCTACGTGCCTCCCCTCATCCGGTACGTGCCATGTGCTGGGTGCACTAGCTTTAAGTGCCAAGTGCGTTGGCTCTAGGTGGTAGGTGGTGTGAACTGGTAGAGGCCCTCTGGCGGACCACATCTTTCACCCTTTTACTCCCTTCTAACCTGCTCTTTCTGTCCGTCCTGTTCCCCTTCCCCTGCCACTGGCCCTGCCCCTCCCCCTCCAGCAACCGAGACAGTGGCAAGCAGCGGCTCATCTCAGAAACCATCGCCTTCATCCGCTCCCTGGGCCCCTTCTGGGACGCCAAGGGCGGGGCAGACCACATCTTCCTGGTCAGTGAGGAGTACGGCAAGTGCGCCCTGCAACCCTAACCCCCTCATTCTTTCCCTCCCCTTCCCCTCCCCCCTCCCCTGCCCCTCCCCCTGCCCCTCTCCCTGCCCCTCCCCCTGCCGCTCCCCTTCCTCCTGCTCCTTCTCCCCTACCCTCAGAAACCGAGACAGTGGCAAGCAACGTCTGATATCAGAAACGATCGCCTTCATCCGCTCCCTGGGCCCCTTCTGGGACGCCAAGGGCGGGGCAGACCACATTTTCCTAGTAAGTGAGGAGTACGGCAAGTGCGCCCTGCAGCTCCACGGGCTGGAGGACCCGCGGCTAGCGTCCGCAATCACCCTCACTCCCTGGGGGTACACTCGCAACATGCTCGGCACCGCAGACGGCGGGCCGTGCTTCCGGCCCGGGCAGGACATAGTGATTCCGCCCTCAGCGCATCTGAGGTTCCTGCAGAATGCGAGTATGGTCAGGGAGGCTGGGGGGCTGCCAGGACTGGTGAGGGAGGGAGGTGCGGATGGGGAGGGAGAGGTGCAGCAACAGGGGCAGGAGCAGGAGGGGCAGCAGCAGCAGCAGCAGCAGCAGGAGGGGAGTGGTGGGCAGGGGCAGGTGGGGAGGGAGCGGCAGTACCTTCTGTTCGTGCGAGGGCTGAATGTGAGTGATGGCAGCAGCGGGTGGGACGAGGAGGCACACCAGCAGGAGCAGGGGGGGCAGCAGCAGGGAGATAAGAGGCAACAGGGAGGCAACAAGGAGCAGGGGGAGCAGCAGCAGCAGCAGCAGCAGCAGCAGCAGGGAGAGAAGAGGCAGCAGGGGCATCCACCGTTCAGCTTTGGCGTGCGGCAGCGGGTGTTTGAGCTGTACGCGGGGCGGGACGAGGAGACGGGCTTTAAGGTGGAGGTGGTACCGGAGGGCGGCGAGGAGCTGGCGTACGGCGGCATGGAGCAGAGCGTGTTCTGCCTCGCCACTGCAGGCCACGGCTGGCATGCGTCACTGGCAATGGCTGTTATCGCAGGCTGTGTGCCCATCGTCATTCAGGTGGGTCTCTCTCACTCTATCTGTGGTTGGGAGCTAGCGGCGGCATGGAGCAGAGCGTGTTCTGCCTCGCCACTGCAGGCCACGGCTGGCATGCGTCGCTCGCCATGGCTGTCATTGCAGGCTGTGTGCCCGTCGTCATTCAGGTGGGTCCCTCCCTCAGCGAGCATTGAAGAGCACCTATGAGAGAGAGTGTGTGTGCTGTGCCGTGCCTTGCCACGGTACGGCGGCATGGAGCAGAGCGTCTTCTGCCTCGCCACAGGGGCCATGGCTGGCATGCATTGCCCACAATGCCTGTGATTGCAGGATGTGTGCCAGTTGTCATTCAGGTGGGTCCCTCGGTGGTTGGGAGCGAGCCTTGAAAAGCACCTTTGAGAGTGTGTTAGGCCTCCTTTTGAGGCGGCTCAAAAGTGCTCCCTGATTGTCAGCGAGCATTGAAGAGCACCTATGAGAGAGTGTGTGCGCTGTGCCTTGCCTTGCCACGGTACGGCGGCATGGAGCAGAGCGTCGTCTGCCTCGCCACTGCTGGCCACGGCTGGCATGAATCGCTCACCTGGCTGTCATTGCGGGCTGCGTGCCAGCTGTCATCCAGGTGAGGCTCCGGTGTCATTCAGGTGGGTCTTAGTTGTCTTTCCGGTGGATCTCTGTTGGAATTCAGCACCTGTCCTTGTTGTTCAGGTGGGCCGCAGGTGTCGGTCTCATTCGTGGAGTGGAACAAGGCCTTCATATTTTTTCTTCTTCGTCCTCCTTTTTGTTTGTGTGTGTGTGTGTATGTTGGCCAACCACCCTTCCATCTCAACAGCCGGATGTGCTGCTTCCTTTCGAAGGAGACGGAGTGGACTGGAGTCTCGTCTCGTACCGCCTCAACATCCGCGACATCCCCCAGCTGCACGAGCGGCTGCAGGCAATCCCGCCAGAAGACATCGAACTCAAGCAGAAGCGCCTGCGACAGCTATGGCCTCTGTTCATCTGGTCAGCTCCGCAGTTCAATCCGGTGGACTTTCTGCCCGAAGGTGCTCAGATGAAGGTGACGAGATTGCTTGCGCAGTATGATGCGTTCAGTGCTGTGATGTTTGCTTTGGCTAGACGCGTCGGGAAAACGGGAGAGAGGGACTCGCTGTTGGACTGGTACAGGGATGGGGAAATAGGAAAGTTGCAACATATGAGCTGAAGTTAACACATGTATGTAATAATCATGTGGTTGAGTAGTTTTCTAATTGTAGAAAGTATTATATTTCTATTTGTACTGCTTTCCTCTGCTGTTTCTTCACAACCTCAATGTCGGGTCAGTTGACACAGCAATGGAAGTATCCTGGGGCTCTGTTTCCTTACGTGGCTTTACACGTGGCGCAATCTCGGTCGCCAAGGAGATGTTCTACCGTCCAGCGCATTCGAAATGACCTCACCTCACAGCGAACCTGGCGATGGATTCTTCCATAAGCTCAGCACCTGATTGGCCAGAACACTTCGGAAATGCCCTCGGCGTTCCCCTCCATTTCCTGTAACCATCTCAAACCCCCTTTGACCGTCTCCAACAGTGTTAGGAATTGCTTCACCGCTTTCAGCCAAAACTAACTATGGGAAACTCAACTCCGAATTTGCTTTAGTATCCGCACTTTTCGTTAGCTTGTCCTGATATTAGCAGTCCATTTCTGCTTCCCAGCTCGCTGGGATCGTGTTTTCTCATCTCCCGAGTATCCGAAATTTCTCTCCCTCTTTTCCAGAGTTTGCGCAACTGCGCGTTCTTCCAGAAATGGCCGGCCTACTTTCCTCATCCATGCAGGGAGCTCTCCTGAAGCTGCCTGCAGCAGCTCCCATTTCCGCTCCCCCATCTCGCACGCTCACCGCCGTAGTGGCTCACACCGGCGCATTTCCCTCGAGGAGACAGACGGCAGCCAGCAGAAGACCGATGTCGACGCTGCTGCGCGCCTCGGAGCTGACGGCGATCGACACCTTTACGTCGGAACTGGAAGAGCTGGAGGGAATGGTCGACGGAGAGTACGAGGAGGTACCAGTGCACACGGTGACGGTGCACGACCGGGAACGAGGAGTCACGTACACGGTCGACGTGCCTCAGGTAAGACTCGATGACGCGTGGAAGGATATGAGGATGGATCGATGGAAAACGAGGCAAACCACTGCTTGCGCCATCCACTGGATGTTTTAAACTGGAGACATAGAGCGAACTAACGGGAATCTTCATCCCATTGCTTTCAACGCCGGAATGTGAAAGTGCTTGTTTGCCGGCGTGTGCCAGTGGTCAAAGGCGACGATAATAATCGCTTATCTGTGTATCCGTATCAATCTCAGTTATCTGAACATCAGATGTTCAGCCAGCTCACGCGTGCCGTACAAAACTAGTCGATACGTGGCTTTAGAAATGTATCCGTTAAAGCTCAAGGCCCAAATTGTTCAGGATTACTAAAGTTGACCCTTGGGTGGTGGGAAAGCTGAGTAGGAAAGTCGAGGTGTTTGAGGGGTGTAGGGGTTTGGTTTCGCCCAGCTTCTCGCCACACTCGCTGACTCAGCAAAGCCTAGGGGACGCTCAGGTTTGGTTGCGCGAGTCCCATATTGCACAAATATTACTCTTGCCAGTTTCCCGCACCACCTGTTCCATTCGCTGACTCAAATGTTCTGGCCAATCAGATGGCTTCGTACATTTCGTAACCACAATTCGCCCAGCTAAAGCTGCAAAGCAGCACTCGATCAACCTTACTAAACTTGCCTCGCGCGGCCCGCAATTTGGGCCTTGAGCTTTAAGCTGTTTCTTGGGGCCAACAGTGGAATCGATTCTGATGTTATACGCACTGCTTCAAGCCTCTGTATGCTGCCTGTGCTGCTTGACTCTTAGGTTTCACTTTCGCTCTCACTTAAAGAACTGCCTCACCTTTGTTGGTCCCGTTGATACCTTTCTTTATGATCTCAGGACCAATACATTCTTCAAACCGCGGAGGAGGAAGGCATCAAGCTGCCATTTGCATGCCGGCACGGCTGCTGCACAGCCTGTGCCGTCCGGGTTATTTCAGGCGAGCTGGTTCAACCACGTGCGCTTGGCATTTCACAAGAGCTCAAGGAGAAGGGTTATGCACTGCTGTGTGTGGGGATTCCCCTTTCTGACCTTGAGGTGGAGACACAGGACGAGGATGAAGTGTACTGGCAGCAGTTCGGCAAGTACTTTGCACGAGGTCCAATCGAGCGTGATGATTATGCTCTGGAGCTTGCAATGCAAGACGAGTAATGGATTGGATTTGCAAGGCGGAGAACTTCCCTGATGTTTCTCAACCAATCTGTTTTCTCGTCCTCTGGTTTAGCACAATAAGATTTGCTTTACCCCTTGTCACAGCTGGGGCCATGTGATCAAGACATGGATCATCCTGGTGGACGTGCAAACAAGATCGCCTGCCTGGGAATTTCCGTCAACAGAAAACAGTTTTGTTGGTGTCTTGAAGAGCTCCCTTTATGTACCCTCAAACAGAAGAGATTGATCACTTGGTTCTGATTCCAGTATCTCATTTGTCCAGAAATTATAAAAGGAACCAATAAGGTGTAATACCGTAAGTGAAGCTTTTGCACCGGTTCGGTACAAGAGTCGTCGTAATAACGTATTGCTCCCGCCCATTCTTCATTCCTAGCAACATGTCGGACCATGGTGAATTCGGCGGCCCTGCCGTCCCATTCCATAGCAAACCACACACTACTGCTGCCACGACAAGCGCATATCATCATGATTCATCATAATGCAGGCGTTCTTGTGCGCGATGCCCACACTATCACATCTAGTATTGGCTCGTCACACGCACTGGGCATTTCTGAGAGTTTCCATTTCCTTTATCACAACCTCCCATCCCATCTCTCTCCTTATCGTTCCATGGCAGCGTTCCTCGCAAGAGCTCCGATTTTTTTCCCCACAGAAGTGAAGACGAAGGGGAGGGAACATTATCTCCTCTCCTGCACCGTTCGAAAGCACCAGCATCATGCAGCTAGTAGGAGTTGCTCTTCGTTGTAATCATCTGACCTACAGCAATATCCTCGTTATAAGCCCAACAGCTACCCATCGCCCCTTCACCTTCCCCTCGAAACCATCCATAACAGATTCATCCTGTTCTTTATATCTCCGCTTTCCAAAACCTCCTGCGACAAGCTGACGACGTCAGGCCGCATTCGCGAGCAGATCGACGATTCGCTCTAGATAGCCAACGCGTATTCTCTGCTCCTAGGCGTTCCTGCTGTCTCCCTGGAGCCATTCCGACTTCCGCTGCTTCTTTTGCAGACACAGACGCGGATTCGAAGGAAGGTTCGTCCCAAGGAGAGTTCGCGGAAAGACCCCTCTTGAGAGATGCGATTATTGTGGGCGGCGGAATTGCCGGTCTGACGGCAGCCATTGCTCTTCGCCGGCAGGGAGTTGACGTCCAGGTGGGTGTCTTACTGCCAGTCAGGCAATTTTTTTCACTGCGAGGCGATTTGACGGCCCTGCGAATCTGGCGGCAAGGCAATGAGGTGACGAAGAGCTTCCCCCCTCACCTGGTGCCTTTTAGCTTCGCTCCCCGCGCCAGCTCGTTGTTCCCCGCGCCAGGTGCACTGCTATGTCTAAGATTCCAGTGCTCCCGCACACGGGAGATGTACAGAGGTTGTTCTTAAAGGTCTAAAACTCCATGTTCCCCTTCGTGGCAGGTGTACGAGAGGGCGGCGGGGCGTGACCCTGAGAGGGTGGGGCGCATTGTGGGGATTCAGCCCAACGGGCTGGCAGCGCTGAGATGCATCGACCCCGCCATCGCTGATGCTGTAAGAGAGAGAGATATGAGCTTTGGAACCGTCTTCAAAAGCGCGTCCTGGGGTCTGGGTTTTGAGTCGACTCACAAGGCGCATTGTGGGGATTCAGGCCAACGGGCTGGCAGCGCTGAGATGCATCGATCCAGCCATTTCCGATGCTGTAAGAGAGGACTCGGGGATTGATGCTGTATAAATAATGTTAAGACCTGTTATACGACTCAGGGGACAATGCTGTAGATAGCATGAGGCCCGATATAAGACTTCAGAAGTTCAGTATAAGACTTTTAAAGGCTGAGATGTTGTAAGCTGACGCGATAGTTAAGAGTGGGAATTTTGTAACATGTGAAGGTCAAGAACCTTTCAGTTCTCATCCCTTCCCTTCCCTTCCCATCCATGCCCCCATGAATCATTGCGCCGTACCACCACTGTATCTCATCTTAACCATACTGTACCGCACTCAATCATGGACATCTTTTCATGCCTCATCATCCTGTCGTGCATTATCCTTCCATGCCTGCTTCTGTCCTGCTCTCTCCAGTGTCCCCCTCTCCTGCCCATCTCTCCCTCCCCTCAGCTGTCATCTGGAGAGGCGCATATACTCAGCCTAAGTATGAGTCGCTTTTGAGAATTCCCAAACGCATCTTGAGAGGCGCGTTTGTGCGCAGCCTCGCCCCATCTGGCCACCAAGTAAACTCACCATCAGGTATCAACAACCACCCACTTTCCTTCTCATCTCCCTCCCTCCCCTCCCCGCCCTCCATCCCTGCAGCTCCCCTCGCAAGGCGCGCATGTGCCGAGCCTGTGCCTGCTCAGCACATCGGCCCACCCCCAAGGGGCCTTCTCAGGCAACTCGCTTAACCCTCCCCCCGACCTCTCCTTCCGCCTCTCTCTGCCCCCCCCCCCACTGCAGCTCCCCTCGCAAGACGCGCATGTGCCCAGCCTGTGCCAGCTCGCCCCATCAGGCGAGGTGCTTCTGGAGGCCACAGCGCTTCTCAACTCGACCCCCACCCCACCCCACCCCCCCACCACAGCTCCCCTCTCAGGGCGCGCATGTGCCCAGCCTGTGCCAGCTCGCCCCATCTGGCGAAGTGCTTCTGGAGGCCACAGCGCCGGCTGACGGGCGCCTCTCCATCCGCTGGGGGCTCGCTCTCGAGGTGCTGCAGAGCTTCCTGCCTGCATCAATCGTGCACCAGGGCTGCAAGTTCACAGGGCAGATTCAGCAGGTACTTTGCATTCTGACTCTACTCTCACAGCGCCGGCTGACGGGCGCCTCTCCATCCGCTGGGGGCTCGCTCTCGAGGTGCTGCAGAGCTTCCTGCCTGCATCAATCGTGCACCAGGGCTGCGAGTTCACAGGGCAGATTCAGCAGGTACTTTGCATTCTGACTCTACTCTCACAGCGCCGGCTGACGGCCGCCTCTCCATCCGCTGGGGGCTCGCTCTCGAGGTGCCCCAGAACTTCCTGCCTGCATCAATCGTGCAGCAAGGCTGCGAGTTCACGGGGCACGTGGAGCAGGCGAGCTTTCGATCTAGTCTGAAGGCACCTCTTGGATCAATGCCTCTCTCCATCCGCTGGGGGCTCGGCCTCGAGGTGCCCCAGGGCTTCCTGCCTCACTCCTGTGTGCACCGAGGCTGCGAGTTCAGCAGGCACGTGGAGCAGGCGGGTGTTCTCAGTCGCGTGGAGAATGCCGCAGGTGCTTCTTCTGAGTGCCCTGCCAGAGAGCTTAGTGCCCCAAGGGTTAACTCTGCATAGTGTCGCCTGGAGAATGCCGCAGGTGCTTAATGCCTGACAGGCTGCCCTCGTCTTCCTCTCCCTCTCCCTCGCCCCTCACTCGTCCTCTCATTCACCCCTCTCTGTTACTCCTTCTCGTCCCACCCTCTTCGTCTCCCTTGCCTGTCCTCCCTCCTCTCGTTCGCCCTTTTCTCTGGTTTTTTTGCCTGGTGCGTTCCCCATCCCCATGTTCTCTTACTCACGCTGGCAGGCCAATGGACGTGTGACAGCCCACTTCACTCGCCACGGCCAGCCATTCACTGCAGAGGTGAGCACGGCTGCACGGGCTTTGAGGTTGCATGTGAATTTTGTTAATTTCCAAAATTCACCTGCAGCAACACTGCCAGCCGTTCACTGCAGAGGTGAGCACCAGGCTGCACGAGCTTCGCGAATTGAGACGATGTTTTAGGCGTCTGTAAATCCACCCAGCACAGGCGGCTGTTCAGTGCAGAGGTGAGCACAGGGCACGTGATACGAGAGGCACGGATACGAGAGAGACGTTACATGAGCAGCACGTTACATGAGTGGATTTGCTGGTGGGCACGTACAGGCTGCCAGTGACTGCCTAAACCCACTTGTTTGGCATAGTGACTGTGATGTGGTGTGAACTCAACAGTCTACCTTCCTGCCTCGCTGTGGTTCGTGTATCAGGCAGATCTTCTGATCGGCACGGACGGGGTGCGGTCGGTGGTGAGGCAGCATGTGTTGAGGGAGGGCGAGGAGAGGGACAGGTGGGGGCCGCCCCGGGATAACGGCCGCATTATGTGGCTCGGCGCTGCTCCCCGGGAGACTATAAGCTTCGAGGTGCGTTTGTGAGCAAGTTCAGGGAAAAAACAAACAAACAAACAAACAAACAAACAAACAAACAAACAAACAAACAAACAAACAAACAAACAAACAAGCAACCAAACTTAAACCCAAAAAAAAACAGACAAACATCCTTCCAGAGTAGACAGAAAAAAAAAAAAAAAAAAACTCATCTTCATTCTCTTGGATGTGCTAATCCAGTTCCGCTCAGCTCCAACCAACCTCAACCTATCCAGTGGTACTTTTGATTGATAACCTCCGGACAAAAAAAAATCCCAGTGTGAATAGGTTTAGGCACACAGGATGTCCAAACTTTGCTTGGTGTCCCAACTTCAATTCAAAACGCCAACTAACATGGTTGGTGCTCCTAACCACCCTCCCTCCCTCCATCCCTCGCCTTCCCCTTTCAGCACTCCCGCCCCTACCGCACGTGCTTCACCAGGGGCGGCGGGAGGACGGCCGCAGTGGGGGACCTTGGTGGGGCGGAGATTTTCGTCCTGTTTGTGTGTGCGGACGAGCAGGGGAGGGGGATGACAGAGCAGCGGTCAGGGGATGGGGAGGAGGTGCGGGGGAAGCTGAGGGCGCTCTTTGCTGATTGGCCTGCATACGGGGGAGTGATTGAGGTGGGTGGGCGGGCGGGTGGGCGGGCGGGTGGGCGGGTGCTTCGTTTTTTGCCAAACATATGGAAGGAGGTGGATGAAACAAGGAATGAATCCTTGTTTTTCTAGCACAAGGTTCTGAACGTCCCTCAGCTTCCCGGGTGGCTTTTGCCGCGCCTCAGACGAAACCCTTCCCCAACCCCTCCCTCCCCCTGCAACCAGGCTGTCCCCCCCGACCTGTTTTTGGAGCGCCGAGTACTGGACGTGCCTCCTCTCCCCCGCTGGCGCAACGGCCGCATCCTCGTCATCGGAGGTGCTCTCTCTCCCTTGCTGCTCCCCAACCTCCTTCCCGCCTCTTGCCCTCGTGCCCTCTTGCCCTCTTGCCCTCGTGCCCTCTTGCCCACTTGCCCTCGTGCCCTCGTGCCCTCTTGCCCCATGGCTCCTTCAAAACTTCTTGTATGCCCTGCCTGCTCTCACTTGCCCTGCTCTCACGTGCCCTGCTCTCACGTGCCCGGCTCTAATGAAGTTCTTGCTGCCTGCAATCAAAGTGCCGTAGATGGTTTGTCGCAGCCTGTGTGGCCCATGGACTATGAGCTTTTCAGTATCTGCTTCTCAGTCCGTATAATCAAATAATTATCTCCCTTTCCGATCATTGTCTGCAGCCTCGGGGAAAGAGGTACCATTCAAATCCACCCACCCACCTCTCCCACATGCCGTCCCCATCACGCCATCATCTGCATCTTCTCATCATGCCGACCAGATGCAGCGCATGCAGTGCCGCCCACATTTCCGCCCCATATTCCCTCCATCTTTCTCGCATGCTCCCATCATCACCATCTTCCCCATCATGCCGACCAGATGCAGCGCATGCAGTGCCGCCCACATTTCCACCCCATATTCCCTCCATCTTTCTCGCATGCTCCCATCATCACCATCTTCCCCATCATGCCGACCAGATGCAGCGCATGCAGTGCCGCCCACATTTCCACCCCATATTCCCTCCATCTTTCTCGCATGCTCCCATCATCACCATCTTCCCCATCATGCCGACCAGATGCAGCGCATGCAGTGCCGCCCACATTTCCACCCCATATTCCCTCCATCTTTCTCGCATGCTCCCATCATCACCATCTTCCCCATCATGCCGACCAGATGCAGCGCATGCAGTGCCACCCACATTTCCACCCCATATTCCCTCCATCTTTCTCGCATGCTCCCATCATCACCATCTTCCCCATCATGCCGACCAGATGCAGCGCATGCAGTGCCGCCCACATTTCCACCCCATATTCCCTCCATCTTTCTCGCATGCTCCCATCATCACCATCTTCCCCATCATGCCGACCAGATGCAGCGCATGCAGTGCCGCCCACACTTCCACCCCATATTCCCTCCATCTTTCTCGCATGCTCCCATCATCACCATCTTCCCCATCATGCCGACCAGATGCAGCGCATGCAGTGCCGCCCACATTTCCACCCCATATTCCCTCCATCTTTCTCGCATGCTCCCATCATCACCATCTTCCCCATCATGCCGACCAGATGCAGCGCATGCAGTGCCGCCCACATTTCCACCCCATATTCCCTCCATCTTTCTCGCATGCTCCCATCATCACCATCTTCCCCATCATGCCGACCAGATGCAGCGCATGCAGTGCCGCCCACATTTCCACCCCATATTCCCTCCATCTTTCTCGCATGCTCCCATCATCACCATCTTCCCCATCATGCCGACCAGATGCAGCGCATGCAGTGCCGCCCACATTTCCACCCCATATTCCCTCCATCTTTCTCGCATGCTCCCATCATCACCATCTTCCCCATCATGCCGACCAGATGCAGCGCATGCAGTGCCGCCCACATTTCCACCCCATATTCCCTCCATCTTTCTCGCATGCTCCCATCATCACCATCTTCCCCATCATGCCGACCAGATGCAGCGCATGCAGTGCCGCCCACATTTCCACCCCATATTCCCTCCATCTTTCTCGCATGCTCCCATCATCACCATCTTCCCCATCATGCCGACCAGATGCAGCGCATGCAGTGCCGCCCACATTTCCACCCCATATTCCCTCCATCTTTCTCGCATGCTCCCATCATCACCATCTTCCCCATCATGCCGACCAGATGCAGCGCATGCAGTGCCGCCCACATTTCCACCCCATATTTTTCTCGCATGCTCCCATCATCACCATCTTCCCCATCATGCCGACCAGATGCAGCGCCCCATATTCCCTCCATCTTTCTCGCATGCTCCCATCATCACCATCTTCCCCATCATGCCGACCAGATGCAGCGCATGCAGTGCCGCCCACATTTCCACCCCATATTCCCTCCATCTTTCTCGCATGCTCCCATCATCACCATCTTCCCCATCATGCCGACCAGATGCAGCGCATGCAGTGCCGCCCACATTTCCACCCCATATTCCCTCCATCTTTCTCGCATGCTCCCATCATCACCATCTTCCCCATCATGCCGACCAGATGCAGCGCATGCAGTGCCGCCCACATTTCCACCCCATATTCCCTCCATCTTTCTCGCATGCTCCCATCATCACCATCTTCCCCATCATGCCGACCAGATGCAGCGCATGCAGTGCCGCCCACATTTCCACCCCATATTCCCTCCATCTTTCTCGCATGCTCCCATCATCACCATCTTCCCCATCATGCCGACCAGATGCAGCGCATGCAGTGCCGCCCACATTTCCACCCCATATTCCCTCCATCTTTCTCGCATGCTCCCATCATCACCATCTTCCCCATCATGCCGACCAGATGCAGCGCATGCAGTGCCGCCCACATTTCCACCCCATATTCCCTCCATCTTTCTCGCATGCTCCCATCATCACCATCTTCCCCATCATGCCGACCAGATGCAGCGCATGCAGTGCCGCCCACATTTCCACCCCATATTCCCTCCATCTTTCTCGCATGCTCCCATCATCACCATCTTCCCCATCATGCCGACCAGATGCAGCGCATGCAGTGCCGCCCACATTTCCACCCCATATTCCCTCCATCTTTCTCGCATGCTCCCATCATCACCATCTTCCCCATCATGCCGACCAGATGCAGCGCATGCAGTGCCGCCCACATTTCCACCCCATATTCCCTCCATCTTTCTCGCATGCTCCCATCATCACCATCTTCCCCATCATGCCGACCAGATGCAGCGCATGCAGTGCCGCCCACATTTCCACCCCATATTCCCTCCATCTTTCTCGCATGCTCCCATCATCACCATCTTCCCCATCATGCCGACCAGATGCAGCGCATGCAGTGCCGCCCACATTTCCACCCCATATTCCCTCCATCTTTCTCGCATGCTCCCATCATCACCATCTTCCCCATCATGCCGACCAGATGCAGCGCATGCAGTGCCGCCCACATTTCCACCCCATATTCCCTCCATCTTTCTCGCATGCTCCCATCATCACCATCTTCCCCATCATGCCGACCAGATGCAGCGCATGCAGTGCCGCCCACACTTCCACCCCATATTCCCTCCATCTTTCTCGCATGCTCCCATCATCACCATCTTCCCCATCATGCCGACCAGATGCAGCGCATGCAGTGCCGCCCACATTTCCACCCCATATTCCCTCCATCTTTCTCGCATGCTCCCATCATCACCATCTTCCCCATCATGCCGACCAGATGCAGCGCATGCAGTGCCGCCCACATTTCCACCCCATATTCCCTCCATCTTTCTCGCATGCTCCCATCATCACCATCTTCCCCATCATGCCGACCAGATGCAGCGCATGCAGTGCCGCCCACATTTCCACCCCATATTCCCTCCATCTTTCTCGCATGCTCCCATCATCACCATCTTCCCCATCATGCCGACCAGATGCAGCGCATGCAGTGCCGCCCACATTTCCACCCCATATTCCCTCCATCTTTCTCGCTTGCTCCCATCATCACCATCTTCCCCATCATGCCGACCAGATGCAGCGCATGCAGTGCCGCCCACATTTCCACCCCATATTCCCTCCATCTTTCTCGCATGCTCCCATCATCACCATCTTCCCCATCATGCCGACCAGATGCAGCGCATGCAGTGCCGCCCACATTTCCACCCCATATTCCCTCCATCTTTCTCGCATGCTCCCATCATCACCATCTTCCCCATCATGCCGACCAGATGCAGCGCATGCAGTGCCGCCCACATTTCCACCCCATATTCCCTCCATCTTTCTCGCATGCTCCCATCATCACCATCTTCCCCATCATGCCGACCAGATGCAGCGCATGCAGTGCCGCCCACATTTCCACCCCATATTCCCTCCATCTTTCTCGCATGCTCCCATCATCACCATCTTCCCCATCATGCCGACCAGATGCAGCGCATGCAGTGCCGCCCACATTTCCACCCCATATTCCCTCCATCTTTCTCGCATGCTCCCATCATCACCATCTTCCCCATCATGCCGACCAGATGCAGCGCATGCAGTGCCGCCCACATTTCCACCCCATATTCCCTCCATCTTTCTCGCATGCTCCCATCATCACCATCTTCCCCATCATGCCGACCAGATGCAGCGCATGCAGTGCCGCCCACATTTCCACCCCATATTCCCTCCATCTTTCTCGCATGCTCCCATCATCACCATCTTCCCCATCATGCCGACCAGATGCAGCGCATGCAGTGCCGCCCACATTTCCACCCCATATTCCCTCCATCTTTCTCGCATGCTCCCATCATCACCATCTTCCCCATCATGCCGACCAGATGCAGCGCATGCAGTGCCGCCCACATTTCCACCCCATATTCCCTCCATCTTTCTCGCATGCTCCCATCATCACCATCTTCCCCATCATGCCGACCAGATGCAGCGCATGCAGTGCCGCCCACATTTCCACCCCATATTCCCTCCATCTTTCTCGCATGCTCCCATCATCACCATCTTCCCCATCATGCCGACCAGATGCAGCGCATGCAGTGCCGCCCACATTTCCACCCCATATTCCCTCCATCTTTCTCGCATGCTCCCATCATCACCATCTTCCCCATCATGCCGACCAGATGCAGCGCATGCAGTGCCGCCCACATTTCCACCCCATATTCCCTCCATCTTTCTCGCATGCTCCCATCATCACCATCTTCCCCATCATGCCGACCAGATGCAGCGCATGCAGTGCCGCCCACATTTCCACCCCATATTCCCTCCATCTTTCTCGCATGCTCCCATCATCACCATCTTCCCCATCATGCCGACCAGATGCAGCGCATGCAGTGCCGCCCACATTTCCACCCCATATTCCCTCCATCTTTCTCGCATGCTCCCATCATCACCATCTTCCCCATCATGCCGACCAGATGCAGCGCATGCAGTGCCGCCCACATTTCCACCCCATATTCCCTCCATCTTTCTCGCATGCTCCCATCATCACCATCTTCCCCATCATGCCGACCAGATGCAGCGCATGCAGTGCCGCCCACATTTCCACCCCATATTCCCTCCATCTTTCTCGCATGCTCCCATCATCACCATCTTCCCCATCATGCCGACCAGATGCAGCGCATGCAGTGCCGCCCACATTTCCACCCCATATTCCCTCCATCTTTCTCGCATGCTCCCATCATCACCATCTTCCCCATCATGCCGACCAGATGCAGCGCATGCAGTGCCGCCCACATTTCCACCCCATATTCCCTCCATCTTTCTCGCATGCTCCCATCATCACCATCTTCCCCATCATGCCGACCAGATGCAGCGCATGCAGTGCCGCCCACATTTCCACCCCATATTCCCTCCATCTTTCTCGCATGCTCCCATCATCACCATCTTCCCCATCATGCCGACCAGATGCAGCGCATGCAGTGCCGCCCACATTTCCACCCCATATTCCCTCCATCTTTCTCGCATGCTCCCATCATCACCATCTTCCCCATCATGCCGACCAGATGCAGCGCATGCAGTGCCGCCCACATTTCCACCCCATATTCCCTCCATCTTTCTCGCATGCTCCCATCATCACCATCTTCCCCATCATGCCGACCAGATGCAGCGCATGCAGTGCCGCCCACATTTCCACCCCATATTCCCTCCATCTTTCTCGCATGCTCCCATCATCACCATCTTCCCCATCATGCCGACCAGATGCAGCGCATGCAGTGCCGCCCACATTTCCACCCCATATTCCCTCCATCTTTCTCGCATGCTCCCATCATCACCATCTTCCCCATCATGCCGACCAGATGCAGCGCATGCAATGCCGCCCACATTTCCACCCCATATTCCCTCCATCTTTCTCGCATGCTCCCATCATCACCATCGTCCCCATCATGCCGACCAGATGCAGCGCATGCAGTGCCGCCCACATTTCCACCCCATATTCCCTCCATCTTTCTCGCATGCTCCCATCATCACCATCTTCCCCATCATGCCGACCAGATGCAGCGCATGCAGTGCCGCCCACATTTCCACCCCATATTCCCTCCATCTTTCTCGCATGCTCCCATCATCACCATCTTCCCCATCATGCCGACCAGATGCAGCGCATGCAGTGCCGCCCACATTTCCACCCCATATTCCCTCCATCTTTCTCGCATGCTCCCATCATCACCATCTTCCCCATCATGCCGACCAGATGCAGCGCATGCAGTGCCGCCCACATTTCCACCCCATATTCCCTCCATCTTTCTCGCATGCTCCCATCATCACCATCTTCCCCATCATGCCGACCAGATGCAGCGCCCCATATTCCCTCCATCTTTCTCGCATGCTCCCATCATCACCATCTTCCCCATCATGCCGACCAGATGCAGCGCATGCAGTGCCGCCCACATTTCCACCCCATATTCCCTCCATCTTTCTCGCATGCTCCCATCATCACCATCTTCCCCATCATGCCGACCAGATGCAGCGCATGCAGTGCCGCCCACATTTCCACCCCATATTCCCTCCATCTTTCTCGCATGCTCCCATCATCACCATCTTCCCCATCATGCCGACCAGATGCAGCGCATGCAGTGCCGCCCACATTTCCACCCCATATTCCCTCCATCTTTCTCGCATGCTCCCATCATCACCATCTTCCCCATCATGCCGACCAGATGCAGCGCATGCAGTGCCGCCCACATTTCCACCCCATATTCCCTCCATCTTTCTCGCATGCTCCCATCATCACCATCTTCCCCATCATGCCGACCAGATGCAGCGCATGCAGTGCCGCCCACATTTCCACCCCATATTCCCTCCATCTTTCTCGCATGCTCCCATCATCACCATCTTCCCCATCATGCCGACCAGATGCAGCGCATGCAGTGCCGCCCACGTTTCCACCCCATATTCCCTCCATCTTTCTCGCATGCTCCCATCATCACCATCTTCCCCATCATGCCGACCAGATGCAGCGCATGCAGTGCCGCCCACATTTCCACCCCATATTCCCTCCATCTTTCTCGCATGCTCCCATCATCACCATCTTCCCCATCATGCCGACCAGATGCAGCGCATGCAGTGCCGCCCACATTTCCACCCCATATTCCCTCCATCTTTCTCGCATGCTCCCATCATCACCATCTTCCCCATCATGCCGACCAGATGCAGCGCATGCAGTGCCGCCCACACTTCCACCCCATATTCCCTCCATCTTTCTCGCATGCTCCCATCATCACCATCTTCCCCATCATGCCGACCAGATGCAGCGCATGCAGTGCCGCCCACATTTCCACCCCATATTCCCTCCATCTTTCTCGCATGCTCCCATCATCACCATCTTCCCCATCATGCCGACCAGATGCAGCGCATGCAGTGCCGCCCACATTTCCACCCCATATTCCCTCCATCTTTCTCGCATGCTCCCATCATCACCATCTTCCCCATCATGCCGACCAGATGCAGCGCATGCAGTGCCGCCCACATTTCCACCCCATATTCCCTCCATCTTTCTCGCATGCTCCCATCATCACCATCTTCCCCATCATGCCGACCAGATGCAGCGCATGCAGTGCCGCCCACATTTCCACCCCATATTCCCTCCATCTTTCTCGCATGCTCCCATCATCACCATCTTCCCCATCATGCCGACCAGATGCAGCGCATGCAGTGCCGCCCACATTTCCACCCCATATTCCCTCCATCTTTCTCGCATGCTCCCATCATCACCATCTTCCCCATCATGCCGACCAGATGCAGCGCATGCAGTGCCGCCCACATTTCCACCCCATATTCCCTCCATCTTTCTCGCATGCTCCCATCATCACCATCTTCCCCATCATGCCGACCAGATGCAGCGCATGCAGTGCCGCCCACATTTCCACCCCATATTCCCTCCATCTTTCTCGCATGCTCCCATCATCACCATCTTCCCCATCATGCCGACCAGATGCAGCGCATGCAGTGCCGCCCACATTTCCACCCCATATTCCCTCCATCTTTCTCGCATGCTCCCATCATCACCATCTTCCCCATCATGCCGACCAGATGCAGCGCATGCAGTGCCGCCCACATTTCCACCCCATATTCCCTCCATCTTTCTCGCATGCTCCCATCATCACCATCTTCCCCATCATGCCGACCAGATGCAGCGCATGCAATGCCGCCCACATTTCCACCCCATATTCCCTCCATCTTTCTCGCATGCTCCCATCATCACCATCTTCCCCATCATGCCGACCAGATGCAGCGCATGCAGTGCCGCCCACATTTCCACCCCATATTCCCTCCATCTTTCTCGCATGCTCCCATCATCACCATCTTCCCCATCATGCCGACCAGATGCAGTGCATGCAGTGCCGCCCACATTTCCACCCCATATTCCCTCCATCTTTCTCGCATGCTCCCATCATCACCATCTTCCCCATCATGCCGACCAGATGCAGCGCATGCAGTGCCGCCCACATTTCCACCCCATATTCCCTCCATCTTTCTCGCATGCTCCCATCATCACCATCTTCCCCATCATGCCGACCAGATGCAGCGCATGCAGTGCCGCCCACATTTCCACCCCATATTCCCTCCATCTTTCTCGCATGCTCCCATCATCACCATCTTCCCCATCATGCCGACCAGATGCAGCGCCCCATATTCCCTCCATCTTTCTCGCATGCTCCCATCATCACCATCTTCCCCATCATGCCGACCAGATGCAGCGCATGCAGTGCCGCCCACATTTCCACCCCATATTCCCTCCATCTTTCTCGCATGCTCCCATCATCACCATCTTCCCCATCATGCCGACCAGATGCAGCGCATGCAGTGCCGCCCACATTTCCACCCCATATTCCCTCCATCTTTCTCGCATGCTCCCATCATCACCATCTTCCCCATCATGCCGACCAGATGCAGCGCATGCAGTGCCGCCCACATTTCCACCCCATATTCCCTCCATCTTTCTCGCATGCTCCCATCATCACCATCTTCCCCATCATGCCGACCAGATGCAGCGCATGCAGTGCCGCCCACATTTCCACCCCATATTCCCTCCATCTTTCTCGCATGCTCCCATCATCACCATCTTCCCCATCATGCCGACCAGATGCAGCGCATGCAGTGCCGCCCACATTTCCACCCCATATTCCCTCCATCTTTCTCGCATGCTCCCATCATCACCATCTTCCCCATCATGCCGACCAGATGCAGCGCATGCAGTGCCGCCCACGTTTCCACCCCATATTCCCTCCATCTTTCTCGCATGCTCCCATCATCACCATCTTCCCCATCATGCCGACCAGATGCAGCGCATGCAGTGCCGCCCACATTTCCACCCCATATTCCCTCCATCTTTCTCGCATGCTCCCATCATCACCATCTTCCCCATCATGCCGACCAGATGCAGCGCATGCAGTGCCGCCCACATTTCCACCCCATATTCCCTCCATCTTTCTCGCATGCTCCCATCATCACCATCTTCCCCATCATGCCGACCAGATGCAGCGCATGCAGTGCCGCCCACACTTCCACCCCATATTCCCTCCATCTTTCTCGCATGCTCCCATCATCACCATCTTCCCCATCATGCCGACCAGATGCAGCGCATGCAGTGCCGCCCACATTTCCACCCCATATTCCCTCCATCTTTCTCGCATGCTCCCATCATCACCATCTTCCCCATCATGCCGACCAGATGCAGCGCATGCAGTGCCGCCCACATTTCCACCCCATATTCCCTCCATCTTTCTCGCATGCTCCCATCATCACCATCTTCCCCATCATGCCGACCAGATGCAGCGCATGCAGTGCCGCCCACATTTCCACCCCATATTCCCTCCATCTTTCTCGCATGCTCCCATCATCACCATCTTCCCCATCATGCCGACCAGATGCAGCGCATGCAGTGCCGCCCACATTTCCACCCCATATTCCCTCCATCTTTCTCGCATGCTCCCATCATCACCATCTTCCCCATCATGCCGACCAGATGCAGCGCATGCAGTGCCGCCCACATTTCCACCCCATATTCCCTCCATCTTTCTCGCATGCTCCCATCATCACCATCTTCCCCATCATGCCGACCAGATGCAGCGCATGCAGTGCCGCCCACATTTCCACCCCATATTCCCTCCATCTTTCTCGCATGCTCCCATCATCACCATCTTCCCCATCATGCCGACCAGATGCAGCGCATGCAGTGCCGCCCACATTTCCACCCCATATTCCCTCCATCTTTCTCGCATGCTCCCATCATCACCATCTTCCCCATCATGCCGACCAGATGCAGCGCATGCAGTGCCGCCCACATTTCCACCCCATATTCCCTCCATCTTTCTCGCATGCTCCCATCATCACCATCTTCCCCATCATGCCGACCAGATGCAGCGCATGCAGTGCCGCCCACATTTCCACCCCATATTCCCTCCATCTTTCTCGCATGCTCCCATCATCACCATCTTCCCCATCATGCCGACCAGATGCAGCGCATGCAGTGCCGCCCACATTTCCACCCCATATTCCCTCCATCTTTCTCGCATGCTCCCATCATCACCATCTTCCCCATCATGCCGACCAGATGCAGCGCATGCAGTGCCGCCCACATTTCCACCCCATATTCCCTCCATCTTTCTCGCATGCTCCCATCATCACCATCTTCCCCATCATGCCGACCAGATGCAGCGCATGCAGTGCCGCCCACATTTCCACCCCATATTCCCTCCATCTTTCGCGCATGCTCCCATCATCACCATCTTCCCCATCATGCCGACCAGATGCAGCGCATGCAGTGCCGCCCACATTTCCACCCCGTATTCCCTCCATCTTTCTCGCATGCTCCCATCATCACCATCTTCCCCATCATGCCGACCAGATGCAGCGCATGCAGTGCCGCCCACATTTCCACCCCATATTCCCTCCATCTTTCTCGCATGCTCCCATCATCACCATCTTCCCCATCATGCCGACCAGATGCAGCGCATGCAGTGCCGCCCACATTTCCACCCCATATTCCCTCCATCTTTCTCGCATGCTCCCATCATCACCATCTTCCCCATCATGCCGACCAGATGCAGCGCATGCAGTGCCGCCCACATTTCCACCCCATATTCCCTCCATCTTTCTCGCATGCTCCCATCATCACCATCTTCCCCATCATGCCGACCAGATGCAGCGCATGCAGTGCCGCCCACATTTCCACCCCATATTCCCTCCATCTTTCTCGCATGCTCCCATCATCACCATCTTCCCCATCATGCCGACCAGATGCAGCGCATGCAGTGCCGCCCACATTTCCACCCCATATTCCCTCCATCTTTCTCGCATGCTCCCATCATCACCATCTTCCCCATCATGCCGACCAGATGCAGCGCATGCAGTGCCGCCCACATTTCCACCCCATATTCCCTCCATCTTTCTCGCATGCTCCCATCATCACCATCTTCCCCATCATGCCGACCAGATGCAGCGCATGCAGTGCCGCCCACATTTCCACCCCATATTCCCTCCATCTTTCTCGCATGCTCCCATCATCACCATCTTCCCCATCATGCCGACCAGATGCAGCGCATGCAGTGCCGCCCACATTTCCACCCCATATTCCCTCCATCTTTCGCGCATGCTCCCATCATCACCATCTTCCCCATCATGCCGACCAGATGCAGCGCATGCAGTGCCGCCCACATTTCCACCCCGTATTCCCTCCATCTTTCTCGCATGCTCCCATCATCACCATCTTCCCCATCATGCCGACCAGATGCAGCGCATGCAGTGCCGCCCACATTTCCACCCCATATTCCCTCCATCTTTCTCGCATGCTCCCATCATCACCATCTTCCCCATCATGCCGACCAGATGCAGCGCATGCAGTGCCGCCCACATTTCCACCCCATATTCCCTCCATCTTTCTCGCATGCTCCCATCATCACCATCTTCCCCATCATGCCGACCAGATGCAGCGCATGCAGTGCCGCCCACATTTCCACCCCATATTCCCTCCATCTTTCTCGCATGCTCCCATCATCACCATCTTCCCCATCATGCCGACCAGATGCAGCGCATGCAGTGCCGCCCACATTTCCACCCCATATTCCCTCCATCTTTCTCGCATGCTCCCATCATCACCATCTTCCCCATCATGCCGACCAGATGCAGCGCATGCAGTGCCGCCCACATTTCCACCCCATATTCCCTCCATCTTTCTCGCATGCTCCCATCATCACCATCTTCCCCATCATGCCGACCAGATGCAGCGCATGCAGTGCCGCCCACATTTCCACCCCATATTCCCTCCATCTTTCTCGCATGCTCCCATCATCACCATCTTCCCCATCATGCCGACCAGATGCAGCGCATGCAGTGCCGCCCACATTTCCACCCCATATTCCCTCCATCTTTCTCGCATGCTCCCATCATCACCATCTTCCCCATCATGCCGACCAGATGCAGCGCATGCAGTGCCGCCCACATTTCCACCCCATATTCCCTCCATCTTTCTCGCATGCTCCCATCATCACCATCTTCCCCATCATGCCGACCAGATGCAGCGCATGCAGTGCCGCCCACATTTCCACCCCATATTCCCTCCATCTTTCTCGCATGCTCCCATCATCACCATCTTCCCCATCATGCCGACCAGATGCAGCGCATGCAGTGCCGCCCACATTTCCACCCCATATTCCCTCCATCTTTCTCGCATGCTCCCATCATCACCATCTTCCCCATCATGCCGACCAGATGCAGCGCATGCAGTGCCGCCCACATTTCCACCCCATATTCCCTCCATCTTTCTCGCATGCTCCCATCATCACCATCTTCCCCATCATGCCGACCAGATGCAGCGCATGCAGTGCCGCCCACGCTAGGCCAGGGCAGCAGCCTGGCGATAGAGGATGCGCTGGAGCTCGCGAGACACGTGGTCGCCGACCATCCCTCCCTTGAGTGCGTGGTGTGCTGCACCTTTGCTAGCTAGTACTGTTTGCTTCCTTCTTGCTCTCTGATGACTCTATCCAATGGGGGCAGCAGTGTGACAATGGAGGATGCGCTGGAGCTTGCAAGACCTTTGGAAATTCTCAAAAGTGAGCTCGCTTCCTGTGGTTGCCGATCATCCCTCCCTCGAGTGCGTGGTGAAGTGCTGCTTTGTGCCGCTTCCTGTTTCCTGCTTGCTCTCTGGTGACTCTGCCCAATAAGGGCAGCAGTCTGGCGATAGAGGTCGCGCTGGAGCTTGCAAGACCTTTGGAAATTCTCAAAAGTGAGCTCGCAAGACAAGTAGTCGCCGACCATCCCTCCCTCGAGTGTGTGGCTCCGTGTGCTGTATTTTCTTTTACTGCGTCTATTCTGTCTTCTTTCCTTTGTCTAGTTGTTTTCTTGTGGCGAATATGTCTGACGGGGGCAGCAGCATGGCGGCAGCGGATCCTGCTCCTCCTGCGTTTGAGACGTCTCAAAACACAGATTCAGCTCCTCCTGCGGAGTTGGTGAGACAAGTGGTTGCATACCATTCCTCTCTTGAGTGCATGAGTGCACCATGATGTACCGTGCCTTGCCATGGCTTACTATGCCTTACCATGCCATGCTGTTTGATTGCATGCCATCCTGTTTGAGCACGTACCATGCTTCTCTCACCCTTCCTGGCCCCACAATCTGCTCCCCCAAGCCCACCCACGCACCCTCCTTGCGCTACTCACTCTCTTGCATGGCCTCACGTCACACAACAATGGGGCGGGTTAATCTGAGGTTTTTTTTGTTTTTACCCAAGAATCTCTCACACAGCAGCACTGGGTTTGTTAACGTGGGCTGGGCTACTTCTAACGCGCCTCAGAATCCACCTGCTCACCTCACCCCTCCACACCTGGCAGGGCAGCACTGGATGCGTTTGAGGCAGCGAGGGGACTGCGGGTGGTGAACGGACTTTAAGAGAACTGCTTTTAAAGCGGACCTTCTGAGGCACCTCAAATCCCACCCGCTCTCTCGCCCCTCCACACCTGGCAGGGCAGCACTGGATACCTTTGAGGTGGAGAGGGCACCACGGGTGGTGAACTGCCTCTGAGGGTGCTGCTTTTGAGGCGGACCTTCTGAGGCACCTCAAAACCCACCCACTCTCTCGCTTCTTCTCACGTGGCAGGGCAGCACTGGATGCGTTTGAGGCGGAGAGGGCACCACGGGTGGTGAACTGCTTCTGAGGTGAAGTTCTTGCTAGGTGCCTCACAACTCACCCGCTCTCTCTCGCCCTTCCTCACCTGGCAGGGCGGCACTGGATGCATTTGAGGCGGAGAGGGCACCGCGGGTGGCATGGGTGGCAGAGGCAAGTGTAGCAGTCGCAGGGCAGGCATACCGCCAAGAGAGAGACCCCAATGCACCTGCAGAAGGGTCTGTCAACCCAGATGCTTCTCTCAGCCGTGATCGGAGCACTCATGCCAGCAGCAGTGACAGCAGTGGCAGTGGTGGCAACAGCAGCGGTACTGGGAGTGGTGTGAGCGGCAATAGCGAGAGCCAAGCTACGGACCCTGTACATGAGTTGTACAGTTATGGGCACCTCAGTTCACCCCTAGTGCCAATATGAAATGACTTTAAACTGTGTGTGGTGATCGCACGCCGGAATGCGTTCTCATTCAAATTGTGTTTCCGATACCGTACCTGTCAAATTACATTTGTTATCTCTAGGCTCTAGTGGGGCATACCCTAAAGGGTACAACACTTTAGGGTTAGGTAGTACTTGTACTCATCTTTGCTACCTAGTCTACCATTTTTACGTTCCTACTTCTGACATGGTATCAGAGCAGGTCCCGTTCTAGGACCGCCTTTTTTTGGGCCCACCGATCAGTTCCGTTCCTTCCCGGCGTTTTCTGCCCTGCCCAGTACGCTATCGCGCTGCTGCCCTGCCCTGCCCTGCCCCGCACGGTCGCGCTGCCCCGCACGGTCGCGCTGCCCCGCACGCGCTGCCCCGCACGCGCTGCCCTGCTCGCCACGCACGTGCCCTGCCCTGCCCAGCGCTTTCGCGCTGCCCTGCCCTGCCCTGCCACGCGCTGCCCTGCTGCCGCGCATGCTGCGCTGCTGCCCACGCTGCCCTGCTCGCCGCGCGCTGCCCTGCTCGCCGCGGGCTTGCCCTGCCCTGCTCGCCGCGGGCGTGCGCTGCCCTGCCCCGCGCTGCCCCGCCGCGCGCTGCCCTGCCGCTGCGCGCTGCCCTGCTCGCCGCGCGCTGCCCTGTTGCTGCGCGCTGCCCTGCTCGCCGCGCGCTGCCCTGCTCGCCGCACGTTGCCCTGCTCGCCGCGGGCGTGCCCTGCCCTGCTCGCCGCGGGCGTGCGCTGCCCTGCCCCGCGCTGCCCCGCCGCGCGCTGCCCTGCCACTGCGCGCTGCCCTGCCGCTGCGCGCTGCCCTGCCGCTGCGCGCTGCCCTGCTCGCTGCGTGCTGCCCTGTCGCTGCGCGCTGCCCTGCTCGCCGCGCGCTGCCCTGCTCGCCGCGCGTTGCCCTGCTCGCCGTGGGCGTGCCCTGCCCTGCTCGCCGCGCGCTGCCCTGCTCGCTGTGCGCGCCCTGCTGCCCCGTAACAGCGCGCGCCCCGCTGCACAGCGCCCGCGCGCGCCCTGCTGCCCAGCGCCCACGCGTGTCCCGCTGCCCAGCGCCAGCGCGCGCCCCGCTGCCCAGCGCCCACGCGTGTCCCGCTGCCCAGCGCCCGCGCGCGCCCTGCTGCCCAGCGCCAGCGCGCGCCCCGCTGCCCAGCGCCCACGCGTGTCCCGCTGCCCAGCGCCCGCGCGCGCCCCGCTGCCCAGCGCCAGCACGCGCCCCACTGCCCAGCGCCCGCGCGTGCCCCGCTGCCCTGTGCCCGTGCACGCTCCGCTGCCCAGCGCCTGCGCGCCCCTGCCCTGCCCGGCTAGCGCTGCCTGCGCCTGCCCTGCCCGAGCGCAAGTGCCGCCTGCTGCTGCCGCCCTAGGTGCTGCTGCCCTAGGAGCTACCGCCTGCTGCTGCCCTAGGTGCTGCCGCCTGCTGCTGCTGCCCTAGGTGCTGCCGCCCTAGGTGCTACCGCCTGCTGCTGCCCTAGGTGCTGCCGCCTGCTGCTGCTGCCCTAGGTGCTGCCGCCCTAGGTGCTACCGCCTGCTGCTGCCGCCCTAGGTGCTGCTGCCCTAGGAGCTACCGCCTGCTGCTGCCCTAGGTGCTGCTGCCGCCCTAGGTGCTGCCGCCCTAGGTGCTACCGCCTGCTGCTGCCGCCCTAGGTGCTGCTGGTACCGCCCTAGGTGCTGCCGCCTGCTGCTGCCCTAGGTGCTGTCCCCCTAGGTGCTCCCGCCTGCTGCTACCGCCCTAGGTGCTGCTGCCACCAGCGTGCGCTGCCCCGCGCTGCCCTGTCCCGCGCTAGCGCCGCCTTGCCCCGAGCGCTGCTACTGCTACTGCGGCAGTTTCTGCTGCTACGGCGACTCCCACTGTTCTAGCCTTTGACGCAGTGGGGCACCCTCTAGGGTTCGATTCCTGGCTAGAGGGGCTGCACCTGTACCTCCATAGTGTAACTAGCCACGACGTCTCCCTGTTCGAGCACACGTCGGGGGGTCCCTTCCGGCCCCCGAGGCTCCTCCTGAGCCTGCTGCTGACGCTGGGGAGGAGGTGCGGACGCAGTTCCGCGCAGCTCACCTTGCCTACAAGCGGTGGATGGCGCGAGACGCCGCCGCCACACTTGCAGTCCGCCTTCACCTCTCATTCGACCAGAGAGCCAACTTTCGCCAGGTGCCGTCGGCCCATGCTATGTATTCTGCTGTGGTTAGACGCTACTCCCCCCCCCTCTTGCCACCTTAGGCTGTCTTGCGCTGCCTCTTACCTTCCCTGCGCTGTCAGACTTCGCCTCTGTAGCTGATGAGGGTGGTGGTAGTGGAGCTGGCGAGAGTGGCGGGGGCGGGCAGCAGCAGTTAGAGTCTTCGTGTGTCGCTGTTTCTGCGCCTACTAGCACAGGTGCGGTTCCTGCGGAGGCGTTGCTCTCGGTCCCTGTCTCGCTGGCCGACCCCACCTCTGGTCTAGTCTATGCGCACCCCTCCACTGTTCTCTCGTGCCTCGTAGTCCCCTCTGACGCCTATGGCTCGACTGAGGGGGGTGACATTGCTGCTGCCGACACAGCGACCTCTCGCCACTCGCCGAGCTTGGAGACACCTCCGGGTCTTCCGCCTCCGCCGTCTTCGCCTCCTCTGCAGCCTGTCGTTGTAGACTTCGGGGGCCCAGGTGTTGTTGGGGGTGGTGGCTCTAGGGGTGCTGGTTCTGGGGGTGCTGTTTCTGGGGCTGCTGACTCTGGGAGTAATAGGAGCCCTCTTGTTGGTGGACTTGGAGGTACTGGTACTGGAGGTGCTGGGTCTGGGGGTGCGTTGCAGTCGCTGCCGCGGCGGCCTATCTTCTTGGAGCAGCCGTCGTCGTCGCTACCTGAGCCGACGTGTCAAACATTATATGTTTATATTGTCTAGGCTATAGTGGGTTTAGCCATAGGGGGTACATCAAACTTAGGGTTTCCTACTTGTACCCAACATTCTGCTAGTTCATTCATTCTCGTTCGTTCTTAGTTTCTAACATGGTATCGCGAGCCTAGGTCGTAACCTAGGACCGAATAATATGGGCCCACCGTTTCCGCTTAGTCGCGCCCTAGCGCGCCTCGCCTAGTCGCGCCCTCGAGCGCCTCACTCTCTCCCTCACTATCGCGCGCCCTAGCGCGCCTCTCGCGATCGGCCCCACCTAGCCCGCACGCCCTAGCGTGCCCCGTGCGATCGGCCCCGCTCACCTCGTACGCCCTCGCGTGCGACCCGCGCAGCACCACGCGCGTCACCTGCCCCGCGCGCCCTTGCGTGCCCCGTTCGGCCCCACGCACTCGCTGCCCCGCGCGCCCTTACGTGCCTCTTACGGACCGGCCCCGCCCCTTAGCGTGCGCCCTTGCGTGCCCCGTGCGACCGGCCCACACCCACCCGCGCGCCCTTGCGTGCCCCTCGCGTACCGGCCCCGCCCTCGCTAGCCCGCCACCTCGTGCCCCGTGCGACCGGCCCACACCCACCCGCGCGCCCTTGCGTGCCCCTCGTGTACCGGCCCCGCCCTCGCTAGCGCGCCACTTCGTGCCCCGTGCGGACCGGCCCCGCTCTGCCCTGCACGCCCTCGCGTGCCCCACCTCGAGTAGCCGCCGCCTAGCCGAGCCGAGCCGCCCCACCGAACCGTGTCACCCGGCCCGAACCGCGCCGCCCTACCGAGCCGCGCCGCCCTACCGAGCCGCGCCACTGCAACTGTCACTGCTACTACTGCTACTGCTCTTAGTGCAACTATGGCTAGCCCTGCTGTGCTCGCTTTCGATGCTGAGGGCCGCCCGCTGAAGTTTGACACCTGGCTAGATGACTTGCACCTGTTCCTCCAGCTCACTGCCAAGGAGGATATCTCGCTGTACGATCACGCACTAGGCCACGCTGCTGCCCCTGCTGCTACTGCTGACAGTACTGCCCGTTCACAGTGGCAGACTCGTGACGCCCACGCTCGCTTTGCTATTCGCAACTCCCTGCCGGTAGATGAGCGCGAGCACTTTGGCCAGCACAAAACTGCGCAGGCACTGTACACTGCTGTAGTTGCACGCTACTCCTCACCTGCCTCTACTACGCTAGGCCGTCTCTCGCTCCCCTACCTGTTCCCAGACCTGTCCGCTTTCGCCACAGTCGCTGACCTCATCACGCACCTCCGCACTAGTGAGGCCCGCTTCCGTGCCGCTATGCCCGCTGAGTTTCTTGCCACGCACCCCTCCCCCACTCTGGCTTACTCTCTACCACCTAGTCACCCGTCTCCCTGACTCTCTTCGTGCAGTCAAGGACCACTTCCTCGCTCGCTGCCCCACTGAGCTCACCGTTGACCTGCTCGAGAAGGAACTGCTTGCAGCTGAGACTAGCATAGTCGCTGTAGCTGCCTCTCGTGGCGACCCCCGCACCCCGTTCTTCGAGGGGTGTTCCCCTTCCTCCCTTCTCCCCTATGTCGCCTCTGCTGCTGCTGTCGACCTAGTTGGTACTGAGCAGGTCGGGACTGCGTCCGCTCCGAGCTGGCGCTGCAGCGGCAAGGGCAAAGGGGGCAAGGGAGGTGGAGGTGACGGAGGGGGAGGCGGTAGTGGGGGTGGTGGCGGCGGTGGGGGCGGTGGCGGGGCTGGAGGGGCTAGTGGCAGCGGTGGAGGTGGTGGCGGCAGCGGCGGAGGAGGTGGCCGGGGTGGGGGCGGTGGTGGGGGCGGCGGTGGACGCGGCGGCGGCAGGGGCGGTGGTGGTCGAGGTGGTGGCGGCGGAGGTGGTGGTCGTGGTGGCGCTGGCGGACAGCTGACTCCGTCGCCCCAGGAGCTTCGTGAGTGGTACTCTCAGCACGGGGGGGGGGGGTGGCCTTAGCTGCACGTACGTCATCCGCACTGGTTACCGCACTGGCCAGACGTGTGGGAGGGCGCACACCGCGCAGCGCTGCTTCTCCCGCCTCGACGACGCTTGGCGCACTCAGTTCCCTGCTGCCACTGAGCTGCCCCGCTGGGCTGATCTGATGA